TTGACTATCACATCAATACTGCTGTCATTGAAGTAAAGGAAGGATTAATGCATTTGATACCATGAAATCTAAAATTGCATCTATGTGACAGCAAATTTTGCATAATATATCAAGCACACATCCAGCTTGACAAAAGAGAAAAAACACCTCAGAAGGTCAGCAGTTTTAAGTCCAACTTAACTCCTTGAAAAATGAATAAATGAAGTTAACTTTAAAAAATGAATGACACTAAATGATGATTGCATCAACAACCAAACACAAAAGGGATCTCTCGAGAAAGTTTTCACTGCCCTCTGTATACGCTGTTTTATTTGATAACTTGTTGCATTACAGAGAGCTTAGTTATTTTTGAGTGAACTATTTTCAGATGATGAAAGATTCAAAAGAGTTTGTCAAGGTGCTACGTTTGATCATCTCCAACTCCAAATGCTTTTGTAACAGTTTTTAATCTCAACAGAATTGCATGCATGTCAAGTGTGTACTGATGTAATTTGATGACCTCGTAGAGAATTCACAGTGTGCAAAGTCAAGGTAAGGCAGCATCTTAATTTGTGTTGCAATTATATCTTCCATTTGATCTCCCATACTTGGATTATTTTTAGGCATATCTACTTAAAATAACAGACTGTTTAGTTTCTGAATTCTGCTTTGATAGATTTATTTTGGACTCAAACATGAACTTCATGCTCTGTGGAAAGCAGTCAGAGGAGTACTTAGCCCTTTTTAATCCACAGAGGGGAACTGTCAGAAGGAATTTTTTTATCTGAATCTGATTTGCTCTCATCATGTCTGTCCATACACGCTCTCCTACTTTGATCTCCTTAAGACATTCACTAGCTGCTCTCAGGAGCTCCAAGATTCATTCAACAGACAATCCAAAATGAAATAAGTTTTTTTTTTTTTTTATCTGTAGGTCTTTAGTTGATTGATTGCTTTACACAAGATATCACTTCCAGCATTTTGCACAGCTTTGGCTTTCATTAGGTTTAAACTAAATGAAAATAATAAAAGAAAGCACAGGTGTTAACAGCAGTGGAGTCTGTAGTTGTGGAGCCCTTATTAAAGACATTCTTTCAGCAAAGAAGAAAGAACTTGAGGTAACTTCTCAAGCAGCAAGGACGAGAATAAGCCCGACTAGTTTTGATTCTTGATTTGTGTATTTTTGCATCTCTTCACTGACAAAGGCAGAAAATATGATACGACCTCCTGCAATCCGTTGCTGAAACCAATAGGGGGCAGTACCTGACTGTCTGTCTGACATTTGGACACAAATCCACTGACGTTTGTTATCTGCAAGTGTTTTAAAAACAAGGGAGTCATACAGTGAATTTGACAAAGTTGGAAAAATGCATTATAAATTTAGTTTAAAAAAAAAACAATGAAAAGTGTAACATTGATTGATTGAAGACATAACTTACAAAGTGTGCATGTATGCAATGCTTAATTATGAACCCAACATTATATTTACATATTACAGTCGCCATCTGCTGGACAAAACCAATATTACCAATTACTCAGAAAAGGAAATGTTCTGTTTGATGGCACAAAATGTGATGAACCAGTTTGGTTTCAAGTGTGAGACATCATTACTTTTGAAAATGAACATTAACTGGTGTTTATGGCAAATCTGGTAGTCTACTTTTTATGAGCTCATTTCAAAATACAAAAAGCAACATAGTAGTGTCTGTTTTCTTTGATTTTTCTTTTTAACAGAAATGTAGCAGGTACCTTTTTAGCTATAGACCTAAATATATAAAAAATACAAGAGGCATACTTAGCCTATAAAAGCAGGCAAACCAGCACAACCTGAACGATCCTTATTTCTTAATTTCCTTTTAAATGTATATGTTGCTATTGTTGTTGTTCATATGAGTCTTAGACTACTTTATAGCACGATTCAATATTGTGTTTTAGCAGTGGGCCTTTGTGTATTAAAAGCATAGCCTGAGAGAAGTTTGTCAGAAGTTTTGCGATCAGCTGAGGAAAACTGTAATTATTTCTTCTACAGGCTCGACATGCATCCAAACATTAAATCCTATCAGCTCAAATAATTGCACCACGTTTGTGTCTCCCGAGTTACAATGCTTAAGTCAGCAGACCCGAAAGCTTAGCTCTCCTTTCACTTCTTTCAAACACATCATCAAAATCTGATTTAAAAAGACACGCCCCTTGATCCACTGGTGACTCGGTTTCCAGGACAACAGAAGACTGCTCTTGATTGGTTGGCTGTAAATCAGGCCCATGTTTGTCCAGGCTTGAAATATGTAATTTACTCTGAATGCCAGTCTGTTTCTGTATACCTCACCGGTGAAACAGGATACCCTGTGATAGCTTGAGTTTGTGTAGCAGACTGATTTTCATCTTCTTCATCATGGTTGAGCAATTTGTTGGAAACTGGACCCTGACTTCCAGCGATAACTTTGATGAATACATGAAGGCAATCGGTAAGGTCATTTTAAATGTAGCCTAGTGGAAAATATTGCAAACTGAGAATGATGTGTTGTTGAATGTTGTGTTTTATGTTTTAACTTCCAGTGGGAAAGTTTAAAAAAAAAAAAAAAAAAGATCATGTTGCAGCATTAGGCTACTCAACTAAAATAATTGAAAACTGTGAAACATATTTTAGGTATTGGCTTCGCCACTCGACAAATGGGCAACATGGCAAAGCCAAACCTGGTGATCAGCGTGGACGATTCTGGCGTTATTTCAATGAAGTCTGAGACAACTTTCAAAACCACAGAGATCAAGTTCAAGCTGAACGAGGAGTTCGAGGAGACAACTGCTGACGGCAGAAAAACAATGGTGGGTCATTCAATCTATTGTTGTTGTAACCCTGCACATCTTAGACGTTTTTCTAAGATCCCAACATTATTTTCAGACAACCTTCACTCTGGAGAATGGCAAATTGGTGCAGCTGCAAGCGTGGGAGGGAAAGAAGACGACACTAGAACGAGAGATTCAAGATGGAAAACTAGCAGCGGTGAGTAATTTGCATAATTGAAGACAGTTTTATCAATTAAAACATTTATAATTCTAATGTTAACTGTTGATGTTTGCATTAAATATATGTTTTTTAACGGAATTAAAACATGTTTTCTAACTTTCTAAAACATTTTGTCAACAGAAATGCACCATGGATGATGTTGTTGCAGTGAGGACCTATGAGAAGGGGGCTTAACTTGATTAAACATCAACATTGGTGAGCCTGGCACCATGAAGAAACCAAATGCACTGAGCTTTTGCCAAACATGCCAATAAAGTCTGAACCGTGATACTGAAGTCTGTGTAGCTGTGCATGAATCCAACTCAAACGGCGTTCCCTTCATGAGTAGATGCTTTCCTTTTTTTCCCGTTCTTCCAAGCAGAAGTTACTTTTTTTTTATTACTGTGGTGGCCGAGCCTTTTTGTGTGGAGGTGATGCAATTACAGTTGATACATCTTCTTTCTAAAATTTTGTTTTGAATATCTAGCTTTTAATGCTTAAGATGTGAAAACCCTGTAAGACCGACACCACTGAATCAATAGTTTTCTTTACCAGTAAGAATACTTGATTTTTAACCCATATTATTGGCTTGTTATGATCCAGTTTCAGTTTTAAAGTGACCTTGAACACACTGTAACGTCTTGATACCTAGGCTAGTTGCCAACTTTTAGAACATGGTTAGGAAGTCATTCGTAAAGTCTTACTTGACACGAACAAAGAGCTTTACAGAGGCCTTTTGTTCAAACAAAGAAAAGCATGTCCCGACCTCAGAGCAGCACTTGTGACAAGGAGGTTGGTGAATGGGAGGTGGGGAGTCCAAATCCCTGCTTGTGGTCAGAGAAGTGACCTCTAATTTGTGCCAAGCCTCTTGTCTTGGACTGAGAGGTTCAAGCAAGTGCACATAATTTGTTTTAATTAGGGTTCTTTGGGGCAGTAGGTTGAAGCCCAAATTCTCCAAAAGATTTCCAGGCTTACGTGAAATATTGTGACCCCGGGTGGTGCTCAGGCAACAAAGCGTACCGACTAATGAAAAGCTTATCCTTGTCTTGAGTGCCACATTTGATAAGACCATGCCACATGAACACTGTTTCGGGCATTATCCACATGTCGTGAAAAGATTTTTTTTTTTTTTTATATATCTGCAAATTGTTTCAAATGACTACGATATTGTGATTGATTTAAAATGCCTGTGTTTGAAAATTAAGTGAGTTTTCCCAAAAGTTATGTTGTGCATACACATGGGAGAGGGATTGCGGAGGACCTTAAGTTCACCCAATCTTGTTTAAGGTATCTGAATACCCTTTTGTTAAGACTTCAGCTTATTTGGGGTTGTGCATGGGTTCAGGCTTTAAGAGGCAGACCTCCTTTGAAATGGTTTTGCCCTTTTAAACTCAAATCATGCCTTAAGCAGGTGATTTCTTGGAAACATGATCCAATGAGCTTATTTCTTGAAAGCACCCGGTGGCCAAGGGCTATTGTATATCAATAGTTTTTTCATGAAATACAATAACCTTAATTAAAATAATAATAATCAAGGCATTTGGCTCAGATGTAACCAAGTTGTGTCGAATGTATTGAATTAATGAGAAGCCAACCAAAATTTTAATTTTTTGCATCCAAATTGCCTACAATGTTTTTAATTTTCCAAATTCAAAGAAACTTGAGTTTTGCTGAGCTATTTGTTTATTTAAAATATTACACAATATGAACTTGAATAACTCAGCTGTCATATTTCCTCTGCAGTTTCTTTCTAGCGTCACTGCTACCTCCCTGCAGTCGATTATAGTAAAAGCAGGACAGTACTTGGACAGTACCATTCATTTTCATCTAGGGGGGGATGCATGAGGTACACATTTTCTCGTAAATGGGCAACAGTTTAGTGACACATTTTTTTCTCTGAAAAAAAAGCAGTTAAACGAATATGAAATCGTTAAACCTGTCAACGTGTTTGTCGTGTATAATATTTTGAATGGTCAAACTTTCCACTTCCAAATGAAATGATCCGGACTACGTTGTACGTGACGTGACGCCATCATCAAACATGGCGGAGAAGGAAAACACAAACATGGAAGTCGATAAGGAAAAGAAAAAATCCTTTGCTAACAAAATTGACTCGCTCCAAGACGATGCAATCCAAAGAGTTGGCAACGACAGCAATGTCGCAGGCAAGAAAAACGCCGTCCAAAGCCGCGCCACAGCGGAGTACTGCGAGAAACTGCAGGCGTGGATGTGGCAATATTATACAGGTTATGTGAACTGGCAGAGCTGGATGGCAGCGTCAGCCATGTCCTGCCCTTATTATTTACAGTCAGCAAGCGGGACGTCGACGACAGCCTTGGATATTAACACTCAGAACTGGTTTAACAGCCCGTTTGTTCTCCCGTTATCTCCCTACCCACCCGCCGTCAACCCTCCGAGCAGCCGGGCAGGCGAGGCTGCAGGCGGGGCTGCAGTGTCCGCACAGCCGCAGCGGCAGCTACCGCAAGAGAACGGAAATGCTCAGCGACCAGGTAAAAGATGCTGGGTTAATCAAGTATCCTAAATGTTTAAAAAAAAAAAAAAAGTGAGGATACATACGACCTGTCTTTGTATTTGAATTTATAGTAGGCTTATATGAAGCGCTCGATCGGTAGGCCCTACTGGAGTTTGTAGAGTGGTTTACTCACTACACATGACCAGGTTGACATCCTGCATTCATTAAGCATGCAAGAAGATACATATTGAATCATAGTATATTAACACCTAGGTTAAATGTAGACATTATGTGCAGGTTTTGCACAAACAAAAGTCAAACACTATTCAATTCTGTTTCTTCCAAAACGTGTGAAACACATTAACAGACGCTATAAAAAGGTGTCAAGGGCAGCACTGCCTTATCAGCTTAGATATGATTAAAATCACAAGTGGCAGGTTAGTGTCAGGGTCTACCTACGTTACTGACACCAAGGCTTTAACATCTCATGTGTCATTGGTGCCGTATCCAATATCTGCAGGATGTAGTTTTTGATTCACTTTCACTTTTAGAAGTATTTTTTAGATCAAAAATGATATTCAGTTAACCATGAAATAATAAAGAGATAGCCAAGGAAATAGTCATTGAACACTATTGGGCTGAACCTAACCCAGGCCTTATCATTTAACATCAGTGAAGGTGCTGATCTGGAATTAAAAACAAATGTGTGTGTATGTGAAGTGTAGTAGTATCCCTGTTTGTGTCGTCTCAACCACACCTATTTGTTCCTCAATCCAGGCCGAGAGTATAGTATTCCTTCACCTCTCCAAAGACTCCTTGCTGAGATGGTGGATTTCTTCATTTTGTTTTTTATCAAAGCAACCATAATCATCAGTATTATGCACCTCAGTGGAATCAAGTGAGTTCATGTTACTTCTGTTAGTAGTGCTGCTTTGCATGTGATATTATTAGGCCTGCAATTGTTCATCCTCTTTGAAAAACACCAGACCAACCCCTAACTGAATATAGTACTATTTTCTTTATCTTTTAGGGATGTTTCGAAGTTCGCCATGCATTTCATAGTGGAGGAAATAGATGAAGACACCTCGATGGAGGAGCTACAAAAAATGATGCTAGTGGCACTAGTGTATCGGATATTAGTGTGTTTTTATGAGGTAAGCACTCCTAAATAAAGACTGTGATAAATTCTTTGACTCCGAAAGTGACCTACTTGTTAAATGAACTGTCAGCTGTTTGTCTGTAAATGGCATTTGGAAAAGCTCCCGTGCAGCTGAGTGATAGTCCCTACACTGTTCTCTCTTCAGATTGTGTGCATTTGGGGAGCAGGAGGAGCCACTCCAGGGAAGTTTCTGGTTGGACTCAGAGTTGTAACGTGTGACTCATCAGTTTTGGTTCAGCCTAACAGGGTGCTTGTAGTGCCAGCGACTAATGTCTCTCTGTCTGCGTAAGTAGTTTAGCAGTTAAAGGATATCTATTAGCAATTTCATATCAAATGCAATCCTTTTTTGTCTCTGTTTAACAACAATCTAAACTCCCTGTCTCTTTCTCTTCGTACAGATCAACTGTCCGAGCCTTAAACAAGAACTTTTCAATTGCCTTCTTTTTCCCGGCCTTCATCACTCTTCTGTTCTTCCAGCACAACAGGACTGTGTATGACATGGTAGCTGGTACAATTGTTGTGAAGCGCTCTGGAGCGAGATGATGCAAAAAAAAAAAAGTCAAGAAGAGAGTCCTAAACGTATTCAGAACTGGCACTGCGTGATGTGTGTTTTTTTCCAATGCCTGCAGAGCTCAGACAAGACAACCTCAGAACACACAGGAGAGGTTGACACACAACAGTATGAACTTTTGTAGTCCCCTAAAACGTTGGTTTGGTTTGCCTCGGACACGTACTGTATTTCTGCATGTATGTCTACATGCTGCTTTTCTATTCCTTTGCTGAATTGAGTTGTTCTTTAGGAGATAGTAAAAATGACGATATGCATAACTGTTTAATTGACATAGGACTCTTTTTGCCTTTTTCTAAATTCTCTTTGAGATTAAGGGTGAATGTAATGACTCACTTAGATTTCAGTCACTAATTATGCATTCATGAGATTATGACTTCGTATTAAAACATGTCTTAAGAATCTTTACTCAGACTTCATCTTTGAGTTGTAGACCTTCATCATGAAAGGGGTGATAATCATGCTGCTGAAATACCTTTATTCTAAGGCACTTTTTAATGTACTGATTTGAAAAGTTAATCTGACCACAACAGCTATTCCATTACTCTGAACTCAGCATGTGTGTGACTTCAACTAATGTATGTTCATGCACACCTTCTGTGATATCAATTTTTGCATTTCAGAAGATTAAATGAATCCACTCATTTCCTGCATGTTAATGATGTCTTGATGTCATGTCTTTCAGCAATTTGGCTGATTTAATAGATCTCCAACAATGTTTTTTTTTTTTTTTTTACCAACAGCCTGTAGTAACACTTGGATTGGCTTTTTAAACAAAGGCCTCCACTGTTGTAAAAACACATGAAAGCACACACATTTGTGAGAAGTCTCCATCAGTGTTTTTGTAAAGAGTTTGCACAAAGGTTCATTGAGACTGTTCTGGAAGATAATGGGGACTGTCGTATTGAAAAGGCTATGATGGATGTCCCTTTATTGTACTGTACTTTATCACCCATTTGTTTTGTTTTTAGTATCTCCCCCAGTGTCAAACTTGATGTCACACAAAATTATCAAAATATCTTGTATGAATTGAAACATTTTTTCCTTTGAAATCTTGGAAATATTATTTTAAAAGAGTATAGATGAATTGGGATCTCTCTGGGAAGTAATTGTCACTTGAAATGTAAGGCCCTGGTATCTTTTGTGAAATATATTTCAAACTTGGCAATGTACTTCCCAAACTTCATTTTTCACTTTACTCACAGAAAAGGTGAATAGTATGTATTTCCAGTATTACAAAAACAAATAAACCTTGCAAGTTAGAATTGTAATCCAGAAGTACTTTGACTTTATTATTTGCTCTGTTTTGAGCAGTGGTTGGCTCCACCTAGTGTTTGTTTGTTGGTTATACAGATGCAACTCTACTTGGATAATGCACCAAGGAAAATAATCCCTCATCATCGTTAACCATCTATATTTGATGCAGAATCAATGTGATTCTTGTACAGTCACACAAAGAAGTCGATAATTCTGTCCTTATGGGTGACAAACAAGTTTCTTATGATATAAGGAACTGCTTGTATGGACTTGTTTCAGGACTTTTCAGTCATTCTTTGAAATGTCTTTTCTAAGATTTATTTTTGGGGACTTTTTGTGCCTTTATTAGAGAGACAGAACAGTAGGTAGAGTCAGAAATTAGAGAAGGGAATAGAGTGGGAATGACATGGAGTAAAGGAGCCACAGTTTAGATTCAAACCTGGACTGCCCGCTTTGAAGCCGGTAGTGTCAGTACATGGGGCACCTTCACGCCCCAATTCCTTTGAATTTTCTGCCAGGTCAAATAAACTTGGTGGGAGTTGCTGACGCTCCAATTGTCCGCAAGTGTTGATGGGGTGATTGTGTTAGGCCAGCTAAGTGGCAGCTTCAGTTGACAGCCCCAGATGGTGCTCCCAGATAACAGAGAGACCCCATCCACATGCTGCTGCCATGTGCCAAGCCATTACTGTAGGCAGCAGAGTAATATAACTTTTATTGGTGAAGGGCTATGCTGAGGACCCGAGAAGTGTGGGCAGACACTACCCACCACCATTATAACTTCACTGTATACTGATGAGTGAGTGCAGCTATATTTGGAGCACAGGCATGTTTGTAATCTATTTTAATATCGACAGGCTCTGGCTCACATCCACAGAGAATTGTGCAGGTGGGAGATTTTTTTAAAAGCTCAAGGGGAAAATGATTACTGAAATTAATGACAGAGGTTTGTGTGGAAACACTTAATAATACAATCAACCTCAAAGATCTTGCAGTGGAAAAAAACTCAGTTAAATTAGTCATCCATGAAATGGCAGAGTTTCTCATTTGTTCATTTTCATATTATCCTGATTGCATATCGAAGACACATCAAAATACCATTTGGCAATACTAGAAGTGCTGATGAACACATCCCAATTCACATAAATATGACTGTCTTCACTCCCCCCCCCCCCCCACACACACACACACAATTTTCCATGTTTTGTTCCTTGCTGCCACATGGCTTTCATAAGGTCCAGCCAAGTTCCTGCCACCGTGCATAGCTCTTGTTATAAGTCATCTCCAGGTCACATGGAGGACTCACAGCTTTCTCTGACAGCCATGTGTCTGTTTCTAGAAAGAGCCACAGACAGGCCAGAGGAATACAATAAACAACCTGAGCTCAACTGAACCAAAAATATTCTCTTGGAGAGTGAAACAATTTCTGTCCTTAAAGTCATTATTTGTTCATTAGAGGTTTCAAAATACCAGCTGGCTCCAGGTGTCTTGAAATCATGGAAAAGTGCGGTTGACTTCTCAGTCTTGTTGTTTTTCTCCCAGTGTGTGTCAGCATGTCCGTTGGTATTCCTCTCAAGTGGAACCAGTAATCACAGGCTGGCTGGTTTCTGCCAGAATGAAGAGGGCTGCTGATGAAGAAGAGACCTGTTAACTGGGTGAGGAACATGAACTCCTGCTTTAATACAAACATGTCATTGAGTATGAGAGTAACACAAATTAGCTTATCAATACATATATATTTATAATATGAGTTCATCTTTAAGGACTTTTGGGACTAAAACTGCTGTTTAAACACATGGATATGTAGAGATCGAGCACATGTTTGAATATTGACTTTTATCTAGCAAGTAGCCTACTTAGAAAAAAAATATTATAATGTTATGAGAGGAGATAAGGGTAAAAAGTAGAATGTTTATGTATTAAGTTATTTTCTCTGAAGGGAGAACAGTCAGACATTTAAAGAAGAGCAGGGGAAGATTTCAAATCACATTTCAGTCTTAACTTGAGTTGCACAGAACTGATCCAGGTTCACTAACTCACTTAAAAGGTAAATCATAACTTCTTCCATTACTAGCTCTTACTCACTTTTTTTAGATTTACTTTTGGGCTTTTTGTGCCTTTATAGAGATAAGACAGTGGATAGAGTCGGAAATCAGGAGAGAGAGAGAGAGAATGGAGAATGACATGCAGGAAAGGAGCCACAGGTTGGATTTGAGCCTGATGGGCCACCTGCTTGGAGGACTATAGCCTCCATACATGGGGCGCGCGCACTAACCACTGTGCCACCAGTACCCCTGGTTGAAAGTTTTTATAAGTACACTATATAGTTTTACAAGTTAATTCTCACTACCTTATACTCAAATACAGAGGTTTAGAACTGGAAAAATGGTTTTGGGGTTAAGTTACCATTTCATAATGTTATAGAGCATTTGAGATCTAAGGACTGAGGGTGTTGTAGTTGTATTTAGGTAAAGGGGAAGTTAACCTCCTCAGCCAATATTTACATACAGTCACTCAGTGAATTAAAACTGGATGTGTGTGTCCGAATGTGATCAGATTACCACTGTATCATTTGCATGCACTGCATCAAAAAATCTAAATTATGAATGAGCCTTTATCTAGTAAAGAGAATAAAAAAGAGTGAGTATGATATGAATAAACTCATTTTCCAGGATAGCATGCTGTCTGTGCTGGAGTGCTCTCTCCTGGTCTAAAAATAGTTCTGAATATGAGGCGAAAAACAAACCCAGTATGGGTGATACAGTCGTATGAAGAGAGATGGTGAGTGTGTATGGTAAATGTGTTGAGGGGAAGCAGCGCAGCATTCATATATTTTTCTATGACATAACATTAGGTTTCTGGCTGTTTGTGTTTTTGAATCCAGCAGACTTCTGCTTGAGGCTGCCGAGTTGTCAAGACAACCATGGAGGCTGAATTTGTAACTGCAGAGACATTCAGCTTTTCTCTCCTTCTTAGATAATGTTGCTTTGCTGCACATAAATATGTAGGACTCTAAACTGAAGGGTAGAAATTGGTCTATAATTTATTTGGCCCCTTTTCTGCCTCCAGAAATGTAAGATTTTTTTTGGATTCTCCTTGACAGCTGCTTGTCCTTTTCACTTTGTCACCTCAGTATTCCTCATGAAGAGAAAGTCTTCACCACTGGATAAGGAGGTGCTGGATGCAGTGACTGGAAACAAAGCTGCATTTTTACAACAACAACAAAATGAGACTTAGTTCCTGCCACCTTACATGGCTCTTGTTATAAGGGAGTCACTCACAGCTTTCTCTGACAGCCATGTATCAGGGTCTGGACAGAGGCATGGTAGGCCAGAGGGAATCTTCTTGAAAGCTGCTTGTCCATTTCACTCTCATCTCATTCCTCCTCATGTCAAGAAAGTTTTCACCACTGATTCGCAGAAACAGTAGGGATATGGGAAAAAGTGCTATATTTATGTGAACTTAAAAAAAGATCAAAATATAAACCAAAATCAAAGATGGAAAAACAAATGTAAAAATCAAAATCTCCTATTATGTTTCCATTTGCAGAACTGCAAAGATAATACACAAGAATGTGTTATAAAATATTCACTACTTAAAAAAAGAATAGGTTTCAAATGGGAGCACTGTTTGCTTGCATACTTTCACATTATGTTGATATAGTGATATATCTATTTTACACACATCAATGTTTGTGTCTGAGGTGCAGCTTAAGAGGCAAATATACTGCCCTCTGTTGTATATATCTGGTATTTAACCTACACCACAGCAGGAGGACTGGGCAGGCTTTCACTGAGGTCATTGAGGTCATTTCAATAATGGTCTGGTTCCTTGCTTGAATATCTTAATCAGCTGACTATGAAAGAATCAGCATGGGTCCATGTTGAGTAAAGAAGTTATATTGACAGATATTTTATTTAATATAAAAGAACATATTATAAGGAAGTTACCGGTAGTATTATATTGTCTCATTCTCCTTCCCCATCTTTCCTATTGAACCATCAAACAAATCTCTTCATGAACATCTTTAGAAACTATGATTACATATTAAGAAGAACTAGATTTTTCTGGCTGTGCGTTGAGCTCATTTGTGTTTTATGTGTCTTTATAATTCATTATGTTCAAGTGTTTAAACAAACTCTTCTACATTCCCTCAGTGGCCATACTACTCCTCCACAAATCCCCCCCACCCAGTCTTATAGTTGCCCAAAACTGTGTTCTGGAGATGTGCGTAAGCACTGGCTTTCTATTTTCAGCTGAATGAAAAGAGTCTTGGCATTTGGACTCAGGATGAAATCTGTTTTGTTCTGCTGAATTTGGCTCTCAGCACATGCTTACTATCCAAATGTAACTGGATTAAAGAGGTCAGTTTAATTATGTACTACAGTAAAACCACAACCATTTCACTTAGAAGAGCAACTTTCAAAGGGCAATATGTTATCCTTATTAAGCCTACGTATGATGATATCATTCTGAGGTCTTTTGCCTGCTACAGTAGGCCTACACTTGTATGGAAGGTGTCTGTAGAAAGTGATTAGAGCAATCATTTTTGATGTATTAGGTTGATGTATTCCCCAATATAAGCAGCCAATCCCATAGCTATATGGTCACATTGCAATTTTTTTTTTACAAGAAAAACATATAAGACCCTTATTAAAAATGTAAAGACATGTCATTTTTATTGTGAAATAAAACATATTCATATATATATAAGAAATATATAAGAAATATATTAGGCTACATCCGGCTACATCACACCTGAATGTCAAAGTCTTCAGGCCTAAGTAAACAATTATTGTAGCCTACTCTTCTAATGAATTATATTGAACCCATAACCTTAAAATAGGTAACTTTAGTTTCAGAGCTATACCAACAATATGTTTGTTTGTCATTTTTTCCCTCTTAAGATATTTCATCCAAGGACCTTTTCAAGGTCAAGTTAAACACCTGTCAGAACTAAATAAGCCTAGCTGAAATTTAATAATTTGTGACAGATTTTAAATGAAGTGTGCAACAGTGTATCTTCTGATCAAAATAGTGAAACTGAGTTGATGTAATATGTATGCACCCTTTAACAAATGAATGAACCTTGTTGGAGAGGTGAGGTCGGTATCACCTGCCTGGTAGATATTGCTGTCCCTTTGCTCTTTTCATTAACTGCTGAATACACTCGCTCTCAATAGGCTCTTTCAGCGTGTCATGCTACACCACCATTGAGCTACAGCCACGTTACCACCCATCTTTCTTAATGGGGACTGGAGACTGTGGAGCTGCCTTGTTGCCATGGCAGCAGGCGCTTTCACATTCTCCCCACATAGCGTGCAGTGAGCATGTTACTCCTTCCAAACTGGAGTGTGCACAGACAGGTCTGCTCAGACAGGACCAGGACCCAGAGTTATTGGTTATTTACCTCTCGCTCTTTTACCAAATGCCCTCTTAAACCCCCCCTTTCTGTACTCTTTATTACTTATTCATAGTTTAACCCCATTGTGTTCTCCTATTTCTCAAATCTGCCTCTTCACTTACTTTTTCTTATGGCTTTGTTTTTGTTAGCAGCCTTTTTTTTTAATTTATCAAACATTGTTCGACAATACAACAACATCATAGATACAATGACAAAACATTAGTTACAAAAACAACACAACAGTACTAAACTGGTAGTAAGGATGCAAAGCTACATTGCTTGTAACCTACTGTAAATATGTGGTCACTAATTGGCGGGAAAAGTGAAACCACCCAGGGACCACACCATAGGGAGGAAGCCTTAGAATAGCCTACCTAAAATATTTAAAACATTTTAAAGAGCTATTTATAAACTACATATTATTGGCTTTTGGGGTCATGCATTGCTTACTGAATGACTCATTTGACGACTATCTAAATTTTCTAAAATCGTATCAGAGTGATCAGAGCATGTGAGGCACCGTGCCACCCTCTGAAAGTTGCACATGGTTTAGTCCACTCAGGTCAGACATTGTTTATGTACATTCATTTCGGTAATGTTAGCAATTGGAACTGCAGCAGGTAAACTTTGACTTTGTCATGTATTTTCATAAAAGTTTAAAAAGGCTTAAGAAAAAAATAATAAAATGGAGATAATATGTGTTTTACAATAGTTTAATATCGATATATAATGTTGCTAGAAAGCTAAAAATGTGAAAAGTTAAGTTAGCTTGCTTGCAGGTAATAAGCTAAGTTAACTTGATCAGGTGAGGCATCAGCTGTGTTGCATAATTTCCTCTCATTTTATAAACAGTATAGGCACTTTAATACTTATATGCCACCATAGAAATATGATAATTATTGGACTTGCTATTGTATTACAGTAATTTAATGTTGATGTTTAGTGACACTACACTTTGCTACAACCTAAAAAACATACGTCATGTGACTCCATGACGTACATAGACCTTATTATTTAGTCTGTGGCATAGACACACAGATGCTTACTTTAAGCATTTTTAAATGGTGTTATTGCTATTGTATTTGCATTTAAGTTTTTGCAAGACAGGACTCTCACTCCCTCATAAATTTTTTGACAATTTGGCACAAAATCAGATTATGGCTACCACTGTCTTAAACCATAATGGCATACACAACTTTCAACTAACATTGGACCCACGAGTGACAGATTTGTTCCAAATTGTTTAAACAAGTGTTCCTTGAAATGTTTGAAAAATTATGAATGACTTCATACAGCTTTCTATTTCCCAAAATGTGAGTATGTGACTGTTGTTTGCATCATACAGGCTTTCAGTGTCCTGTGAGTATAGTGATCAGTGTTACATGTCTGGACATGTCTGCTGAATTAGAGGAGGCTCACTTGAGCCCAAGGGATTGTATGATGAGGACGTAGAGTAGAGTGTGTGTAACGATGCTTGGATTATTGTTTGCTGGTCCCAGAACAGTTTCAAGGTAATATGAGTAATCTCTACAGATTTGCATGGATATTGTGGTTGAAAAGGAACTCTTATGGAAACTTGTGTTTTTCTTCATAATAAGGGTAATGCCGGTGTTAAAACCTGCAGCAGCTGGAGCCATCTTGAGTTTCACTGTTTTCTGCTGAAGGCTACTGTGTTTGAGTGTGTTAGAAAGAAGAACAGTGAGCAGCTGTGTGCTGAGACAACTCTGTTTGAAAAGTAAGGAATGTAATGCATTAGGCACTTTTGGTTTAATGGGAGGGAGAGAGTGCTAATGAAAAAACATATAGTACCTACTACATTAATACGCGACTACTTACTACTACTCTTAATCAAAAGACCATAAGCTTCAGTATAGTCAATATTTGTTAGATGACATAATTCTTGTTAGTGGTTGGATAGTTCAGAGTACTCCCTCTTCTCATGTGTAAACCACTCAGAGGAATGCAGCACATGTTGCTTGGCCTAAAAGAGCAGAGCACATTCAAATATGCCAGCAAAACCCCTCTGTCAGGTTTGACCACACTAATCAGCATCTTTGAGTATTCAATAGAATCTGTTAGATGAACTTCAAAGTATATTTAGCATCACTGAGGGGTACAGATAACAGAATAAGGATAAACAAACTGTATAGTTCCTTAAAACAGCAGGGTCGATTTCTGCTTTGAGTTTGTGGGATGGCCGTTGTAACATTGGATGCTATATATTGTTATGGAATACAGCAATGTTGAGATTTTTCAGTGAATACAGCAGAGCCAAAACAAAAGACATTGTAACAGCCGAGACAAGTGTAGAAGATTATAATAGATTTTATATTCTGTCTTGATTAATACAATTTTTTATTAGAATTTCCATTAGTAATGCCCTACAATAACATGAACATATGATAAGAGCAACGAGGAACTTTTAGAACCATAAACTCAGCATTTCTATTCAAACAGTGAACTAACCTCAGAGAATTCTGATTTATATCCAACATATTACCATACATAACATTGACATAGTGTCCCTTAAACACAGCTCTGCAGAAAACAATCCTATCATCACATCAGCACACATGGCTTGTGAGTAAGGGATGACCTTTTCAGTCACTATATTCACAGCTTGTACACTTAATTCTTAATAATATATCAGTATGTACTGTACTGCTACATCCTTATAATCACACTGCAAACTGGGAAGAATGATGCTGTACATTCTGAAGCACTACCACTTTACCCTGTCCAGAAATGCAGCCACAGTCAAGCTAAAACCTGGAAGAGAGATTTAACAGTTGTGTCTTCTTGTGTTCTCACTCTTGATTTACTCGGTACAGTGAGCATTTTACTCCATGCAATTACACCAGCTGGATTTGTGAATTATCCCAGGAAAGCTTATTTGAGCTTGCTTGGCTGACATTAAGGCTGACCTTGAACGCACAGGGAGCCATGTCATGTCAGGAAAACCACAATCTCTTCTAGATGCACTTAATGCTCTACAAGATCTTGTTATGTTTGTAGCTTTGGGGATTGTGTAGTTAGTATAATTTACACGATGCTGGCAGCTTCTTTGAAGCAACTTGAGTCACAGTAGAATTATGTGGCTGTCGTACCTTTGCAAGGACGATGTACAGTATGCCCATGTTTTGTTTTTTTTTGTTCTCAGGATCACCAGCGGGGGAAGCACATCTTTGGATTTTAGTGGTTTGAAATGAGTGCTTGTGTTTTTGTAATAATCAACAGGTTGGGACCTGTCCAAGGCTAGATCGGTTGAAGGATAAATAAATACATGAATGTAATTACACCCAAATGACAGTTTTGATGTTTAAATTTCAAAGAATAATAAACTAATGCAATTTTGTTGCTGCTACAGAGAAATTCCCGTAAGCTACTCACATAACACTTCTTATTTGAGGATGCAGCTGTGGGAAATTTCAGCCCCCCCATAACAGCTGGTGTAGTTGTAAGACTATTTACTAGTCTTGTTGTATTAGCACGGTTGTCTAATTTGATGTATTCTCTGTGTTTTCCTTAGTTTGCAGTCTAGGTTAAGGAGACACCCTGCTTGTTTTGCCTGCAGAGGAGCAGATAGATGGCTGGTCTAGTGATGGTGAGTGCTTGTCTGCAGCCAGGCTCTCTCTGTTCCATGCTGTACTGGATAAGGAGGAGGCCCCTTGGGTGAGGAGGGCTCCAGTGCCAAGTGGCCAGGCGGCAGGGTGTTTATCAGGGCTGCCTGCCTGTTCTGAGGGAAATATCTCTGGGTAAGAGATGGGGGAGGCCTGGGGAAACCGTGAAGGGGGGCAGTGACAAGCAAGTCCGAGTCACTGTGCTGAAAATACTAAAATTGTAGGGCAACTTACAGGGCAGATTAGGAAGAGATTTGCCTCCACTGGGGAAAGTGCATATGAAAATGAACAAGAACGGGGCCGTGCATTAGAACAGCTTTGACGTGCTAACACATTGAACAATTTAATCCTCTGTCGGTTTGTGCTTGTGCATATGTGTTAGTGTCTCTCCATGTGTAAGCCAATGTGAATATCCCACAGTTATTCACATTCATGCAGTATGACTGTCTGAGCAAAGCCTCTCTGATTCTCCAGCTCTCTCTCGTTTTCACTCTCCCTCCCTCACCCTCCACTCCGTCTGTTGCTCCCTCCCCCTCCTTTCCCTCGCTGTGTGAGCGTAGTCTGGGCGCCAAGCCAAGTAGAGTGTGTTTTTTTGAATGAATACCTGATGCGGCTGATGAGGCTGGCTGGGGGAGGAGCTGTGTCAGTGGAGTACTGAGAGAGAGAAAGAAAGAGGAGGGTGGTGGAGAGGGAAAGAGAGAGAGGCAGAAACACACACAGAGAGAGAAAGAGAGAAACAGCCAGGCAGAGAGGGAGCTGGCGGTCTGGTGGCCTTGCATAACACACGTTGGAGCAGCCTTGAACGCAGGACTTGGTGTTTGCTTCAGCAGTGGGGAACTTCCTTTATCGTCAGCCCGTTGCAGGGGCAGCGTATATTATCCAAACCAAGGAGCCCAGAGAGAGAGAGAGAGAGAGAGAGAGGAAGGAAGAGCTGGAGCAGCAACAGCACAGGCTCTAGGAGAAGAGAGCGGCACAAAGGAGAGATTCAGGAAGAGGAGTCCTAGGAAACACGTCTCCAACGCACATACATAGATACACACACACACACACACACTGGCAGGAAGAATCCTTGGACATGCTCTGCAAGCAGTGGCTGTGGAGAGACTGGTGAGCTATTCTTAGTACTCTAACCAAAGGAGGGGAGGAGGAGGGGGGGATGGTTTGTCTCTTTTCGTCTTGATTTGTGCCACAGTAGTATTTTATGCTACTGCTACTACACTCATCTCACTGTCATTGTGAAGACCCCAGAGGCTACAGTCACAGCGTTTGTGTACAGAGTCACAGTTGTAGCATTCAAAAGCATTGACCCTGTTTGCTTGTGGAGTTGCCTGCCGAGAGTGACGCTTGCAAACACATCTCTGCTCGTATGCTGTGTGATCGGTTTGTGTGTCGAGCAGCGATGCAGAACTCTGGAGTCATTGTGAAGACAAACAGCCGAAACCCGCTGCCTGTTCTTACTGTCTGCTTTAGTCTGCCACACGGTCGGTCCGCCTCTTAAAGGCACAGGCACCACGTTTGTACGGAGATGGGGCAGTAAAATGGCTCTTTTGGGTATTAGATAAAGCAGTACACTGTATTGATCTGTTCTGTGGTTAAAGCAGCTGTGTATGAAAGAGGCTTGAGGGGAGGTCCTATTAATATGCCGCGATACACATATACGCACATACATATTGTCCTCCATAGTACCTCCCCCCTCTGTTTCATGCCAATTCTCAGATTGATAATGATGTTTTTGTACTCTATATATAGCAATTTGCTGTACAGGATATTCACTGTGTATCCATGACTGGTCTGGCAGGTGACACATGAACATGCCTTACATTATTGACAACAGGTTTACGAGAAATTGCATTACCTCATAGAAGCAACATATCAGGACATAGTCACTAAATAATTCTGTTGTTTTTCTATTGCCTCACTGCATCATCCTGCTGCAGATAAATGTTATTGCTATGAAGCTGTGGATCAATGCGAAAGTAAATAGCTGATCTGGAAACATGAGAGAAGACTCAGGCAGAAGGAGAGGATGTAGGGGACTGGAGGAGCTGGAGACTGCTGCTGCGTAAGAGGGAGGAGATATATCTCTGCTGGGGGTTTCTCACCTGGAGACAACAGAGAGGAGGCTGAATGAACAAAACATCTCATCCGGGCTCCAGTGATGGATGACACACATCTTAACACAAATGTATTTCTATGGTTTGTGCAGCTTTTTTCACGTGGGAGTAAGAGGATCACATGTAGGGCTGGCTCTATCATTCTGTCTGAGCTGAAAATCATTAGAGTGATGAGCATCACCCCTCTCCATCTCTCACGGTGTTGTCCCCTCTCAATAAATGTCTCAAAGGTGACAGTCCTGGGACAGGGGACTAACTCAGGGCTCCTGCGTTTATTGTGTCACGGCTTGAAGACTTGCCTTTGTTCTCCATAGTATCACATGAGCCGTATGTTTGTTAGTGTCACTGTGTTCTAATAATAGGCTGGAAAATTGAGAGAGGCTTTTGGCTGCTGAGCTGTGTGTGTGATGTGCACATAGTGCAGCACAGGTCATATGAGGAGAGGAAAGACACCTCATTCTGTTGAGAATTCTGTTGTATCTTGATGGTGATGGTGTGTTTTTGTGGGATTAATAAAAACAGCGCATCCTCGCTTTGTCGTCCTGTGCTGCAAGGATCATTCTTGTGCTTTAGATGTGATGTCATTCCAGTGTTGATACGGTGTAGCTGAGGTGGGGTTGTTGCCACTGAGCGATGCTGCACACTGTAGCTCAGGCTGTAGCGGTGGCTGTGTTGCTGATCGGGGGATCTCTTGAGGAGGTGGGGGTTTGGTGCGCTGATGCTGCAGGCGCTGCTCAATGTGGGTCAGGAGAGGCAGCACTCTATCGTCTTCTCCCCATTCTCTCTCTCCCTTTCTCACTCTTAATCCCTCCTTACTCCCTTTCCTCCTTTTACACAGTTCTATCTGTCATCTTATATTGCCCCTCTCTCTTTCCTCCCCCTGGTTCTCCTCTTTCTGTTTCTCTCCAGCTCTGCTGCTCTACTCCTTTGTTACATCTGCTGAATCTTCCAGGGTTTGTGGTTAGATGAAATGCATATTGCACAAGGTTTTTGCTGCCTTCCGATGCAGTGACCTTGTCAAAGCCAGCATTAGAGGTAGATGCATCTAAATAGAACTGACCAAGGTCGCTTCCTGCGTTTTTTTCCCCTCTGTCTTTATGTAACACGTCTGAGTAGCCTGCTGTAGCCAAACTCCTCTATGATATGAAAATACGATTTAGCACTGTCTACTAGCTCCTCTAAATGGTATTTAGGGGAGAGGACTGAATGGATGGATGTGTGAGAGTGTGTGTCATACACTCCATCTCCGTGGTGCCTCTGGCTAATGAACAACTCAGAGTGGTGTGCATTGACCCACAGATAAGCCTGCAGGAAAAAAAACAGCTAATCCGAGGAAGAAACTGTGAAAAAGCATTGCAAACAGCTGCATGTCAATGTTGCATGTCTGGATGCACCTCATACTGTTTGTGTTTCCTCATAGCTTAAACATTTGTGCATAAATATCAATCTACAATTCATGTGACCTTATGTCTGGTCCTCCAGTCAAACATTGATCATGTCTAGCTGCTGCTGTGGGCTGTTGACATAGTTAGGTACCTCTCAATAGCCCACCTTGAACACATCATGAGTTCAACCGACCTGGCTGCAAATAAAAAGCTTGTTTCATTCAACTCTACCTGGCTTCGGTCAGCCTTTCGCTTGCCCAAACTCTAAGAGGGCCTACTCATTCATTGTTTGTTGTTCACTTAGCATTCCCTTGAACTTTGCAACACCACTCAATTTGCCTTCAGCGGAAAGCCATTGTTCAAATATTTTGAAGCACTTCAGTGATTGCAACAAAGGCCCATTTACGCTTCTTGCAGATTGTTCCATAATCAAATTTCCAGCCATATTGTTTTCACTTCATTTTTCTGAAGTGCCCACTGACCCAGAGTTCCTGTCTGGAGGTGGATGTTATATTTACAGCAGCCCCATCTGACTCAACACAGGACTATGGAGTGTTAAAACAAAGACAAAAAGCACAAGCTCCTCTGAGGCTGTTACTATGTACTGTTTTTCTTTCACTCTGCTTTCTTACCCTAGAGCCTGGAGCAAGATAACAGCCAACAGCAACACACATACAATAACCCTGTACACATGCACATGCACATGCACACACACATACACTCATAAACAGAAAAAACACAGTTGAGGAAACTCCTGCGTGGTGTTGGAAACATGAAAAGGCCCTTTCCAAGTTGTGTAAATGATGACACACAACATTACACTGTACTTTCCTGTACGTCATACATCATAACACATAGAGAGGCAGGCTGAGCCCTGACAGATACATCTATGTAGATCATCTGGAGCTGCATCTTAAAAGGGTTGTTCTTGGAGTAATGTTCATAGTACACACTATGGCCACTATGGAAAAACATAAATCAGATGCAGGAATTGTACCAGACACCACCTTGTGGCAAAATCAAGGACACCATCTTTAAACACCAGGGATTTTTTTTGTAAATGTTTGAGTGTCTGCATTTCAAACTGCATTATGTGAATATGTTGATAAAAAAAACAGGCTGTATATACTGAGCTAGTACCTCTGTTGGATTTGAAAAATAAGGGCATCTTCATGCATCGAGGGCCTTTAAGCTGTTCAACATGTTTTTCAGACCTTTAATTCCTGCTTACCTGAGTCTGATTTGAGCTTCTCTCTGTTGTCAGATTCCTGCGGACATCATAGGGAGCTGGATCAGTCAGAGATGATTCCTCATGAAGTCTTTGGAGCTCATTCTGTGAGCTGGAGTGACTCCATCTTCTTTGTTTTGAGATCTTGAGCTGTCAACCACTGAACACGAAGAGAGCCAGAGAGGCCAGCCCCTGCACGTAAACATCTATTCAAGGAAAGAGAGAGAGCGAGAGAGAGAGAGAGAGAGAGAGAGAAAGACAGAATAAGAAAGTCTTAAACGGAGTACCTGTGATTGCTGAACCAAAGCTGGCATAATGAAATCCAACCAGGAGCGGAGTAATGGATGCCTGCCTCCTAAGAAGCGGGAGATCCTGGCTTTGGAGCAGAGGCCAGTGGTGGTGGCCACAGCCACACCTGCAGCTGGACTGGTTGCTGACAGTCCCCACACGGAGAACCTAGCATGGCTAGCAAGTGTAGCCAGTGAACGGTGCAAATCAAGGGACGCAGAGATTCAGAGATGTCCCATATCCTCATCTTCCTCCACTTTTTCCTCCACTTTTCCCTCAACTTCTATCTCTTCCCCAGCTGCTCCTCTGTCTGCCGTTCCCCTGACCTCTCTGCCTGCCGTTTACCCAACAGCCCTTCCCCAGCAGGCTGGAACTATCCAGTTTGCTCAGCTGGGACCCAACGTTCAGTTCATAAGCTCTGGGCCCTATGCCGGCTACATCTCCTCCCACATCATCTCCACAAATGCTAGCTCTGCACCAACTAGCTCTACCATTGGACAGCGCACCCACCTAGACAGTTACACCACTGCCCTCATCTCTCCCAACACCAAAGGGGAGCAGCAGTTTCAAATAGCTGTTTCTCCTACAGAATTGACTCCCGTGTCGCTCCCAGGCTCTCCCCAAGTCACCAGCCAGTACATTCATCTGGACAGCAGAACTCCTCTCACTGTCAGTGGAAATGCAATCACTCCATCCACAGCCCACCTCCAGCTGCATCCTCACACAACCGTCCTCCCTCAAACGCTCACTCTGGCTCCATCACAGCTGGTGGTTCAGTATGCAGACAGCCCAATTGGAAAGAAAATGGACGGACATGCTAAGGGTACTCTGAATGGGGAATTTGAGGTGCTAAAACATACCAAACAACCAAATCAGCTGGCGAACCATCAGCATGTCCAGAGTTATGAGGCCAGACATATCATCCTACCTGCAGAATATGCTCATAACCCTGCAGGACTCCAGACCTCCTTGGTGCTAGTTGCCCAGCCAAACCATGGAGCTGAACGGGATGCTGGCCCAAACAAGATCTCCTTGGTCCAGACTGAGAAAGGAGGCATATGTTTGGGGAAACCAGTATCCAGATCCTCCTCTTTCACCTCCCTCACTTCATCAGAGGTGATGAAGTCCGTTGCTCCTCACACAGTCATCCAGACAACTCTACCGTCTGAGGAGCTACCAGCTAGTCTCTATTCTTCCACACAGCCACCCATCATTGGATATATCACCAATACAAACCAGCATGCAGTCAGCTACCATGCCACACTGCCCCAGCACCTTGTCATCCCCAGCGGTCAGTCTCTGCTCATCCCAGTCAGTGGAACAAATAACAGCACAGAAATTGAGGTTAGCCGCTCTGTTAGCACACTGACTGCTACCACCACCCCTCAAATATCCACCGCCATGCCGCATGCCTATCTGGCCACAGCCCTGTCCAAGTGTGAAGCACTCGGGCCAAATGGAAACCAACTTTCCCCAGCTGTTGCCCAAGCCCCAGTGCTGCCAGTCCCGCCCTCACACCCAGCTCCTGCTGTTGTGGCAGCTCCCTCCCCAACACCCACTCCTGTCCCTACTCCCAACCCAGTTTCCATCCAAGCCTCCCCCCCCATCTCCTCTTCCTCCCCCCCTGTGGCGCTTCCTCCTTTCTTTATGCGAGGCTCCATCATTCAGTTGGCTGATGGGGAGCTGAAGAGAGTTGAGGACCTGAAGACAGAGGACTTCATCCAGAGTGCTGAAATAAGCAGTGAGCTGAAGATTGACTCCAGTACTGTCGAACGCATTGACAATGGGCAGAGTCCTAATGCTGTGGTCATACAGTTTTCTGTGGGAGCGCTCAAAGCCCAGGCAAGTTACTCCTCATTCATCATTCTAGTGCAATTAATTACGAATGTATTTTTCATAGTTGCCCTCTTTGAGCTCCCCCTGGTATATGAAATGGCATCGAAGGGCCATTTTGATGACAATGAATGCACACATAACTACTGATCAGAAGTTTACATAAGACCATGAAAATGATGAGAAAGTGTACAGTATAAAAGGATCCACTAGTAATAAGTTAGGTTGATAAGCTCTCTGTAATGGAATGTCTTGATATTTATCGACAGACAGACTTAGATGGTCATAGTGATGAGAGCAGGAAAATCACTGATGTTAACAACAGTAACAATGGCACCTTTCCATTGAGACTCTCAGAAAGATTTGATAGTTTGTGAATTGAAGCAGCTAAATGGAATCCAGCCTTCATATCTTTATTATTTACACCGCTGAATATGTGAACTCACATTTTACTCGTTGTTAGATGTGTCTGCTCCCCCTCAATTTCCATTTGATTGAGCAATTCACAACTTTTAATGAAATATCAGGTGGGTTGAAGTCCTGTTGAGGCTATTTAGTAAACAACAAAGATGGCTGAATCCACAATTGTGTCAATATCAAACAACTGAACACTGCTTTGCAATAGCACTAATCATGTCATGCCTTACTATTTATAGAGGTACATTTGTTGACATTTGTTTGATATTTGTATTTGTATCCAGCTAGAAGCTAACTTTCTGTTGTGTATGTGCTCTTCTCCAGGTGTGTGTGGAAGTGCTGGTGGAGTACCCTTTCTTTGTCTTTGGTCAAGGCTGGTCATCCTGCTGCCCAGACAGAACCACCCAGCTGTTTGAGCTGTCCTGCGCCAAACTGTGCGTGGGGGATGTGTGTGTGTCGCTGACCCTGCGCAGCTTGAGGAACATTTCAGTAACTGACAGCCAGACTTTGGGAACCAAGATACAGACCGGTCACCTCTCCGACTCCTGTCAAAGCATGGATGCCGCTGTCAGAAACAGTGCGAGTCCGAACGCCGGGAGCCATAACAGTGGCCTCCTTATGAAGGCCTGCAGTGCAGACAGGCTGGAGAGAGAGCGGGTCACTGGACCAAGACCAGGATCAGAGCTACCACTGGGTTTGGGATTAGTTCCAGGACAAGCAGAGGGGATCTATGGGAGTGGAACACTGTTGGCTGTCTCGGGCACTGGAGAAATAAGGCAGGAATCAGTGAAAACAGACATAGCTGCTCTTACCAAAACGCAATGTGGTGACCCAGAGAGACCTGCATCCCGTAAGAGACGCTGGTCAGCTCCAGAGCGAGACCAGGCAGAGAGAGCAGCGGAGGAGCCTCCTCTGACTCTGCCTAAACCCTCCTTCATCCCTCAGGAGGTTAAAATCAGTATAGAGGGACACTCCAGTACTGGGAGAGAGAGGTTCTTGATCAAAAGAGTAGACTGTTGAGAGAACCTGTAAGGAGTTTTTTTTACCTGTGGTTTGCTTTGTGTTTAACCCCTCTCTTTTTCTCTATCCAGAATACTGTAATATAGGAGTTTACCCAGTATTTACACGTTTTTTTTTCTTTTCTTTACGTAAGTCTGATGTCTACAATGAAGTACAGTCAAGCACCTTCATAAGTGGTATCACACACGAGATCAGTGCAATCAATGCTGAAAGCAAAAATGAATGCAGAGTGAATGTTGAGTATGAATGGCAGTCAGCGACCTGAAAGACATTTGACCTGTGTGTCACATATCATAAGCTGGATTTCCTCTATCATGTGGCTTTAACCCGTTGGATGCAGATCAGTTGACCATTCCTGCTTTCACATAAACAAGCAAAGGCACATTTGTCATAGTGTAGAATGTGAGTAATCATATTGGGACTCATGATTTGTTTGGTTCATAGTTAAATGTATCAGTGGTTAAATGAGAGAGAGAGAGAGAGAGAGAGAGAGAGAGAGAGAGAGAGACCTGTGGTGTTACAAGAAGAGTGATCATGGATGATCTGGTGATCTCTGCTGCCTTTACTATCTTGTGCTTTGAGTTTATTGCATAAAATGTTTTTATTGTCATACTGTCAGAGGTGTGTGCACTAACAGCAGGTCACTCTGCCACTTTTCTTCATGAGAATGTGCCTATGTGTGGGTTTTTTTTTGGTGTCAGACAGAGCAGAGGATATAGCTGGGTTTGTGTGGCTGTAGCTGTGACCTCAAGTTGTCAGTACAAAATGCAAATGTCAAGACTGAAATGGCCTGAATGTAGATTCCTGAAATGTTGTCCTCCATACTGATTTATGAAGTCAAATTATGATTTTTGCCACATCTCTGACTGGTAGGCTGAAAATGACGTGTTAGAAGTCAATTATAAAACACAACTCTGACTTATTGCCTTTCATATAAGATTTTTTTTTATCAAACAACTGCATATTCATACATTCAGAAGTACAGAGCGACATTAACATCTGCCTACTCTACCTGTAAAATGACCTAGATAAAAGGCGGCAGAAGGGTCATAAAACCAAAAAGTAGACATGAAATATCTGTGCTAGAGCTGATTCTTTACACGACCATCATTAACATTGTTTGTATAAAACTATGGATAAAAAGCAACAGAAAATGCAAACACATGAATACAATAAATCAAACATGACAAAGTAATTACTTATTTTACCCTCTTGTGACCTATCCTTTGGCTTTCTTTACAGAGACTATGGCCTTACAAATACCTACACATTTACAGCAGCACATATTTTCCCCCACTTATACGAGTGTAAATGTCAATTTCCTTAGAGTAGAGCCAAAACAATTCTCCTACAGTTCATACTCAGGAACAGTGTGCTTGCGTGTCTGTGTGTGAAGGGCTGAGACGCTGTGTGTTGTGTGTGCGTGCGTGTGCATGTCCACAGTCACATGTGAATGTGTGTGTTTAGAGCAGCAGCACTTTGAGGAAGCATCCAGCAGCCGTATGTTGGTGTCCCTGCTCCTCAGCTGTTAGATTGAAAATAGAATAATCTACTGACTGTTTTTCATGGCATCATGTCCTGCAGGTTTATCAATGAGGGGGAAACATAATGTACCAGGGCAGGGAATGTAAACACACATGGGGCAAACTATGTCACATTTATTTTTGAAGACAGAAAGAGCTACTATAGAGAGAGGAAAGAGAGACTTGTAGTGTTGATTATGTACAGTAAATTGTATCCTAGAGAGTGTACAGTGTGTGTGTGTGTAGATATTTTAACCCTTATGTAGCCTATGTACTGTATGTGCCACAGCGCCTCCTTCTTCAGTCATTCCATGAACTCACCAACATGAAGTGGTCTCCTGCTTTAGTTTTTTTTTGTCTGTTCAGGTATTGATCTAATGTTCATGAATGTGCTACACTTCTTTGGGAACATCTACATCATTTGGCCTCTTTGACTTGCACACTGTCACATACAGTTTGTGTGAATATGAACGGCAGTTTATCTCAATAGCCATTTACCTTTTATAACATGAAAGGTGTTTGTTGTAAATCCAGTAAGCAGACTGTTTTCTTATGTTTGTGTTTGACTGCTCAGGCTACAAAACACTGCCCAGTGACTGTTCTTCAAAATGATGTGGTCTTATAGTCTTCACTGTTAAAAAGAGTACAGTACTGTTTCATCACTTTGTCTTAGAGGACATTTTCTCTCTTTGAGCCTGGCCCGTGTTTGTAATATTTCTTCTTAAGTGACACCATAACACAGACCTATAATCTATCAAATGTAACTGTATTAATGACATGATTTGACATTTGGGTTTCATAAACATACATCTATATATTTTTTTAATAAGCAGATGAGAAGATTCGATACCTCTCTTGTAAGTGTGGTGAATTATGAGGCTACAGCCAGTAAACGTGGCTTGGCACAAAAACTGAGAATGGGGGAAAAAAAATCTAGTTTCCTTAATTCAGAAAACAAAAACATCAGTGCCCCATTACTTTGGTGGTAATTTAAGACATTTTTCCTAAGTGAATGACTCAATTATCTATGAAGATTTGATTTTTTTTTTTAATTTAATTTGTGAAAAATATCTCCCAATCTTAAAGAAACAAAAGTTCTAATTTTCTAGTTCTAAATTTTTATTGAGTTTTCTTTTGGGAATATTACAAATCCCTGCCTTTTTTCTACCACAATGGCCTCCATGTACTATGGAACTAATGTGTAGCTTTGCATTTCTCCTCTTTTTTTCAGTCATTGTTCTAAGCGAGGCTGTCAGCCGGTGGTAGATTCATAGTTACTGCACTGAGATCGGTATCAGTCTTCTCATTGAACGTTCTGCCAGAAAGCAAATAAGATAATTACCCATAATGTGAAATATTCCTTCAGAGGTCCTTTACATCCAAAGTTATTCTTGCTATTTTTTATCACAGCCCAAACTGAAGCTTCAAGAAGCAATGCTGTAAGCTAGACAGAGTTATCGACGCATTGTTCTCACAGAAATAAATGTTGATGTTGTCCCACACGGACAGATGAAACAAGAAGTTGTCAATCATTCGGCAGTGTAGTAAAACTCCTCTGAGCTTAGAGAAGAGGACAAATCAGGCAAAAATAAATGAGAACACTTCTGATTGTGTACCACAGGTGTGTAGGGGCTTTAAATTCAAAGGTTCAGTAACTATAATATACTGTACTCTTCTTGTTTACAAACATGCTTCATTATGGCCCCTCTAAATAAATACTTTCCAGAACATTTCTACATGTTTAATACAGTGTACAAGCCCACCTTGTGGTAATTAATGGAATTGCACTTTGTATATGGGGTTGGGATGCAGGGTGTTTTAGTCTTATCTAACACACAGAAGTAATGTACAGCATGTCTGAGATATTTGTACTCTAACTGTACATCATCTCAGTGATTTGTAAATAGCTAAAGTCTTCCATTATACAATTGGTTTGACCTTGTTGCCATGGAGAGGATAAACACTGATCCCTGTGTACAGACCTTTGAAGTAAAGTTTAATTTCTAACATACAATATTATTTATTTGACATAATTGCAGTTCAGTGCATCACCTATGATAATTCCGTTTGCACCAGCTAAAAAAAACAAAAACAAAAACAAAAACAGGACATTATGGGAATAAAAGACTTAAAAAGATATTTTGTAATTTGGGTCTGTTTGATAAGATACACATTGTCCTACGTACAGTCTGTAAAAGTATCAATGATGTTCCCTTACTTTGATGGTGTTGAGGTTTGCTAGTCAGAAACTGTTAAATCTTTACTTCAAATGTTTGATTTTACATTTGATCAAATATATATAAAAAATAAAGAGTCTAAAGAAAAATTTTGCTTGTCTCTTTTTGTGAGAATGGTGACGGCTTTATGTTGTTCCATGTGCAGTTTGTCCTTTTCTGCTGTGTGTCAGCCTGCAGATGAATCAAATGATTTGGATTAGGTTCACCGAGGCTCTTTAAAGTTCAGAGCTGCTCTCAGAGAAGAGAGACATTTAGAGTGGGGACTACTGCCATTGCTGCTTCTCATAGCACTTTGTCTGTTAATAATACATCCCATGATTTTGACTTTTATAACGTGTTTTCTTTATTGAATTTTGGGTCAATATGTTGAGTCTTTTGCCACATAGGTCCGCCTTAAGGTGGGGCGCAACAACCTTGTGCCATTTATATGAGAGTGATACAGCAAGAGAGACGATTTGTCAGCAAGGTTAACATGTACCTACTTTCACTGTGAATGGACCATCACAGAATTTGGTTCTAGTAATCACCACAAGAGGTCCCTGTCCTACCTCAGACGTCGTCTCCTCAGGTTGTTCTCTTTTCTCCGAAAATAATCCTTAATTCTCATCTGCACCACCTGGGGGTGCTAGAGTCCTTCCTTCTGCAGAGGAGGAAAAAAAAAAGAAAAATGTGATAAAATCTGAAAAATTTAAAATGACATATGATTGTTAAAGTCTCTAAACTTTAGAGACTTTAACAGTTATACCTATATTTTAGCATCTGACAATACAACAAATCAAATTAAATAAAAACATGTAATATACTGTATATCACTTTTTAAAACATGGAACAGGAAACTGCAACTGTGCAAAAGTGATTGAAATGACAAATAGGAACAATAAGAAATAATAATCTACCTTGATGTTCTTGACATTAACTTCTAGTTGTAGGACGGTGACAAGAAATGACAAGAAAAGCAATCATTACTCCAACACATGATTATTTTTACTCTCTAAATTCAGGTTGGACAAGAACATTTGAAGGTGAAGTGCAGAGAAAAGGGTAAGAGTTAATAATCAAACAACATTTTATTGTGCTCAAACTTGATTAAAAAACAAACAAACACGACCCTAACATGACGCATGTTAGCTGTTAATGTAGGGTCTAGTTTCTCTCTGTTCTGTTTGCCTAGAATACACATGACAAATGAATATCTGACCATTGAATCGAAACATTAAACACACTGTAGACTGTTGTTCACTCTGCCAGTAAATTACAGTTTCAGACAGTGTACAGTGTGTTTTATAGACTGACAGTATCTCTTTGTGGCTTAAAGTCTCATCAACAACTTCTTTAGCAAAAAACAAAAAAAGGGGGGATTTCATACACACAAACCTTAAAGATAGCAGGCCAGGGTTTTTCCTCCGGAGAAATGATCTGTTCCTGATGCCATTATATTCATGTATCAAGACAATAATAAATTAGTCGTTTGCTTTTTTTTTTTTTTTCATTTCAAACTTCTGAGGTGGGCTTTTATTGTAAATTACTCCAAGCAATTGCTTTTTTTTTTGGTTCAGCAATCCTAATATCTAATATACCAATGAATCATTTATTTACATAAACAATGGAAACATTAAGCTCTAATAAAAATAATGCCAGTGTAAACAAGCTTCAGTATCACGCAACGCCCAAGTATTGCACATACATTCATAAATATACACATCAACTCTGTGCCTTTGTGTTTAAGCATGTGGATGTGTCTGTGTTTGCATTGTGTGTGTGTGTGGGATGAATCGTTATACATACAGGTCAGTCTGAAGAAATCTAGGATAAATTAAATCGGAGGGAGTGGGGTGGGGGGGGGATTCATGTCTGAATACAGGGATGACACAAGTGACACTTTATAAACACACATATACAGTACCTACACACATATGCACACACACACAAACTCTCACATACTGAGACACTTGTGCATAGATCTCAAGTCTCTTTGTGTCTCGATTACACAGAAACTTTTAAAAGCATTGTCTTCGCAACCGAGTCCATCCTGTTTTCAGTTCTGCTCTTCATCACAAAGGATAAACAACAAACATGTGTGTGTGACTGAGTCTGTTACAAATGGTTTTGGTCCCACTCTGTTGGGTTTGAACCTCATTCTTTGGTCCTTTAGTCTGTGTGGCGCTGAGGTCTTCAGTCTGTCCTTCAGTCACTTTTATTAACACAGAAGCAGCAGGCCAGTGAGGTCCATCTAAGTACAGATCTCAGATCTGATTTCAGTTCCTCAGAAGGTGCACATCCCTCCTAAACCTTAGTACTCCATTCAGGAGCTGTCATGTGTCATCCTAAGCGTCTCCTGTTTGATCAGACGTCAGTTGCTCCTGGTCTGAGACGTCATCGTCAGCTGGTGGTCGTGCTCGGTCAAAGAAACCACACTGAGGAAATCACATTAGCTCATTAGTTATAGTATAATGCAATAACCTAAAGGCAGGCTAAAGATGGCGTGTTAGTATGTGTGTTTACCTTCCACATGGCTAACGTTAGCATAGCTAGCACCAGCAGCCCCAGTAGTATGGCCAGGATGATAACCCAAAGAGGAACAGCAAACGACACATCCGGAGTCCCCCATAACACAAGCGTCCCCATCTGCAGGGCACACATAGAGAAAGTTTGGTGCGCTGGTATATGATTTTTTTTTTTTCACCTTTTGCCCCTGACACAAGCTCCAACACTCCTGTCACTGTCTGCATCTTACCGAGGTTGAGTGATGTGGGAGGCTGGAGGGTTGGACACGATAAGGTAAAGCTGTGACCAAGAAGGACACCGTAGAGTTGAGGATGTACGGGTCATTACGCCGCTGTATTATAAAAAAAAACACAAAAAAAAACATTAATATTTTTTTAAAAAAGCAATTTGACTGTCACATTAAATCATGTTGGTTTGTAAGACTACTTTGAACTTGAATCTTAAGTAAACACAGAAGAGATGTCCCGAAAGTGCTCAGAAAAAAACAATACATTCAACATTTCCTCGAATGTTGACCTCAGGCTGGGAAGTTCAAACACTGTTTTATTGTTCTTCTGTGGTTTGTTTGTTTCATAAAGTCAATGAATTTCATCATCTCCAAAGAGTGATCAGGGACTGAAGAGCTAAAAGACAGAGAATGTCTTCAAGGGAAAAATATTTAAGATGAAAAGAATATATTTGATGACTCTAAAATTAGCACTTCACATCTTTGTAGTTAAAATAACAGTTAAACAGTGTTACAATACATCAGTGGTTCTCAACTGTTCGAGCTCCAGGACCCACCACCACAACCTTAACGAGAAATCGTGACCCATTTTTCAAAAACTTAGATTTGTTTAATGAATAATGGCGTAGTTTGGACCTCAGATGGAAAAAAAATGTGACAGAACAAAACAATCATGGTTTAATTGCGCAACATTGACATTTTGCAACATTTTTATTTTCCAGGCACGAATTGGCGACCCACTGAAAATGACCCACTTTTGGGTCCCGACCGACCAGTTCAGAAACACTGCAATTTATGATATTAAAAGTGTACTTTCTTGGCCAATGTTCATATTAGCTAGCAAACAGTACTTATTAACCAGCTAACAGTATTATTACACATATAGCAACAGGCTAGTGGTAATGTTAGCTCTGAATAGAATAGAATAGATCTTTATTGTCATTGCTGTAAACAGTCCAGCAGCTCCTTCCAGTGGCATCACACAGACTAATAGAAAAATAATGGTAAAGTAAGCTCCAGTGACTTAGCTGGTGTTTCCTAGAAATATAGCCATATATGCCCCACCAGATCTTTAACACTGTATTTTAAAGTATCAATCAAATATTGGCGAAATGATAAGAATTTTCAGGCTTCCTGAATCTATAGGATTTGCTAGAAAGTATTAGCATTAGGGATTCTAACCATGAGCATTAAAGTAGAGGAAAAAGGCAGCTAAAGAGAGAAAGTGAATTCTATGACAAAGGGGGAAAGCTCTGTCTGCTGATGAGCGTCACATCATTTCATCAAATACCAGCAGAGCGTTTCAAATGTCAGGTGTTAACTTTAAACCTCAGTTATTTAGTTTTATAAGCCCTACTACCAAACACATTGGAAAATGCTCTAGATGGCAGAACAACACACCTGCAGGAAAGTTTGCGCCCAGAGTCTCGAGCGGATCTTGACCACAGCACTCTGCCCTCGATCCAACCGACCCACCACACACATGATCTTCAGGCAGGAGATGTTGGTGCAGTTCTATACAGACAGGTCAGGCAGGTAGACATTACTAATTAATCATTATTTGTCACAATTTGACTTCTTGAGAGGCTGTAGATGTTTTGCGAGGCTCACCAAGGTTTTATCACTGTAACTCTGAGCGGCAGTAACAGCTCGTTTGTGACGGCGAGTAGGAGGAGCGCTGGTGTTCCTCAAGAAACCCAATAATTCAGGTGTGTCCTGGAGAGAGGAGATCTAAGACAGACAAGAAGAGAGACAGACATTTTTTACAACTTTACTTTTTGTTTTTCAACTAGAACTGATACATCTGCAAAGAAAAGAGGATGAGAAATATTTCATCAATTCTTGCTGCTTGAGCCTCCATATTTACAATAAAGTACTGGACAATACTTTGTCCATCAGATTTAATGGTCAAAGAATGGTCACACTTGTCAAAGTCCTATTTTTAAACATGGCATTCACAGCAGGTTTTTGGGTTTTTCGAGGACAGACACAAGGCAGAACAAACTCATGTCTGTGTTGCACATGGGCTCTGAAGCAGCCTGAAAACCCAAAGAGAAGGAGATGGTGGACTTGAAGACAGAGAGCGCTTGTAAACAAAGATTTAAAAGACGTTTTAAGAGATGCAATAAAATAAAACAAATTCACCACCTGAGGACACAAGTGTGACATTTAGATAAAACCAATCTAATAAAAAGGGCTGTTTTCAGATTGTGGATCAGGAACAAAACTGCAACAGAAGAAAAGAAACCCCAATGAGACTGAATAACCTGAACGTTTCTCATGTCATAGAACAGATACATAAATGGATATATATCTTATTTTTTTGTTTTTCATCTGGGAGTCTGGCTTTGGACAGAGGCCTGTGAAGGCAGCCAACTCGATTTGGAAGTGCTGCAAAGCTCCAAAAAATGTCTCCTTTTCTTCCTGCAGCTGAATGTTAAGCAGTGACAGAGCAGCCGAGAGGCCACAGATGAAAGAAACATTCATGTAACAGTTTAAGGCGTATACATGTGCTCAGCTTGAACTAAACTTTTATTTCATATTTCATTCAGATCTGTTGATTGAAGTTTAAGCCATGAACTGACAAAAGCCTGTTACAGGTAACCAGAGCTGCACTGAAATCTTTACATTTCTGTCCATATTAAAACTAAACCACTCCACAAAGGTTTTACATTTTTTAAATGGTAGACCAGCCATGACTTGAAAGGTTCTAATCAAATTTTCCTTCCTTATTCAGGTACCAGATTCAGATTCACCAATAACAAGAACACCTCTAATAACAGTTTGACAAAAACACACATTCCTGTCTAACTGAGCAGCTGCTAGCTACATAATCAATCAATCTTTATTGTATAGCGCCAATTCATAAGAAATGTTATCTCAAGACACTTTACAAAAGAGCAGGTGTAAGACCTTACTCATTGCTATATTACATAACTGACATGGAATTAAATTATTCCTGTCTTTTTGGTATGAGCTGGCTCCGAATCAGATCCTTTACACTCCAAAAGTGGCTACTGGGAAGTATTACAAGTATCATTTTTGTTTCGAGAAATGTATTATCAAAGGGGGAACAAGTCACGTTCTTTTTGGGCTAATCATCTATTGTATTTTTTTCTTCTCATGTGGCTTGACTGGCATATTCACCAACCACATTTTAGACTGTAAATGTGACTATTCTGTCACAACTCTGAATATGACATAAATCAATTAAACAATCCAGATAAAATTCACATTATTAGTTGGGCCCATAGGTTTGGCCTTTTCAGTGACAGTGATCAGGAAAGATAGTATGATGCTCGTTGCATGTGAACTCTTGACATGTCTGCTTAGCGCATGTGTACCGATCAGTCTATCTGCACAGACAGACTGACGGTGACAGGGGCACACGTAGAGATCGGGAGAAATGGAAATGGAAAAAACAAGAGAAAATAATCTCAACTTTAACTAGATGTTGTGTATCAGTGTCATTTTTTTAAACTAATGATTACAGCTTGTAGCATTTCACTTTCTGACATAGTCATGTACTTTATGAAATAACTGCACGTTTTTTTCTTGTCAATTACCCCACAGATTGCATGTTAGATAACGGGAAATATTCCAGTTCTCCTTTCTACTAATAAGCATAATTCAGCATTCCCTTAGTTTTGAGCCAACTGGCACATGAGATGGGAAGCAGCCAGAACAACGGGTATAATTATGTTTTAAATAAGCAGGTATAAATGATGGAAACTATGCTGCAAGGCAATATGAGAAACCCAAAGCCTGTTGTAGATCCAGGGCTGTTTTCTTTTATGAAAGTTAAATTAGTAGTTAGTAATGCTCTGATTCATATTCATTCTCACAACAGGCAATGCTTACACAGCATAATTATATGTTTGTGTCTTGAAATTAGTTTTTCAAAAGTTGTCTGCATGTGTAAACTCTGTGTGTGTGTGTTCACTTTGTAATGTTACCTGCAGGCCGAGCGGGTTGAGGCTGGTGTTCGTCCGGCAGCTAATTGGTCCGTCAGTTTGAATCTCCATGGCATACAGCAGGTTCTCATCACGGAAACGGGAAGGCCAGCCGACCTGGAGCTCGGCGTCCTGAATACTGCTGTGACCGAAGTTATGGAGCTGGAGTCAGAGAGAAGAATCGCAAAAAAAAACAGGAGGTTGTCAGTGTCGTATTAGTATGTCTCAAGTGACTGAGGCTTTAATCAGGTTATCATAACTGAGGGATGATGACACACGCCACCTGTGTTTTAAGTTTTCTTCATTCATCGGGGATTGAAATACAAGACAAGGTAAACTTCTGCATCACCTGGCTCATAATTTTACATCAAATTAAATGAATTATGAGCTTAAATGAACCATCAATTGGATAAACCCTCATTTCTCTCTCTCTGTCTCTCTTACACACACACACACACACACACACACACACACACACACACACACACACACACACACACACACACACACACACACACACACACACACACACACACACACACACACACACGGTCATTAACACTGAAGCAAGTCATCCAAACAGGACATGATCCTTGTTGCTGCAGGGCAGGAATTCTGCAAGAGGGAGAAACAAAACTCTGTCCTCTCTAACTGGAAGCAGCTGCCAACTGGGAAAAGAACTGCAAATGAAAATCATTATCAGCTGTAGGACAGGCCAGACACTGCTGCGCTCGGCTTCAATGAGCAGCCATCCCTTTAAAACAGAAAGAATTCACATGTAGAGCGCACAGACGCACACACATATGCGCCTTTTGTAAACTGTCGCCAGTCTGTCTGCTATTCTCCCTCCTTCTGTCTGTTTCTCTGCTCCTCTGTTTGACCTTGTTTTCTTTCTCCATGATTATTACTCATTACACTTTGCCCATTCTTAAGAACAATCCTTCCACCCTCCCTTCCTTCCTCCAGCCTCCTTGCCTTGACCCCTACACCTTTCTCTAGCCCCCCTTTCTCTCTTTTTCCCGCCCTTCACAGCAGTAATTACTCTGGAGCTGAGGACCTTTGATCAGCCAGAACCCATTTCTTTATAGAGCTACTGTTTTAACCGTCTGTGTTACTGTTTACTCACCTTACAGAGCTCCCCCCCGCTAGCTGCAGCCTCATTTACAACTACTCACGCCTTTTTATCCTGCTCTTTTCATCTTAACAGTCAGTGCAGAGACAGACATGTGACCAGCAACATCAAAAACACAACAACAACAACAACAACAACAACAACAACAGCAACCACTGCTTTTTATCTCGCCATCTCAGAAATGAAGCTGTCTGTCTGTGTTTAAAATGAATGGTGTGCAATGTACCTCATATATGTGTGTTACTTGTGGACCCACGTCGTCCTCTTTGACAGGCTTCTCCTTAGGTTCCCAGTTTGGGAATGGCAGCACCACCTGAGAGGGATGAGACACCCTGAAGAGAGGAGAAAGAGCTCGATGACACTGAGGCATGTACACATTGATCCGTTTGGATGCTCTGTTAACTCTAGCTGGGGTGGAGGCTTAATGTCTCATGTAGGCCTTTTCTATGTGCAGGAAGCATACACCCATCCACAAGGATATATTTGTCCAATAGGGCACATTTTTAATTCTTAAATTGGAAAAACTTCAATAATCTGAGCCTGTTCTTTAACAGCTTTGTTGTCATATTGGAAGATCTGGAAATCAACGTCTGCAAAGTATACAATCTGTGGCCTCTTTGTTAAGTAGAGCTGTAGAATCTATCTAAATTCAACATAACATCTCCATCATATATTACATTTTTAAACTGTCTGTGTTAAGATTTTGTTGACATTGTTAGAAAGGAAATGGAAATTTCTCTGCATGTTTATCACAGGGGTCAGAGTCAAAGATGTGCTGCTAGATACAAAAAGCTGTTTTTAAAATAATGTCCTACACTTTAACTTAGAGAGGTTGTGGGGACATAAGAGTTATGTATTGCGACTGACAGGTGGGTGTATTGTAGCTTTTTGCCGGGAGGGTTAAGTCCCGCCTCAGAATCACCTCTTTGCCTATTTCTAGAATGATCCATAGTTAGGTACAGTCAGCATTTCCAATATGGCAGATGCCAGCTTCAAAACGCCTCTTCAAAATCCAATAAGTAATGTCCCTAATACTACATCCATGTGTTATACAGTCTATGATCAGTAGTGAGAGATCTGTCTCTTTTAGTTTTGAGTAATAGGTATTAGAGTATTTGCCAAGTAGGACTAACAAATATGATATTTTAAACCCTGGATAGACTTCACTGAAGTAGCACCGTCTCACAGTACAAACACATGAACTCATATGTCCCCATCACTCTCAGGTCCTACTCTGTTTGTATGAACAAGTGAGCACACCCAAACAAAGCCATGCGAGGCTTCAAGCTTTTGAAGTGTGTGCATGTTTTTGTGTGTGTCAGCATGCACACGGGGACATCCCTGAACATATCAAACTACTGCAAGCATCCCATGTGCTGGTGATTAGTTCAGATGAAGGTCTAGAAGTGGGCTTTCCATCTGTATATAAACAGGCTCCACAAATTTAAACATAACGAAAGGTGGTAATATCCTGCTTACGCTGAAAAAGTTTAGTTGAAACCAGATCAATTGCAAGCTTTGTGACGCAGAAACTGCAACAAACAATTTGTCACTGTTTCCTGGAGAAGAAGATGAGATCTTGCATGCAAAGACGCTTGACTCACCCTCGTAAATCAAGATGGGCTTCCGCGATGATGGACAGATTCAGAGTTACCGGGTTACTATGGGAGTTATCTTTGTTGGAGCTGTGGAGAGATAAACAAGCAGTTTAAATAAAATTAAATACATGGCATAAAAGACACCCTGAGTTGATTCTATACATTTAGTTTCAGTATGAGTGAATGAAAAGGCACAAAGTAGTTATAAATAATGCTGTATCTTTATGAATAACTGGCTCCAAAGGGACTTTGATCCAACTATCTGTATGGATTAATGTGATGTATCCAAATCAATAAAATGAAGCAGACAGTGAATATATTGTATGGAGCTTGTCTCCATTCTGGGGCTCCTTCAGGCCATGTCTTTTTCTTCTGCCTCTGTGGTTAGTTTCATTGAACCGCAGACAGTGATGTGATCAGGACAGACACAGAACTTATTTACCAGACAGACAAACAGCCTTTTGTGTGTTCCAATTAGTGTGTCATTGAGTTTTGGGGGGTATGCGTGAGAGTCGGTGGGTGTGTCACCTGTGGATCTGTAGCTCAAAGCTGATCTTGGGTCCGGCATCATCCAGTCGTTGGACGGAAAACCTCAAACCAACAGACAGCTGAGCGAGAGTGTGGAAAAAAAGACAAGAAAGAGAGGGAACATATAAGAAACATGTGACAGGAGAGAGAGAGAGAGAGAGAGAGAGAGAGAGAGAGAGAGAGAGAGAGAGAGAGATACTGTACATCTGTACATCAAAGGCCACATCAGGTTTTAAGTGTCCAGTAATAGACAGTAAAATCTCTGTTAACTACATCCTCTTGTGTTGTTGTATTCTGAAGGGAGAAGGTATGTGTGTGTGTGTGTGTGTGTGTGTGTGTGTGTGTGTGTGTGTGTGTGTGTGTGTGTGTGTGTGTGTGTGTGTGTGTGTGTGTGTGTGTATTTGTGTTCTATTATCAGAGAAGATCCAGACGACACAGAAAGCTCCAGTTAAGGTTCTTGTCTGTCCTCAGTTTAAATCCCCTGTCCTCAAAGCTAACTTGAAACATGTGAAGGATTAAGTTCAACATCAATGACAACAGTGTGTGTGTGTGTGTGTGTGTGTGTAACTGTGTGTGTGTGTGTGTGTGCATGCTCGTAACTGTACAACAGTGTGTGTGTGTGTGTGTACACGTGTGCATGAGCTCTGCTAACCAACAGGTCAAACACATGGTACAGAGAGGGAAAATGACAGCATGCAGACTTGCACTAACACTTCACTAGGCAGGCCTGCGGGGGGGGAGGGGAGGGGAGGGTTGAGGGTAAGGGTGGGGTGCAGAACTACAAAGCAAAGTCAGGTCGTCTTTATGGGACACATTAGAGAAATTGTAGGAGAGGAGCCAGGCAGGAAAGCTCTTAAGAGACGGACACCAAATGAGTCGTTCAGAGAGAAGTCGTCACTACCAGCTAGGATAGACAACCAGACGAAGAGGAGGGCAACAGCACAACAAATGTCTGAACTAGTCTCACTGTGTCTCTTATAATGTATTTTCAAAAACTGCCCTGCTTTAAACGCTAACTGTTTGTAGCTTTCAGAGACCAGCAGCAACTGTGGTCAGCTTCAATTTATCTTGGTTACATTTGATTGAACATTTTCACGGTGGGGAAAGCTCATCCAAACAGCCACAAAAAACGTTCTCAATGTGCAGCACACTTGCAATTTCTCTCCATTTGGACATTTGTTTTATTCCAAATAATTATCATTTTGCCACAATATGATCAAATGCGCTGCCTCAGTGTGGTGTTGTGTAGCTTCTTAAAGCTACAAAGCTTTACCAGAAGCGGTGTATTCAGCCACATGTTGGGATAACAATGATTCTTTAGAACAATGCTGAGAGAAGTGGTTTTTAGATGTTTAACAAGTCAGTACGATTCTTGCCACCATTAGTAACCACTGTGACGAATGGAATTCAACTGAGCACTGCAGCTCTGCACACACTATGCACTAATTAGCCACCTACATACATCAAACATTACATGGGCTTTGTGATACTCTTACATAAAGAGTGAAGGGATATGAGTGTAAGAAAGGAGAGAATATTACCATAAACATGTTTCCAAAATCTAAATAAATAACGATTCTTTTGACTTGACATTGATTCAACTGGAAAATCCACCTAAATACTTTTGTGGTTTGGAGTCAGTGTGAAGCAGAACTCTTTCCTTGATGCTGATGCTTCCAATAGCTCTTTGTTTAATTTGAAGTAACAGATGCTGCAGACTGATGTAGAATCTGTAGACATGGGACAAGATATTTGTGTCTTCAGTTTTCTACTTTCCATTTGCATCCTAGTAGTAATGCCCACTAGCTTTTCAGCAGGCTGCTGCACACAGGAAAAGAAATCCATGTGGAGAGCAAAAGAGTCAGAACGCGTTGGCCCTCATGCAATCCTGGAACCCATCTGCTAATATCTGATGCTTTAACTAATTTATTTGAACAGACATCCACATATAGGTGCAGTTAACAATATGGTAGAAGACACTGTCTCTCATCTCTTACTCTATTCCTCTTCCTCTTGTTGCTAATTGGATTTTTAACTAAGAACAGGGCACAGGATGACGATAGGAACTGCAGCTTTAAAAACAAACTGAAATAACAAAGTCAAAGTCTTTGTGCTGCTGTGAATGTGTATGTTTGTGATGTACTGCTCTGTGTTACTTTGGGGTACGTGTGTGTTGTTGTCCAGCTCAGTGATTTCTGCTCAAAGGCTAATTAACTAAAATCAAAAGCAAGCTGAAGAACATACATAGATGCACAAATATCCGAGTGAAAAGCAGCTCTCCTCCTGGCATGTACCTCCTGCACTGATGGCCCTCAGTGAGGCTCCACAGCTGTGTGTCATGTGGCAAGAGGAATGAACTCCAGTGATGAGAACTATTTAGTTGCACAATGTAAGCAGAGTCTGTATGGGGTACATGGAGGTATGTTCTGCATAAGCTCATGGATTCCTGGACGTCCAGCAGGGCATGGGGAGAGTTAAATATGGGAAACATCTGGACTAGGCTGGGGAGCACACACACACACACACACACACACACACACACACACACACACACACACACACACACACACACACACACACACACTTACACATGCCTTGTTTTGCTCTCCTCCCCCAACACTGAAACACGACCACATAATTGATTTATCAGAATGCTGCGTGTCACCTCCAGAGCTGGAACACACCTCTGTGCTGGCCTTGACACCCTAACAAAACCCCTACATTCACAAAAATACACACACACACACACACACACACACACACACACACACACACACGCACACAAATGTGACATGCTTCGTGGCACACATACGTGGTAGAGTTTGATGTAGGGGGGGGACCACTCTTTACAAAGCCTTGACTTCCTGCATAAGCTTTACGCTATTATTACTACACACTAGACACACACACAGGCAAAGCGTGTGGGGTATGGTTAAGAGAGTCAAAGTGTGAAAAATGAGGGTCAAGGTGATAATCAGTAATCAGTGGGAAACATCAATCACTATGAATTAAACCTGAGGAGAAACAGTCGGAGCTCCTTGGCATGGATGTTGGAAAAGTGACGTTTTAAAGAAAAAGTGTGTATCTGTGTGTACTTCCGTGTAACAATCTCACCTCAGTCCCCGTCACCATTGGGTTGCCAAGGTCGCACACCACCAATCTGGAGTCGTTGACCATCTTGTACTCGCAGTTAAGCTGAGACAGGGACTAGAGGGGAGAAAAAAAAAAAAAAAAGTAAAGAAGAGAGAAAAGTGAGTGGGATGATGAATCAGAAAGGTCTGAAAGTGACAAATAGGGAGCATGGAGAGTCAAGAGGGGGAAGAATAAGAACAACGGAGGGAAGTAAAGCTCCATCAAAGGGTGAGGGAGCGAGGGAGTGAAAAAAGAGCAGGAGGGAGGGATGGCAGGAGAAGAGGAGTGATGAATGCTCTGACAGTAACAACCTCATCAATCAAAGAGCCCCATTACACACTCATTAGCGCGCACACAAAGACACACACACACACTCACACATACACAAACACATTATACACACACACACACCCTCACATCAGTTGACCCTATCCATTTCCGTGGTCACTAATGCAGCTTGTAAATCATAATTGGGGCTTTTGGGTTGTTGCCAGTAAAGTGTACCCTGCCGATAGCCTCGCTTTAATCACTGCGCACGAACACACCACAAAGACAACACAGGATGTGATGTCGGACTGTAGCTGCAGCCTCATATAGCTCACTTCCTCATTGGCACTTGCTTCAATCATGATAAGACAACTGCCTGAATCCTATACATCTATTTTTGGGGTCCATCAAACATCAAACACGGTCAACAGATGTGCATGCAGAAGTGCTGGGTCGGTGATGAACTTTAGATAGGGGTTCATGATAAATCTATAAAGATAAGAAGCGTTGGACTTGTGTTCTCAATATGAAACGATCAGACAGTCCATCCACAGCAGAAACGTAACAGAAGCTCTGTCATCCTCCAAAGATGCGGAAATTGTTAACAAAAAGTGGGTGCATTACATCACCGGACATCTTGAGCCCACTCAACACACTCAAGATGTCTGTCAAACAGTTTTTTTTAATACTTTGAAATAACGGGTCGGTCTGTTTTGGAAAAAAAACAAAACAGTAACTCCGTAAATACTTTCCCTCCAGTTTTAATCCTTGTTAAAGAATTGAGGGAATCCTAATATAACAAAGATGATGCATGCTAATGTTAGCGCTAACCCCTCTAGACATGCATTTATCACTGCTGACTGAAGGAGAGGCACTGTTATTTAACATGAAACAGCTTTATTAGCTCTTTTAACAATCAGTCATTTTGTTTTCTTTGTATCTCCCTGATTCATCCCAATCGTTATCTGAAGACACTTGAGACAAAAGAGCAGGTCTAGACCATCAGACTTTACTTTAAGAAAACCAACATGAATCCACCATGAGCAAGCACTTATCAGGTTTCAATTATCTTAGTTACTTAGTAAGAAGATACACCAAAAATGTGTGAAAGACGACTTAAGTACACAGACGTAAACTTTGAGACCAGTTTTAGCTTAACTTGTAAAGTCATCCCTGTCTGTATGCTTGGCAGCATTATCTTATACTAACTAATTATAATTTCTGCCATGCTGTCCTGCCCTAGAGTGCCATGTTGCTGTGTGTGTTCATCTACCTCCACCCTGCGCTCCACTCCGATGTAGTCAGCCTCTGGTGGGATCAGTGTGTGGAGCTCTGTCTCGTAGGCTCCCTCTCCTTGGTTCAGTGCAGTGATGGTCAGCATAACCAGATTGTCATCGCCGATCACCAGCTCCGACTGGTCCCTGAATGTGTGTTTGATTTCAAAAACAAACAGAACGGTGGAGAGAGGAAAGAAATGATTTTTAAGTCAGGCTTAGCGAATTCAAAATGAGGCATTTTGTTTCAGCTTTGAGAATCTAAAACTCTTTTATTATCTCTGGGATGGATCTCTAATCTGCCCTGGTTCATCTACTGCTATGCCCCTGACCCCAACAATGTGTTTGTTAGTGTGTGTGTGTGTGTGTGTGTGTGTGTGTGTGTGTGTGTGTGTGTGTGTGTGTGTGTGTGTGTGTGTGAGAGTATCAGTCAGTAGAGGGTGACAGGATGTTTATATAACACTGCAATGAAGCTATGCTACAGCTGGAAACACTATATATAGAGTATGGGCTCATTCACATACATGCTCACACACTCACCACATGGTAAATGGAACTATAATGTGAATAGTGTGAGTGTAAACTTTGCTAACTGTGTGAGGAATAACAGACGTTTTTCCTTTGATTTAGTTGGAGGTGCATGCATGTTCTGTGTTTAGTGTTTGCAGGTTTAGATTAGAGGAAGTGGCCGTATCGTTCTTACATGGTGGCGGAGAGCTGAAGGTCAGGGATACAAATGTTGTCGTCACCACAGTCCAGGAGGATGTACGCCTGAGAGGAAGAGGAGTACAGAGAAGAGAAGGGGCATGAGGAAATGATTAAAGTTCGTTGGACTTCATTATGAAACCGAAATCAGAAACATGACTTGTAGAAATCAGGATGCATGTGCTGTATACATAAACACACACACACACACACACACACACACACACACACACACACACACACACACACACACACACACACACACACTGTAAAATGTGCTTTTCTTGGATTGTGCAGCAGAATAAGCCTCCAGGTCTGGGATGTTTTCTTGCACTCTGCTTTCGGCTGGTTTTGATTTTAAAACTAAATTTAGAAAGTCATCTTTTTTCCTTTTCTCTCTCTCTTGTTAAGGTCCATGGGTGATGGTCTGCTTAGGTTGTAATGTGTCACAAATAAGTCACACGATGTCCTGCTTCTAAAAAATGTGGAGTCTGTTCAGATAATTTAAAAAAAGTGGAAAAAGGCAAATAATCCTCAAAAACATCAAAAACACTAAACATGTGGACAATGCTTCTTCAATGAGTAAATGGCTTGATGCTCAACATGCAGTCAGATCCACTTCTCCTTCTTATTATTGTATTTCTCAACTTTCTGACAGACGAAGAAGCAATGTGTTCCACATAATCTTCATCAGATTTGCTTCTTTGACAAATAAATAGTTTTAAGCAGGACCAAAGTCGCTATTAATGTTTTCATCATCATTTTACTGACCAGCACATGCCTGCTGTTCAAGGGACTCATCATTTTCTATAGTTCTGGATTGTTCTGGATTATTGCTGTTTGATGATTTAAATTTAGCTTGGAAACAGACTGAGGGAAGTTAAAACAGATGATTTTTTACATTTATTTGCAATAAAGCCTTTTGTGTAAAAGGGAAAGACTAATGCAAAAATGATTGACTATAAATAAAACATGAGATTGGATTAAGGCCTCAAAATGTAGTGCGTTGGGTTCAGACTTGGACTTATACTGGCAAACATGCATCATTAGAAATATTACACTTAAATAAAGAGTAATTTTCTTATACAGTTTCTATATTATGTATACTTACATGCTCTTGAAGGAAGGTGCTGCTGTACTGGTTGAGGACAGGAGGGAGGCTTTGGCCACGAGTGGGTGGAGCCAAGCTGTAGTTCAGTGCCAGAGAGATGGGAGTCAATTTGTCCCGAAACTCCTCCTCCTCCTGAGAGAAACAGAAACCATGGGACGATAAGTCAACTTTGTTTGCTTGAAATATTTAACTCAATACTTGGATAGCTGCTTTCTCTGTTAGATATATTACAATATGCAAAGGTCATAAATTTGCTCACTCTCAGGAAGATGGTGTAGCTGAGGCATGCACGTGGGAGGTTGTGACTCAGGGTTAGGAGCCCGATGCGCTGAGGCTGCTGAGTGTCCAGGAACAAAACTCTCTTCACTCCACCTCTGGTGCCTTTCAACCAATCCAGCTGCAGCTCTGCTCTCAGGTCTGGACGGACAGTTGTGATGAAGAAGTGAAATACAATATACTTCAATTTGTAAACTTTAAAAAAAAAAAAAAAAAAAAAAGCCAAAGTGATATTTAAGTGTGCAAACAAGCTCGCTGCAGAAACAATAAACAAACGAGAACAAAATCAGAACGAGCGCTACATCAGATGGAAACTTTGGAGCACCAAAAAAGCAGATCTTTATTTTATCAGTTATCCTTCTCAGTAAGAGGAACACAATCTCTTTTGAAGTAGTGTTCATTGCATGTGTCTCTGTTAAATGAATGCATTAAATAAAAAGGAAATAAAAGCGCAAGCGTAATGAGAGTATATCAAGCAATCAGTCAGACACTGCTGAGCTGTTTAACCCATATTGTCTCGTTCCTTAATGTGCCTGCACACGTAAAGATTATTTTCCATGAGTTATGAAGGATGGAGTCATCTGAGAGTACAAAGACACTGGAAACAATGTTCTTTCCATTGCGTGTATCTGTCTACCTGATTCTTGCTTCCACCCTCTCTCCTGAGGTTTAACAGAGAGAAACTCTAATGAGAACTCTGACTACTGATCTACCCCTTTTGTGCTTTCTTTCTTCGCCCTATCCCTTCCCTTTCATTCCCCCACAATTTGAAAAGCTGCTTACCTAAAGAGCTGGGGATCCCCACTCCGCTCACTGCTGCACACACGTCCACCCTCAGACTGGAGGAAGAGAACAATCGGGAGACAAGGAGATGTGCAAGAGACAGTGGACACATTATTAAGACACCTATAGCTGTCCATTCACCCACATTCAACAAATGCACAGGTGCACAAATAGAAAGTCTGCTCATAAAACACAAAGTATGATTCCTCCTATAAGAATGATAAGTCATGCAGGTTTAATGGGGACTGTTCTAACGAGTGGTGCTAAAGAGTAAAGACCGACTCTTAGAATGGTTAGCCATCGCTCGAGAACTAGATGAATCTGCATGCTGATAATTGATTTGTTTTGGCACATTCATCTTGTTCCTCTTACGATCAGACAGGTTTCCATCTGAACTAATTCAGCTAAGACCAATTACATCAAGATGATTTGATACAACTGAACTGAACAGTGCAGCACTATTAAGACACTTTTCAACCAACCAGGGTGGCTGCCACTGATGGTTTAGAATCAGTGTCAAACAGGTGGTTCATTATGGTAGCGTTGGCTAAATAACCCAGTCATGTCGAACGTCTGTGTTTTAAGTTCAACTAGAAGCAGAAGCTCAGTCTGTAGGGACTTGGGTTGGGAACCGAAGGTGCCAGGTCAGAGGGGCCCTTGAGCAAGACACCAAACCCCATACAGCTCTGGCACGCTTACAGAGTGGTAGTGTGTAGAAGCCCCACTCTGACATCTCTCCATTAATGCATGTCCACAGGTCCTGTTTGTGCATGTGTGTAATTTGGGTTTATCTGTGTGAGAAGCATGTCTATCTATAACAGAGTGTAAAGCAGAATGTCCCCCTCCAGGATTAATAAAGTACAGTGCAATTACATTTTTTTTTTTAATAAACATGAACAGTATGTTGGAACTAGCTTCCTAGCTTATGGTTATCTACGCTGTGTGGACTGGCATTTTTTTATTAATGAAAGCAGTTCATTAGTTTAAATCCTTTTTATATGCATTCAGTACGAGTGATCATTGTGGTGAATATACAAGTATAAGTAAGTGCTGGTCATAGAAATCTTGACTGAAATTACTAACTTAACTGCCCGTAAGTAAGGCAGTTTTTTCATCTTCTCCAGGGGGTCAATGGGAAATACCCCCGGAGGTCCTGTGAGTCTGTCAATTAGACAAACAGACATGGGAGACTGGGAAACTTTTCTGCATTTCCTCTTTAATTTGGCCATGAAAATATGTGTGAGTGTGTGTGTGTGTTATCACCTCTCTAATCAAGACCAGGAAAGTGGCTCCCACACAGGGAGCGCTGCACTCTTAATATGCACAGATCTGAGAGGGCTTACAAACTCCTGATTCCAACACTGAACACTCAGCCGTTTTTGGCCATGATGAGGTAAATAACTTAATGTGATTATTGTTTGTTTGGTTTCAGTTCACAAACCTTAACATTCAAAAAACAGATGTTGTTGATGCTTGTGTGTTTGTTACTAATGAGCATCTCTATAAGATGACACAATATTGATGAGCTGTTTTTTTTTTGGCTCTTTCAATGTGAGAGGTGCAGATGTGAGTTTATGAGGAATAAAGTGCAGGTTTCTATTTAAAGAAATAGCTGCCCTAAGTCAATCTGACCTCTCCAGGTGGTTCCATGCATGTTTAATATGTGCTGCAGCATGTTAGCATGTGTGCATATTTAAGGTGGGTGTGCTCAAGTGTGACTGTAATAAGCAGTGTGCGTCAAACTGAAGTGTATTTAGTGCGGAAATGACCCCCTTTTTGTTGACGACAGCTCTGTCGATGGTTACTCATTACTGTATGTAATTTCCCCCCCAAAATGCATCTGTGCTCCATCACCCTACACACTGCCTGCTGGCCCTCCCTGCAAACACTCATACACAAATCCTTTCCCCCCCACCATCCTAAATCTGCCTAATGAGTAAGACGCTCAATTTAAGCCTTGACATTAAGAATCTCTCCTCTTCTTTTCTACATCTTATTCATCCTCTCACCTGTCCCTTTTGTTGGCCTTGGATGTAAAACCTATACATTAAAGGAACAGAGCTTTAGTTCGTCTAACTTTTTCAGAAATCAGTACAATACATTAAAAACCCTGAACTGTTGCTTGAAGCTACAATCATAAGTTATTAGACACATGGCTGCAGCTGAAATAAGCTGTGACATCATCACACTATATCGTCTTCTTGCTGCCTATCCGGCATCCAAAGAAGAAGAACAACCATTTACTTGGAGAAGTTTTATATAACATCAACCTGACAATGAAAATCTTATATTCACTCTCCTAATAGCTCTGGTTTTGGTCCACAACTTCTAAGAAAAGTGCCGTCTTGTTTTGCTTTTAGATACTTCCCAATGTACGTCAGCTACTGTAGCTGCTAACTTCGACTAAAGATAAAGATAAACTTTATTGATCCCCCATGGGGGAATTTTTTTTGTCACAACAGCTCAAGAAACAGGAATATAATTATTTAAAATAACAAGAAGTTAAAAATCAAACATATGTACATCAGTTAAATAAAGGGAGAAATACAATAATAAAAAATAATAGAATAATACTGCAGGTGAAAAGCAGGTAGCTAAGATTTACATTTCAGAGAGTTATTCTGCAGTTAATGGCAGATCTCTGTGGCAGAAATCAATGATAAGCTGAAAGACACTGTCACGTAAAAGATCTTGGAGGAACTTCAGAATTGAGTGACTATTCTCCAATCACTCCAAGCACCCCATTTCATATAATTTGGCCGTGTTATCAGTTGTTTTGACACAAGTATTGATTCTCATAACCTCACTTACTGCTGCTCTGAAGGTATTTGGGCTGTCAGACCCGTGTCTTTATTTATCAGCTGCCAAAGGGAGTTCTTTAAGTGCAGCGCAACATTAAACATTTTACTTTTTTTGATAGTAATGTCCATGTCTGTTGAATGAAAGAGTCTTTGAGATTCTGGAAATGCATTCAGAGCAGCGGTCAGCAGACCCTCTGGTTTTTTTGAGAGTTTGCTGGGTATATTTTTTTTTACCAAGAATTGATACTTAACCCTGTAAACTCATATGTAAGGGATACATGAGAGGCACTAATTTTGACTACCTCCCATCATGCATCTCTGCAGCTCTCAGCCCAGAGAAACAACTGAAGTGCCCAAAGGCTTCAGCAAGAGAGCCCAAGACCCTTAATTGTACTAGCGTGTGTGTGTGTGTGTGTGTGTGTGTGTGTGTGTGTGTGTCCTATCCTGTTCCATACCTCAGACCAAAACTTTATGGCGGTTTATTTAAATTAGCTGAGTTATGTTTTGACAGAATTCCACAGTTTAGTGCTCCCCGTCACTCCGACCTAAACCCCGTTCCCTCTTCTCTCACTGCCAAAACGCACACGCCAACACTACACACATGCACACCCACACAACGGTGGCATCTAGCCGAGCGGACTTCTCCCGTCCAAACAGTCACACAGCGGTTCTAGCCCCAATAAGTTTGGACCAACAATGGGCTGCGGTGAAACAGCAGGAGCTTTAAGACCCGTTCCCCTCAAATAAACTTACTCCCATGCTGTTCAAAGCCAGCCTGCCACCCACAGGAACAATAATATAATCAAAATAGAATCATGCAGTATCGGATTAATTGCAGAGTCCCATAAATCTGACTTTCCAGGTTACTGGATATGCTTCTTTTGTGAACTTCTAAATGATTGCGTTAGTCACACAGACAAACAGACCTTGGCTGAAGGCAGACGTCTAGAGAGCGGGGGTGAAATATTTGTCACATCTGTCAGTGTGTGTGAGATTTGTGAGTGTGTATACTTTATACGGCATATTGTTTTATGATACAGAATAAGCAGGAAGATATGTGGCTGCAGCTCTGGGTTTTTCCAAGCAGCAGTCGGTTCATGTTTGTTTGATCCATTTAGCTTTAACTCACACACACAAGGTCAGTGTCCAAATTCCTGAAGCACTAAAATACATATATCAAATATTGAGTATCAGGAGTGTTAGCCCGGAAAAGTGATTAAACTCAGAATTCTAAAATGTTTCTTTTCTAGCTTGACTTTGTGTCCAGGGTCTGATGAATGCTTTTGTACCACAATGCCATGCCAAACGGAAGTGGAGGAGCTACACACAGCTGGAAAGAATTACAACAAATATAAGACGGTGGTGAAGAGCTGGAGGAACGCTTGAAAGAAGTCGATATTGTAAAAATTCTTTGGGAAAATATTTTGCTTGTTTAATTGTCAGCCAGTCATGTTCCAAAGTCAGCATTTGCCAGATGTGTAATGATCTGTATCATAGAGTACATTTGTTTTTTATAGATTAAAGTCTCTATTCATTGAGGGTATTTTTTGTGGGTATTTCATCTTACAAAAGTCTCTTTGAGGAAGAAATCTTTCTTTACAAGAGACCAAAAGAGGAAATAAGTAATAAAAAAAGAAAGAAAAAAGAAACAATGCATTACAAAATGCTTGGAAGTTGGTTCATTTCTAATGTCAGTTCTGTAAGAATATGTGCCTGAGACATTTGTTAGTGGTTAAAGCTCCTGACTGCAACTTTTGGTCTGTGTTGATTTTGAAACCCCTGAAGACGAAGCGATAACTCTTCCCTCTTTGCTGATTTGATCCTGTACATTATGTGAGTAGTGTTTTCTTACACTGGAATCTCTGCTTTTTTTAATAGTCAAACTTATCACTCTGCAGGAATCGTTGCCATGAAAAATTAAACGGCTGTTCCAGGAGTGCGCTGTAAAACACTTCCTTCTGACACCTAGCCCACGGCAGTGTTTTAAGTCATTATCAAATAACATTATAGAAATAGTCAGTTTTTTATGTCGATGGTATCGTTTATTTTTGTAGGTCAAATGAAGGCATCAGTGTTCATTTGAGTCTGTTCTGTAACCCGCTAAAAACTCCTCACAGGAGCTTGTAACTATGTTTTGCTGCAGACAATGTTCACAGCAGTTTATACTGTAGCTTCATAAGAGGCTGTGCTGACTGACATCCACTGAATAATAATATTAATAATAATAACCCCAATGACAAAAGGGAACCATTTCTTTAAGATCAAAATTGGTTTGTGTTTCCAAAACTCACAAGGCTAAAACGAATGACGAGCTACTTTCCAGTTCCTTTGAATCACCATCGATTAGCACGTGAAGTGTACATTGTTTGTGCCCAGCTCGGGCAGACAGAAGGAGGAAAGCCATCTCGCTACATTGAGCGAGTCCATCTGAATTAGTAGTCATCAGCTTTGACTATTTCATTTCTTTCCTACAGGTGGGAAAGTTTATTTTGCCTTCATAACTCTGAATCTCACATCTTGAGCTCATTGTGAGAACAGAGGCCATATTGGTTTTTGATATGTCAGTCACCCCGGGTAAATTTAAAACAGTGTTAATTGTTTGTATTTTAGTATGGAACAACATATTATCTGGCTCCAAGAATGCTCTTCTTACCAGGTAACCATGATATCTGTTTCAGGGAGGTGACACTGTCTGTCATCTGGGTTCAGGATTCTGGGAGTCAAGGTCAATGATGCCTCCACGGACACGACAGCTCGAGACCTTAAGACAAAAAAACGAGCACACAAACATTACACGATCTGACATGAGGTGAAAGTAAGGCCGAATTTCAGAATTTCAAAACAAGGCAACAAGACAGACAGTCTTCTCAATTCTTACCTGTACACAGACACCTCGCTTGCACCAAATGCCCCGACGATGAGATCTGCAGGGATAGATCGACAGATAGATGGATGGGTAGATAGGTAGAGAGAGAGAGAAAGGTGGAGACAGTGAGAGAGAGGGGGGGGGAGAGAGGAAATAGAGAGCTTCAAAGAATGCAACAGATGGGACTGATTTCAAGGTCTCCAGCAATCTTCATTAAACACAGACCTCTTACGTTTAGTACACACACATATACACAGAAACACACACACATACACATATACACACAAACACACAGACAAACACACACACACAAGCTGTGACGTTGCATTTGTGATATCTCCCTCATACACACATGATCCAGTTCAGACTAAATCAATAAACACAATGTGCATCATATTTTGAGTTTGTGAGTTCATTGAGCCTGTATGTGTGTCTTCATACCTATGTGTGTGTGTGTGTGTGTGTGTGTGTGTGTGTGTGTGTGTGTGTGTGTGTGTGTGTGTGTGTGTGTGTGTGTGTTTGGAGACAGAAACCCCTCGCTGCATTCCAGCGTCATTAGAAACTTCACATCGCTCCAATCACATTTTTGCTTCACAACATTTCTCAACAGCTCCTAATTCTAAGCAGCACCAGATCTCGTCTATATGTGATTTTTATTTGTTTTCATGGGTTTAGTGATGAACACACACTTTTAATTGGCTCTCTGAGTTTAAAATAGAGCCGGAGTTTAATGGCTGCGGTTAGGGGACACATACCAATGAAAGCCACACACACACACACACACACACACACACACACACACACACACACACACACACACACACACACACACACACACACACACACACACACACACACACACACACAGACACACACACACACACACACACACACACACACACACACACACATATATATACAAGTGCTGATTAAAACAATGTGAAAGCTGAAGAGAGGCACTTAATGGATACAGGCCATCAGTGCCAGATGCCACGAAAGTGAGTTGTGTGATCCTGAGAAAGAGTGGATGCAGCAGGATTATTTTAACTATCAATTAATATATCTTTTTTTGATTAATTAATTAACTACGGACAAGAAAGAAATGAAATAAATATTCCCAAACTAGAATTGACTGAGTTATTTATATCAGAAATATCAGGGAAACACTGTGATAACCTCCTTCAGGTATTTTCAGTATGAGCTGGAACACTTGTAGTCTTTGTTCATCATTTGTTGTGTCTTCCCTCTCCCAAACATTCAAGTAAAAAAAAAAAAGGACTAATTGAATCTGAGAGAGACACATCTGTTTCTGCCTATGGCTGCAGTCACTGAGTCCCCCTGAAACCACAACATGAAACATTTAAGCCCTGTCCCTCTTCCCCTGGCTACATTGCTATGTGAGTGTGTGGCTCTGTGTACATGTTTGTGCTGCATCTAAAAAGTCTGCAACGAGAAAGCAAGATGTTGGTTTTGTAGTGCAGTTGTAAGGGTACAGAAAGGGGGGGTGGTGGGGTTGCAGGAGGAAAAAGAGGTGAAATGATAGAAAGAAAAGGGAGGGGAGGAGATAATGCACTTAGCATTTAAAACCGCATTCTGTGAAAGTCATCAGAAGCAAGGTGTGTTTTCAGCAGGGGGAGAGTGATTCCCAGTCTGAATTCCTCCGTCCATCCCGCTGCTGAAGTTGTGAAAGCAGGAAATCCAACTCCCCTCCTGCCATCAGTGTGTGTTTTTGACACAGTGGTCCAGACTGATTTGAAGACAGGGCACGTTTGGGGTTAAGTTTGTGTGAGAGGGAGTGTGCTGCATGCATGACTGAACCAGGTCCAATAACGGCACTCTTCCCTTTTCATGTCAGTCTCGTTTCCTTACACATTAGGAGTGTGTGTATTGGTAAAGAGACCATACCTGCACAAAAAATGTGGCCCTACACACCAATGCATACACACTCATATCCACTCTACTCGTTGATGGAGGGTTCTAGTTGCAGGTATATTCTTGGTAACTGAGCTGCTGTAGCTGATGGTGTTTGTCCTGGGCTGTGAAAACACAACCTCCATCCAACGTTTAGACAGACTGTCAAGCTGTCACTGGCTGCGTGCCCTCACGGCATGTTTGGCTGCAGGGGACTGGCCTCGCTGATGAAATGCCAAAGGTCAATGGCGCTCAGTGGAAAAAAGAGGGCCGTTCTGAGGGAGAAATCGAGGATTTCTTCAAGTTCAGTTGCGTGTGTGATTTTAAGGCTTTCTGTAACTTGTAAGCTACCATGTCAAAGCTACACTTTTATGTTTTTCTGGATTGTATTTTTTCCACTCTGCAAACAGGGGGAACTGGAAATGCTTGTGCTGAAATTGAGCTATACAGCCTTTTTGGTTAAATTGGGTTATTTAATAAGAAGCAGGCAAAATAACTACCGATATATAGCAATATACCATCATCCTGACTTGTGTGTTTCAATAATGTAACTCCTGGTGAAAATATCAATAACTTAATCAAAGAAACATACTGCACTCAAAACAGATTATCCTACTTAGTTGACTCACTGCGTCACTACTACATGACTCCTCATGAACAGGGGAGAAGAAGTTAAAAACTGAATGAAAGGAGAAGAGGACAATGAGATTAAGTAGGACAGTGGAGAAAAGAAGTTAAGAGATGATATTGCGGTGGAAAACCAAATTAAAAAGGCACTTAAAGGTGCATTTAGAATTTTTCAGTTAATCAGACATCGCGTTCTATCATTTTACAAGTGTCTTGCAGTATTTCAAGTTTTGACTCTTCTATCCTGATATTAACAGCACGTCTCATCTCGTCTCATCTCGTCTCGTTACCATGCCATTCTCTGCCCCATATTAAATTGTAGTGAGGAAAGAAGAACTTTGTAAGTAAAAAAAGGAATGTCAAAGAACTTAATGTAATTGGGCCCCTAACATGTCTCTGTGTCGGTGTGATTGACAGGTAAAACACTGTCAGTTTCTGACCTCTGACCCCTCGGCTGAACCTGAAACGCACCCTGAGGCAATCTAACCCGCTTATGATTCACTGCCGACCCCTACTTTCACTCCAGCGTTGAGCCGAATTCTGCTTCTTGGATATTACAAAAACTTCAAACTGATACTGATTTTTAATGTGGGATGCTTTTCAGTGACTTCAAGTGTGTTTGTCTCCAAACCCAATAGTGATATTTAGACAAGTTAGTACTTCAGCTGGCCTTACCAAACAGAGGCCAAACTGACCATCCTCTATGGTAGATAATAATAATAATGACACTGTAAATACCTCACACTACCACATATAAAAAAAAAACACTTAACCATCCCTTAAAAGGAGGTTGTCATTTTCTTCCTGTACTACTTATTTGTCATCTTTCGTAATTTCCGCCATTAATTTCCCGAGCTCCCAAATAAAAACACAAACATATGACATCATTATAGTGAAAAAGCTCCATTAAAGCTAAAAGTGGAGCTGAATCACCATCTCTCCCTCTCTCTGTGCGCCTGCTTTAGACTAATGACATTTCACATGGAGGGGAGCATATGGCGGCTCGAGCAGGCCTCCCAGACGCCTGTGCAGTCCTCTCATAATACAGATCAAACATCTCCAGCTCCTTTGAACAGTGTGACTTTACTACCGCGCTAACGACAATCCATGCGTATGTGTGTCTCACTTCCACCAGCTAGCTAGCTCTAATGACAGACGACACAAGCGCTGCACCGTTTGTGTGTGTTCATGTTTATACTGCGTATGTGTGTCAGCTGAAAGCTCTGCCACCCGTGAGTTTCTACTCCACTTCCTCCTCCCAAAAGGGCCTCCACCAACCTGTAAACCCTGTGCGTGTATTTACCGTACTATGTTTTTAATTCAGGGTCTCTGATTTGCAGTGGGTCTGCACGGCTTTGAAATTGAGCCTGGCACACGCTCAACACACACTCTCTCTCGATGTTAGTGAAACCGATCACAAGCCATGCATGTGAACACCACCAACCTGTAAACCCTGTGCGTGTATTTACCGTACTATGTTTTTAATTCAGGGTCTCTGATTTGCAGTGGGTCTGCACGGCTTTGAAATTGAGCCTGGCACACGCTCAACACACACTCTCTCTCGATGTTTGTGAAACCGATCACAAGCCATGCATGTGAACATGTGTGTGTATTTCCCTTGATATCCTGTTTGTGGAGTGAGAAATATGTTATTACAGTGGAATGAAAGGAAAATGGTGTTGGTGGTGGTGGGGGAGGCAAAGAAAAGATAAAACTAAACAAATTCTCCTATTTAGCCTAATCTGTTGTAGCACAATGCCAGAGTACTGTACAAAGTTGAACTGCTCTAAATTAGGGAGAAAATAAGGTAGCAAAACGGTTGTTTTACAGACCTGCTATGCCTCAAAAGTATTTTATTTTAAGGTAAAACTGCTTGTAAACAGCTTCACACTCAGTTAAAATCTTGGTTTTTGGGCTTCTCTTGATTTGTGGTGAGGATTATAGTGTGTCTTGTAAAGATAGGAGGTGGAGGTGTCCCTGAAGTGAATGCTGCTTTGTCTGCTTAGTTTTAGAGACATAGGTCGAGGAATGATTGTCTGGCAGCATGAACATGCGGTTTATATATTTTCAAACTTCTTTCTTACTCTCAAATTTATGTTTTCTCTCCTTCTTGAGCATTGTAAATCCCCCCAAAATGGATGCAGCAGCAGTTCTTTGGCACTTACTCCTATTATAACCCATTCTTCTGACTGATGAGTTTACCAGAGAAGTGGAGGAAAGCAATACAGGAAAACATGGGGATGGTAGTGGAGGAGTGCAATGGGGAGAACCATGAAATGTGGAGGTCAAGAGTGAAAGAGGAGGGAGGCTGTAATGAGAGGAGCTGGAAGGAGAGTGGAGAAGTAAAAGGAATGCAAGTCAAAGAAAAAAATTGATTATAACGCAGGGAGTTGTGTAGAGAAGGATTGACTTGTTCAGTGGGATTGTTTACCAGGATACTGATTGTTGTCCAGGTCTTGGCCTCCTCTCAGAGTGAATCCGAATCCAGGCAAACCATCACCCGGGACCCCGGCGGCTCTCAGCTCTTGGCTCAGTGTCAGGCCCCGTATGGATACGTCTCTGTTACCGTTAAAGATCAATACTCTGCCTCCACGGCCCTCTCCTCCGAAAGGACAGCCCACCGCCACGTCTGAGGGATGACACACGGACACACACGCATGGTTTAGACATCAGCTGGGTTAAGGGCCCTCTGAGACTAAAACAGAGGAAACTTACAGGTAGCTGGAAAAAGAGAAGGAAAACAGCTCGACCTGCATTTACCTGTTTTGTGGGGACCATGACAGCATGATTGTTGACCTCTTTCTTTCATTATTTGTATTTTGTCTTGAAATTGTTTGTGTGTTTAGGTGTTAAGAGTCTATTTAGGTCTTAAACGAACTGCTTGATGTTTCAGGAAATACATCAGTTTGATTTCTAACCAAGAATTATCTGTGGAGATTGATTCAACTTCAGTCTTCAAACTAATCTAATATCTTCTGGCTAAAGCTAGCTTGAAAGTAGAAAGGTCCATTTGACTGACTAGTCCATCTACTTGTTGGTCGAAAAGACAAAAAACAAACAAACTGCAGCAACAAAGCGCCTTAAAAGTCATTTTGTTATCTTTCTCCAACTCTTAAAATTAATAATGTAAAGGGTAATAATAAATGTTGGTATTTTATGCTTGAAAATTTAGTGTTTTTTTTAACACTGGCTGTTACTTTGCAGTGGCCAGGCAGAGCTTGCAAGAAAACCCATAACTCTCATCATAATTTGATTAAAATATCCTGACTGGGGCACGCAAGTTAAGATAAAATATTACAACTGAATCTAAATGTCTCTAATTATGAAAATGTTATTGGTGTATGAACCAAGCTGGCCATAGTGAGAACGTGATTTATAAAGTAGTTTTTAAGGGCCTTTGAGGATTCCTTCAGACTTACAGGAATGTAGTCGTTGAACTGCAGAGCACGTCCACACACATGAACTTCTGTTTTAAAGCTTGGTATCACCTGTTATATCCAACTTTTCACATTTTCCCCTTAATACAGACTATTTCTGCAAAGACCATTCCTCAGAATTAAAATAGTTTTGGTCCCAAAAGAAGAACTGATTGATTAAAACGTCCATTTAGTCCACTTCCATTAAACATCACCAAAGTGATGCATTACAGAAAACACATTTCCCCCCAAACAGCCCTCGATTTTACATTTATTTTCCAGACCACGAAAGCAGAAGAGATCCAGGATAGTTATTGAACCACACAGGTGCTTACGACTGGGCTATAGACATTTTGGGGACCCGTTTTTCCCTGGGCCATCTGAAATCTAGTGGTTTGAATAGCAGGGTTTTAAAATGTGAGTTCAACTTGTTGATGATGTCCTTGTATACATATTGTCTTCTGTGTGCTCCTGCTGCAAAAAAATGTCCATTGTGGGCATAAAAAGAATCTGAATCTGTTGTTACTTTCTAACCTCTATATGTTCACACATTACACATAACCCATTCTGCATACAGTTCTGTAACTGTCCAAACACCTCTAGACTTCCTGTTTGTCTCCGGATCCCCTCTCTCTCAGCCTAAACAACTAGTTCCACATGAAGCAGATTGTGGGGTAGAGAGAATAAATGCAACCATGTGTGTATGCAAGTGTATGTATAAGCCTGTGTGTGTGTGTGTATGTAGACACAAGTCTTAATGTCTATGTGCGGACATGTCTACATAACTGAAGAGCTGTATGTATATATGCAAGAAAAAAAACTTTTTACTGAGAAAAAAAAGTCTTCAAATAATGTAAAAGTCTCTCATGGGCATTACTCAACACTAACCCACAAAATGCAGACATTGAGGGCAAAATGTGGGAACACCCACTGTGATCACTGAGACCAAAAACTATAGATTTACTCACAGACAGACACAGGATGACACTCTGTGAGTGATGGTGCCAGTTGTGGTTGATAAGAACAAAAATTAAAAACAAAAAGAGCCACACGGCAAATTGAATTAGCTAAATTGTATTCTTTTGGGCTGACACTCTTCAAAGCCTCGATGACAGGAAATGAGAACGGTTCTGCTTTCAGCAGAAAACAGAGTGATGAGATCTTCTTTGAGGGGAGGAGGAGGAGTCTCCGTGTCATCATGGTCAATAAAAAAAAGGGATCTGTCAGTGATTAGGCACACATAATCACACAGGGGCACAGGTATACTTGAACTAAGATGTTTGGCATTAGCAAAAAGAAGCTGCTGAAAACCCTGATCACAATGTTTCCATGGTGACTCCATCATGGGCTTTGTACTCATTAGATTAACTCTCAACAAGTCATCTTTCTGCATGTCACTGCAGCTGGCAAAGAGGCTCCATCTCCTTAAAAGCTACTCCTCTGAAGGCGTCACATCCTGACAGACGGACCTGATTTGATTTACGTTTCTGGTCAGAGAAAGCCTCTGTATTGATCCACTGGTTATTGATCTGATTGTTAAAGGGTTTAAAGGGGTGTAACGCACATTAACGCACACCCATGAATAAATAAACCACAATTCAGTGGGATGGCTGTCATATGAGGGCCAGATGGGCATCACTTCATTCATTTTTTAGGAAGCAGTCAACAGGCCTTAGCTTCATGGAGCATTTGGTCCGCAGGCTGAATTATGTGTGTGTGTGTGTGTGTGTGTGTGTGTGTGTGTGTGTGTGTGCGTGTGTGTGTCCAATCAATGTGATTATAAAACAAACACATCTAACAGGAATGAACTCTGGGCCTGCAGGACAGAAACACCAAGATGATATTATCTCAGTGCACATCTGGTGAGTTAAAAATAACCCAAACACACACACACACACACACACACAAACACAGTTACACGCATATGGCCTTAACCCTTATCATCACAAGAGGAAACAAGTTCAGCCAGACAACCTTTCATCGCTGCACTTCCTGATTGGCTGAAGAGCTTAAAGTTTCTAAAGTAGCAGCATCTGATGGGATTTCCTCATTCAAAGACAAAACAGCCCATAAGGGACGGGAAACACAGAAAAAGATTTGTCTGTCATTGAGTAAACCTAAAAAACAAAAGCCGTGTATGGTCAGACAAGTGCAAGGGAGAAAAGTTCACACACTGGAACACAACAAAAACTTAAAGGATTTTGATTGATGTTTGTCATCTAAATATCGTTATCTCTTTTTATTTGCTTTCTCTTCTACCTGACATATTTTTGTATCTCAAAATCTTTGCATCTTTTAATGTTTTCATACCATTGTATCCATCCTGGTTGATGTCTCCAAGCGGTGCTATAGCAGTGCCAAAACGTCCGAAGGTGTATGTGCCGGTGAGAGCAACAGGTTCAGAAAAGGTGAGCGGGGCCGTCTGCAGGTACAGGTACACCCTCCCCACCTCTCTAGGTTTGCTCTCCATCTCTCTCTCCATGTACAGGGGCGCTCCGACCAGCACATCGTCTGTCCTGGGTATTTAAATCACAGTTTTAATGCTCAGAGAAAGATAAATAAAGAGTGAGGGTATGGGTCGATAAGAGTGAAAATTGAATTTTCTACTTACCCATCTCCGTTTAGGTCAGTGACAGCCACTGAATATCCAAAATAGGAGGCCATCTGAGGGACAGACAGGGAAGGAGCGTGAGTATTTTTAACCATACAGAAAACATGTTAACAAGATTTCCTCTAATTTCATTTTCATTCCATTTTCAAATTGAATTCACACAGAAATGAGAAGAAATCAATATCAGCTGCAGCAATGCAATGTGGCAGACTGTGACAGCCAAGTGGACATGCTCCTCCTACCTGTTCTCCTGTAAAGTTCAGGATGAAGGTCATATTGGTGGAGTTGATCATTACCACCTAAAATAAAAAGCAAAGAGAAAGTCAGACGCTACACAGCAAAACAAATGAAGCACCAGGCTTTGTCCCTCCGGCACTTTAGAAGCAAACATGATCAAGCAGTCTGACAAACAGGCACACAAAGAATGCCAGAAAAAAGTCAGAAACCGCATTAAAAAAAGCCTTTATTCTATCCAAAACCTATTTCTCCCCCCGCCCCGCCCCCCCCCAGCATCATCTTGGTGCCCTAACCATTTCCCCCCTCATCTCTCTCTCCTTCCCCCCATCCTAACCCCGGTCGTGGGGAGAGTTGAAGGGGGGGGAGGCTGAGAATTCCTTCATAAGACCTAAAATAACAACCACATGGAGACAGCCGGGGGCTCCATGCTCACACACATGCACATACACACAAGCAGGAGGATATACGTCGGCCTAATCACAGAAGTCTCAAAGACGTACTAAATGGAGACTACTACTAAAGATATGGATGATGTGCACACAAATGTTGCATCAAAGCACTCCGAGTTGTCAGATGTGTTACAGAATAAACCTGATACAAGGTAGACAGATATTCTAACATTTTCATTCTTACCTGCATCTCTCCTAACATCCCCCCCCGCCTACTGTGATCTACAACCCCCCTCCTCTGTGACACTCACGGTGCTCTGTCTGTACAGGAAAGACCATTCGCGCACCAGCTACAGCATCCAGACATAAAACACACACACACTGCTTCAATGTGTGTTGTGTGTGTGTGTGTGTGTGTGTGTGTGTGCGTGTGCGTGTGCGTGTGCGTGTGTGAACCGCATGGTGAGTCCTGCAGTTGCACCGCAGTTTAAGGTTAGGGGTCGGTTGTGTGTGGAGAAGGGTTAGTGGGGTTAGGTGGGGTCACGGCCCTCCACATGCAGCGGAAGCCGTGTGTCATTAGGGAGGATTGACACAGTCAGCCCTGGGGACATGTTCCCATGTGAGAACACACTACAGTTCACAAATAGACTCATATACAGTACATTATTGTGATGTAGATACATGTGTTTATTTATACAGTTCAAGCTGTAAATCAAGACAGAGGACAAATATAGAGGACTTTCGCCTACTGTGTGCAAGTGTCTGTATGTATATACTCTCTGAGGCCTCTCATACTCCTTGTTTGAAAAACAAGAAGATGTTTTCTCTCTGCTGCATTGTTAAGTTCTTACATCATGGTCCTCTTGGTCTCAATTCATGTTGATGGATGCTTATGTTGGAGTTCTTTTGTAGTTTCGGTTCTTTTTTTTTTTAGATATGATATCATCCAGATTCTTTAAGTGTTTGGGTTCTTATGTTGTTGTATATTAAGCTTGCATATTGTTTGGGTCCTTGTATATTTTTTAAGCTCTCATGTTGTCCAGGTGCTTTGATGTTTAGGTTCTTGTATTTTATTTTAGCTCTTTTTTTGTTGCACTTTGTTAGCTCTGTTTTTTAGGGTGCTATATAAATGAATAAATGACTAAAACACAGAGAACGATATTGAAATCTTGATAACAACAATCATGTCTTAACATAGGGTGTCAAGGTTTCACCAAAACCCATAAAACCTTGATTAGTCTTTGCACAGATTCAACAAGTCTCTGGAAATTTACTGGAGGCATTAACATTACTCTACCAAAACATGTTCCCTTTTGGTGTTTTTGAAAAAGAGAGTGTTGTTGAACAAGTCTTTGTGCTCAACTGGATGACAGCTCTCATGTCTAAACAAATACTTTGCATGATTTTAATACTCATCAAACCATTGGGTGAACATCTGTGCTCTTTAATGGAGACATCTGCTATTGCAATGCCGCTCGCTTTCAGTTTATTTTTTCCAAAAATTAACAAAACTGTTTCAATGCAAGTAACTTTTTTTTTTTTTTACTTTTTAGAAATCTATTACTTAATATCTTCTGGGTGTACAAATATGCTTATTAATATTTACTGTATATACAGTCCATACTCACATATCCAAAGTTTTGCGCTCCTCTTGGGACTCCTGCTATCAGCTCTAAGAAACATGAAAACAAAAAACACTTGAATTAGCGTCAATATATTTGAAGAGAAGGACTCAAGAGAGGCTTTTTTAAAAAATCCTAAAACCACCTACCCAGCCCACCCTGCCACAAGTGCCAAGTGTCTCTGAGAACACCCCGAGTGATTGGGTGCTTGTGTATTGATTGATGAGTGTGGCACTATGAACTTATCATGATGATCTGAGGTTCCCACCCAGAAAGAGAAGACAGACTCCCCCCCTTCCCCCCGTCCCTCCTGCTCTACGCAAAAGACTAGACCACGAGCCCATAAACCAGAACTTCCCAGATCCCTCTTCACTCAGAACTCCCAGTTACGACCAGTTCTCTAGTCTGAAGAGGGTTTGGGGGAACATGACCACAACAAGTTTCGTACCACAACACAACACATCAACAGGCATGTGCAACCTCTTAATGCTCACTTAAAGACTCTCTGACATGTGTTGTGCCTGAGGGGGTTCAGGGCTTTGCGGGGTTGGTATGGGGGTATGTAAACGCAAGGTTGTCCCGTAAAGATCCCACTAAATGCTGATTAGCAAAGACGCTCAGATAGACAGGAAATTATGAATGGAAAGCTGTAGTGGCATTGGGGAAGGGGGGTCTCATGCTTGTCACAGAGCTGCAGAAATGTGTGGTGACGGAGTTTGAAGAGAAGCAATAAAAAATGGTTTAAAAAAATTGATGTAGCATGACTGTGGTTGGACACATGTTGTTTTCTCCACATTTCCTTTGATGAAAAAGTGTTTTTGTTTGATTTTGGTGTTCAACATTAATTGTACCGAAAAGCTGATGGCGAGGGAATAAACCTAACAAAGTCTGCTGAATGTTTTGAAAAAAAATATTACACTGCTGAAAAATCACCAGTGTTTGTTAGTGATACCGAAAATACTATATTTATGAGTAGTCTACGGTTGAAGTGCAAAAAACTGCAGTTCCATGAGTGTCCACTTGAGACTAGCTGCAAAACCAACATTTCCCCTTTAGTTCCCATGTTAAAGTGCCCATTTTAACAACAAAAATAAACATGTGTACAATGTGGTTAAAAAAAACTCATTAGTTTTGAATAGCTCATTTCTTTATTTATGCAAACTGTATGGGTTGATTTTTTTTATAACGCATCCCTTTGAGTCTATTAAGCCAAGGAGATATTCATACAGTTTCATAAATAGGGGCGTGGATGAGTTGATGGACAGTCAGGGATTTGGTAGCTGTTTGTAAGGAAACTGAGGTTTACCTCAGCTCTGCCTCTTTGCCAATTTCTGGATAGATTGAAAGTTGTAGGTAGAGGAAGCATTTCCAATATAGCGACCATCATCAAAGGGCTTCTTCAGAATCAGCTCAATGAAACTTGTCCCTTCCTGCACATCTTTATTAAAGTCATGCTATATGGCGTGCCTGCCTCTCTTTCCACCTAATATTTCCAATCCAGGAGAGATTCTTCTGGATACCGTCTCCAGATCCAAAGAGGTCTGTGGAGTCTGTCACTAATCATTCTAATCAGACCAAATGAAGGAAAGGAAATCCCTTTATCAGCAGTTCCTGAAGTCCTGTCCCCTAAGGGTCGCGACCCAGACATGCAGAGACAGTTCTCATTACTCTGCCTCTGACTTCAGACCAAGACACTGTCACACAGCTGTCCGCTCCCTATCGCTCACCCTGCAGACATCCCCCACTGTCGCACTAGCATCCAGCTAGAGAGCACAAGGAGACAATCAACATGTAGTGTTTGGGGCTGTTTTGCAGGGTTTCTCTGGTGCTGCATGTGGTTAGTTGTAATGAGTTGAGTGCTTTCTCACCTTGTTCAGAGTCTCCTGTAAACTCCCCCACCGCCACAGAGTAACCTAAAGAGAAATGGGTTGCACATGACAACATTCGGGTAAGATTAACTCAACACAGGTTGCTCTGTGTCATCTGTATGTGAAGTATGTAAAGGTAACATACGATGTAATTTAATCAATGTTCTTGTCAGTGTGCATTTTTTTCTTTTTTTTTTTGTAAGTGCACGTTACCAAGGTAGCTGTCGTCATGTGTGTCCTCAGCAGCTCTGGTGTATTTCTCTCCTGGAACCCGTCTCAGCACCGCCTTCAAAGAGTAGCCATTCAGTATCTCTGCTATCCCTGCTGTCATTACCTGACCTGATAAATAGATGAGGAGAAACAAACAAGCAGGGTGAGAGAGTCCCATCTGTTCACAGACAGCGGCATCAGCTCAAAAAAACCCCACAAAGGGAGCACAGCTGCCCTCTGCTTTGGGAAGCCTGCAGGAGCTGGACAACCTGCTCCGCGTGAAAAATGCACGAAGCTAACGACACACATCCAAGACTTCCCTGAGGAAAGCTTAAAACACATCACTGGCGGAGGAATAGCTGGAAAAACACCCTTATGTTCCTTTAAAAAAAACGCTCAAGAAAAGGAGGGCTTTTCCTTTCTGCTAGGGCTTTCTGAATTATAGGTGAACACACGCAAACACCACCCTTCCTCTGCTGTTGAACAAGAGGTCAAACAAACAAATGATTTTATCTACGACTGCCCTCAACCTTCCATAAATCCTCCTTAATGTGTGTGTGCGTATGCGCTGACGGGGAGGAAAATATGCCCTCTGAACCCTCCCTTCAACTCTTTTTTTTTCACCCTCTCCCTCTGAGTTTGTCTCCTGGAAAAACACATCACTGCATCAACTCATTATTAAGCCTTTATCTGATTAACGAGACACTGTGTTACAAACTGCTAAAGCACATGCATAAGTCACACAAGTGTCCTTTACACCCGGCGATGACAACATGTATATAAAGAACGTCTTTTCCTGATGACTCAGACGAAAAGGCTGAAGATAATCGTTGTATATTAGAGACCGTAAAATTCAGGCTGAGTGCTTTTATAAACATTCGGAGGAAGTGTTTTAACTGGAGGCAGCCAGCCTTGCCACGATGAGGGCACAGGGAGCCAGCAGTCCATTAGACTGTCTGTAAAGCCTGTCTAGTGTGGTCTTGTATGCTCGGGCATTCATTATTTAACCATATGTAAAAGCAGCAATGCCAAACAATAACCCCAAATCATAGCAGAAGATGAAGACATTGTTAAATATCAATCACTGAGACACTTCTGGTCTTTCTTTCTTTCTCCTAAGACAAACATACTCTTGCTCTTACTCTATTTGAGGGAAAATGAAGGACTGTGGCGTGACAGATGAGGGGTTACAAATAAAGTGAAGATAAATTAGTTTGTGCAGCGAATCAGTGAATGTCTCCAGCTGCAGGACTCCTCTCTAAATATAGATGACACACACTCTAACACACCTGGATCTGGGGGAGTGCGCGCTCACTTCAACAGCTGAACTCTGACACACTCCGGCTGTGTCTACACCTATTAGGACACTTCATCCTTCTGCTTAGACTACAGCTCCACATACCCAGCGAGCTAGCCGACCTTTCATCAATCACAAGATCCATCTTTTTTGCTCTTTCTCTTTACTCCCCTTCTCTTCTCATCTTTCTCCCCCCCACTCGCTGCAGCATGTTTCTATCATCTCCTCACCAATCCTCCATCACTTGCGCTGTCCTCCCTGCTCTCTATTTCTCTCAGTATCTAAATTCTTCCCACCTTTCCTCTATCCTTTCCAACCCCGTAGCTTGCCCTTGAGCCTCTTCCATCTCCTAAAAGTTTTTGTTCCAAGCTTTATCACAGAGGGGTAGAGGGGCAGTACCTCCACACTCCATTACCCGCTGATCAGCTCATTACAGAGCCCAAACACCCACTTCCTGTTAGACTGTTAGAGAAAGAGAGCAGAATGAGGTAAGGCAGTCTTGAAGGGAAAAACTTAAGGGGCAAAGACACATTTTTTTCCACCTTGTCCTACGTAAGAGTCCAACAGAAAAAAAAAAAAAAGAAGCAAACCTGGCAACTATATTCTTGAGCATGTGTGTGTGTAGGTGGATCATTCTGACTGTTAAAGTCATATTCATTCTTTTCTCTCTTTTGAACACCTTCCCGTATATGAAATCATAGAAAATGAGAGAGCAGATACAGGTTTACACACTGTTGTCGTAGTTACCTTGCCAATAATAGCTCCCGGGTCCTCCTACCACCAGCGTTCCTTCCTAGAATAAACAAAATAAGTCATGTGACGTCATTTACTGGTGAACTTGTGGATGTGAGCGTGTAAATTGCCGGATATATGTATAACGTGTGCATCTCATTGTGTGAGCACATGTCATTCCTGCTGTCACGTCTGTGGAGAGTGACAGCTTCCTGTACAGAAGAGTAGAGTTGGACCATGAGACACACGTCAAAGGTCACATTGACTTTGCAGCGTAAGAATGTGTAAACATGTGTGTGTGAGTGTTTGGTCTATTGTGTTCAGAGGTGATGGGTCATTTCAGGGTTGGGGGGGCTCCTCCAGGGACAAAACGTGTTCTCATCTCCCTGCTGTCCATAAATCTCTGAGGGGGAGAAGCTCTGCTTGAGAGGGCACAAGATGTGTGAAGGAGGTCGTCATGGCAATAGTAGTGTGTGCTGTAAACTTTTACCTTGGTGAAATCCACACTGAAGCCAGCCTGGCAGAACCCTTGTCCCTCTGGGTCTGGATCATCTGAAAGGACACACAAGCTACTGGTTCAAAATAAAACTCTCAAAAAGTATTTAATAGTTAAGAAAAAATACATTTTCTGAAATAGCGTACTCAGCTGATGACACAGAAATCATTACCAGTAGTTCTTATACCGAAAGTTATTTAAAAACTACAAATACATTTGGAAATAAAATTATACAACCACTGAGTTGTTTTTGTGTGTTTAAATTACCGTTTCAAACTGTGTATGAACACATAAAACGTATATGCACATTATCAATTGTTCACCGTTTTAGAGGCACCCTGAGGTGAAAGCTTAATGGTGCGTATACACATGCAAGTATAAACAAAGCCTGAGTTATAGTAGTAGTCTGAGTGCTCGTACATTCATGTTAAGATGAAACAGAGAAAGCTGCCGGAGGCCGGAAAAAAAAACAACATCTTAGGGACATGAATACAAAATATTTCTGCTGCTCTAAGAATGTTGCAGAATGATTTCCCCCTTGAGAACAATCAGGTTTACAGTGTGATTATTTCAGTCTTGATGAGACAGAACTGGATAAATAAGAAAAAAAAGAAAAATAAATCTGGGAAGTGTAAGTATGAATCAGCGTGCATGCAAGAGTGAATGGAGCAGAGTCTCTAATGCAGACCGGATGATAGAGTGGATAATGGTTGTGTTTGATCTCCTTTTTATGTGATGAGCCACCTGATAGGCTGCATTTCTCCTTATCACAATCTGCTGGTGCCTCATCTCACTGTATTTACAGGGAGAGATGGAAGAATGTAGAAAGCAGGAGAGAAAGTGAGAAATTGAAGGTGAAGGGAGAGGGGTAAGGAAAATCCCATGATTCCCATTTAGAGCACTACTGACAGAAATAAGAGGACCTCAGAGAGAAATAGATACTTAGAGAGATGGATGATCAGGTTGCTGCAGAAACGTTAAAAAATTCAGGAAAGCGATTTTTTTTTTTTAGATAAAGCTGACACAAAAAACAGTGTGTGCTTGTTGCTTTTAGGTAAGTGTTCACTTTAATTTGGAAAGCGTTTCAGATATCCACCTCTAAGACGTGGGTCCCCACACAGCCAGAGCAGAAATACATTTAATTTTGTTTGTGGAAAAAAAAAAGGAAATCGCTTGTTATCAATAGTTTCCTTTGGGACTTTTACTTCAGACGTTTCAAAGGAAACTGTTAAAAGTAAAGGCTGTAGTCTCTTACTGTATAATATTTCAAATCACTGACAAATCAATACTAAATTTGTTCACTTCCAAATATAAGGAGCCATCTTTTCTGATGTGGTTGACCTGGCTGTTATAACTGTATTACATTGAAGGTGGATACAATTAATTAAAACTATTTGTGCTTGTTTGCAAAGAGAGAGAAAAAAAAGCCAAAGGAAGGGAGGATAGGAAGCAGTAAAATGAAGATGGAGACAGCTGGATTCGGGGCTGCAGAGTGACTCACTGGTCCTGCAGGGTGAGTACTCTGCGTAGGCGCTGAAGTTCTGGACGGCCACATAGCAGGTCCCCACGGGGTCCTTCTCCCCACTTAACTTCACCGTCCGCCAGTGATAGAGAGGAGCACAGGCCTACACAACAAAGAACACTGTGAATCCCATTTAAATCAAGACAGACATTTAATGGTGACTTAAAAACAATACAACAGCGAGAAGTGTAACTTTTAGTTTCCAGGTGTGAACTTTATGATGAGTCATGTATACATGTCTTATATTCACTATTATAAGATCCACTCACCACCACTTTTCCTTTGTGTGACCTTACTGATGCGCCGAACCACTGGTGTGACTTAAACTCCAGAGGCTCCCTGGTTTTGTTTACCTTTATCATTCTGTTATCTTGAGAGAGACGGAGGCAGACAAAGAGGAAAAGTGAAAAGACATTTAAAGGAGAATGAAATATACATCGAGTAAAAACTGATACAGACTGTGGGGTAATGTGGCTCCAGGCCTGTTATTCTGTCTCAACGAATGGAAAGCGTTTGTCGTTGATAAGTAGGAACAAACAGCGGCTTCTTAAAACAGGCCTATAACAAACATCAAAACACCATTTGCCCCCCAGAAACAGACATTTGTCAGGATGCTGGGGGCTTTTGCTTCACTTAAAGCCTTCTCTATAAAACAGTTACAACACATAAGAGACTTACTTTGAACGGGTCTCAACAGACACACAGACGCAGACACACACGCTTGTATACGCACACATTATGAGCATTTCCCGGCCCCACTCGTAATAAAGTCATGTGTTCATGTGTCTCTGCTCTGCTGTGGATTTTTCCCCCAGTTATATTAAACTTCAGCTGGGCCTCTTTAGAGCTGCGCAGACCTCTTCACATTAAACATCTTCGTTTAGCACATGCACACACACTTAGGCACACACACATACAGGCCGACGAAGAATGCATTATGGCAGGTGTTGCCAACAGTTTTTTTTAAGCTAATAAAAGTTTTTAATGTTTCATCGTCTCTGTGGGAGTTTGTTACAGGGTTCATTTGGTCCTCAATACAGTACACATTTATGTCTGGTCATAGTTTGGTTTACAGGTTAGATATTAGGTCCTAACTACGTCTTAATAGTGTGTCTGCATCTAGAGGTGGGAAAAAACATCGATTTGTGAAAATCGAGATTCCGATATTCTGAGATTCATAACTTCCAAAAATCTTTTTTTTTTGGGCTAATCAGTCGCTCCCTGCTGAAAGCTAAGGCTAGCTCTTTAACTCGGTAGAATGCCAAATGGAGCAGCAAGAAATTCAGCCAGTCTCACATATGACTGGAGTAGATCCTGAAGTATGTACTCATTCAAAAATACTCTTTGAATCATGAATCATGAATCCAGAATAGTGAATCTCAATCGAATCGTGACCCCAAGAATCGAAATCGAATCGTGAGACAACCGAAGATTCCCAGCCCTATCTGCATCTCTAGAATTTATTTTACTGACATGCAATACTTTGTAACTAAAGGTTAAAGTAAACGGCATCATGACTTGAAGGAAGTTTAGCTTCTCTGAGCAAACAGCAGAGGACTGGCTTACCATATCAAGTTCCTCAAAAAGATATAAATAAAAGAGTTTAATCAACATTTGTATGATTCATGCATTTCTCATTTCCTTCATTACTTTGAATGTAATGTTTCTCTTACGTTAATAATGTGTCTCTATCAACTAATCCACCACTGTCGCACTCCTGGCTTCACTGGCATGACTTGACACTTCTACATAACGTCACCGATACACGCACACGCACACACACACACACACACACACACACACACACACACACACACACACACACACACACACACACACACACACACACACACACACACACACACTTGATGCAAGCTGATGCACGGATATTAACCAGGATGAGCACACACAGATGTTCACCACTCCTGCTGACATTTTGAACAGTGTGCATGAGTGTCTCTTTGTCTGGTTTATACCTGCAATAAAGTATCTTCTGTAACTCTAGAAACATACACCATGGTCTCTGTCATCAATCAACTTCTGCATTCACATTTGTTCCTCTCGGATTCTTCTTTTATCCCCAAACCTGAAATTATGCCCAAAACAATTCAGCTAAAACAAGTACAAACACACTCAAACTAACCCTTTGTGGAAACTATTCTGTCATATATTTGCGGCAGATGTGCGTGACACCCCTAATCCAATAATTTGCAGTGAAGTCAAATACATTTTCTTTAATATACACAGATCCAATGTTGAAAATCCCAATTTGACACAATGGGCTCTTACAGTCTGTACTGTCAGACTGCATCAGCTGTTAGTTCATGCTCCCCCATTAGCAGTTCATTGATACATCCGCTGTTACAAAGCAGCAGACTAGTAGCTTCATCCAATCATGTGTATTCATCTCGACACAGCGGTGTATACAACATGCCAGTCCTCACTTGAAGCAGCTCTATAGCCATAACTATGAAAGTCTGTTTGTTTTACGTCTCCTCTTTTGCATATTAAGCGGTTGATACTCAGCTACAACCTGATTCTTAAGTATAAGAAAGTAGCTCTCGAACAGAATTCTTGATGCAGCGGTGATTCATTGATAGCTCCCTTAAAGAGCACAACCACCTCCCCCAAAGTAAACGGTGCAATAAAAGGTCACCCTCTTTGAGATGATAGAAGACATCACACACAAAATAAGAGAGAGCAAAAGAAAGAGAGATGAATGGAGGAAAAAGACTGATGGAGAGCGAGAGAGGGGGACATGGGGAGGGGAAACAAGACAGGGATAAATTTTCAGGATCTAATAAAAAGCAGACCTCACCCAATCCCCTTTCTTCCGAGGGGGAACTAAATTCCCATGTGCATACAGTTTACCCCCATCCTCTCTCTCTCTCTCTCTCTCTCTCTATCGCTTTCCCACTTGTTCTCTCTCTCTCTCTTACTCCAACACACACACACACACACACACCTTATACACCAAGATGGAAAAGCGTGCATCAAGGACATGAAATGCACAAACAAAGGCTGATTGGACAGTTAACCATGATGATAATCGATTTAAAAGCCTAATCAACATGATGCAGACTTACACCATCTAACCCGCCAGCTACCTCTCTTTTCTTTCTTTTTTTTGTCAGACAGAGCTGATGAGACCCATATGTCTTATCTGTCTTTTTCGTGCAACAGCACATGTGCCAACTCATATGCACACACATACCAGATACACAGGTTACGAAACTCCAGTCTGACATCTGGGGCTACATTTGCCTTTCAAAAAGATGCACTTGGAATTGGATCTTATAGTGAAATGATGAACGCTTGTAAAATGTCATTTCACTGAAAATTCTCCTCATGAAACAATCACACTGAGCATTATGTACCACAGTCTGTTCAAAGAGTCAAGTTCCTCCTTTCCAAAACCCGTAACAAGAGTCTATTGGACACATTTATACCCAGTAGGGGCCCCCAGGAGGTCTGGCATACATTTATTTAGACCAAGATTCATAAAGCTTTCAGGTTACTCACTGGAATTATCAAAAGGTATCTGTCTGCAGCTGTCGGGGAGCCCCGGCCAGGGGCAGTAGTAGACAGACCCAGCCTCCACAAGGCCAGGTTGGGAGGTGTTGGCCTTAGGAGCCCCCACCAACACACTGAACCTGGTAGGAGGGGGAAGGAGAAAGAGAGGTACATGCAAGATGTGCAGGAGTGTGTGCAATTTATTATGCATACTTTTGCAGCCAATGCTCCATTTTATTTAAACACACATTTCAGATTCTTTTATGATTTAAGAACTTTGATTTTCTCTATGCAGCTTAAGTCTGACAGTATATGCATCATATCATCAAGATGATAAAGCTTCATAGAGTTTCTAGGCTAAAGTAGATGTACATGCACATTACGTAGAGGTAGATCTAGCCTATTGTGGATCATAACTTCTGCGTGACCCTGATGGAAGAACTTCAGTCTTGATGTTGCCACTCACGTGTTGCTGTCGCTTGTAGCTTGGTAGAAGTCCACCGAATAACCGAAATAACTTCCCTCGGGTCCCCTGTAAACCGTGGGATGCTCTGCATGAAGGTTAAAACTCCAAACTCCATTCAAAGCCGGACACAGCACCGACAGCAGCCCGAGAATAAAGATCCCCGCGGAGGAAACACAGTGACTTGGACGCTCCATCCCCATAGAACAGCCAGCTGCGCACGAGTCCCGACAAATGAGAGGGAACCGGGACAGAGAGGAAAAGGAGAGGGACAGAAGGAGAGAGAGGAGGAGGAGAAAAAAAAAAGAGAGAGAGAAGTTCCTCTGTGCAGGTGAGGTAGGTTTGTCCAGGGTTAAGTCCGCAAACTGTCACTGGATCAATGCGCTCCCCCCAAAATTGCCTCCTGACACCCTGGAACCATCAGGTCTGTCCAGACTCTCAGCTTCAAGTCTGCACAGCCGCGCCCCCGCCCTCTGCTCAAAACTTTACCCCCTACCCACACACAGATTACACACACACACACACACACACACACACACACACACACACACACACACACACACTGACACAGCCTCATACACACACATTACAAGACCACATCTGAGCGCGCTGCAGGACCGACCGGGGCGTCACAGCTCCTTTTAAGGCTCAGATATATTCTCTGTGGCGAATTGAGACCTTCAGCCTGCGAAAATAAATAATACTGAGGTGAGATTTACGACCTATTTTCTCACATCAATCAAGTCATTTATGCATTTGCAGGCAAGCGCAAAAGCAAAGATTAGTAGTCCATAAATTAACCCACTTCAAATTTTTTATTGGCCACTTTGCTAAACCGTGCCGCTAAAACAGGGCAGCGTTTCCTTCCGCTGAGAATAATCTCTTGTAATTATGTGCGTAATTATTATGTCGGCTAACAGCAGAAATCTCTCGAGCTCTAAAAGTTGAGGAAATTTGGCCTCGCGCGCCTTTTCACTCAACACCAGGCAATTTTTCTCCATTTAAACCTCAGAGGTAACACACTTCGCTCTTACTGAAAATAACATCCTGCAATGAAAAACAGGTTTAAAAGACGTGACAGGCCAGTCCACGCGAGTTTCTGTCTCTTAAACTCTGCTCACTTCATAACATTTTTCTTATTAAAAGTGAATCAATTGAATGTTGGACCCACATCCAGCAAAACTTCAAATCAGCTGCTTACCAGCTTGGGAAGTGTGTTTTAATTAAACCTAGCTTTATGGGCAAATTTGCAATGAATTAAACTCTGGAGAACTGCCTCACAGTGTTGTTAAACTGCTCTGGAGTGTGTTTCCTGTCAGGGGAGTTGATAAGAAGCAGGTGAGAAGGTGAGGTAAAGGTTATATGAGAAGGACATAAAAACCTTGACCTGCCAGATGGAGAAGTTTCTCACCTCCACAGCCCTTTCCTGCCCTGCCCTCTAACTTCAACACATTTCTTTCCATCATCCTATTCCAGTAATCGTGTCTCCTAACATTCTTGTCGATTTGAATAGGTTCCCCTTTGCACATCTCCCTGATCTGCTTAGTGCAACATTGAAGTCTTTGTGAGACAAAAAAAAAGAGAGTAAATGAAAGGGCCTGTTCATTCTCAGCTGCTTCTCTGTAAATCTGAAAATAATCTTGGAAAAGAATCTTGAAAACATGAGCACATCGGAGACAGATGTGTTCACTCAAATGGTGAAAAAAGAAAGATGGTGAGTGTGATTGAGTGAGGAGGCAGCAGGCGGACATATTCCTGCTCTTTTGCCCCTCTTGGCTTATGTCATAATGTCAGGTTTCTACAATTAAAATACAGCTCAGTGTCTTCAGTGTTCATGCTCACTTTACTGTTTTACAATAAAATTCTCATAAATATTACATTTCCAGGAATATGCACATTCACTCACACTGTTCAGGATAAGTCACATCAGTCTGCGAGTAGCTTTCTGTTTTCAGAAATACGGTTTATTCTGAATTGATTATTTCATGTGCACAGTAAGTGCTTTATAGTCTATTCACTGTGTCCATGTTCTCCCACTCTCTACACACATTCATTATGAGACTGTGTTGTGTCAGATTAGAGCCACATCCTCTCTTGCATTAGACTAAACCATTAGTTATACACACACAGCCTGTATTATAACTCTCCTGTGCACAGATGCAAGCACAGGAGCACTTGTACACAAATGCATAAACACTGAATTAAGAACCCTTTGTCTTGTTAAGTACTTTACTGGTATAAAGCAGTGGTTCACAACTGGTGGGTCGGGACCCAAAAGCGGGCCGCAGAGCCGTTTTTAAGTTGGCAGTGGGTGTGCCTGGAAGAAATATTTTATCCACAGGTCTATGAAGCCTTTTTTTTTTTTTTTAAACATTATTTTAGTTGAGTTTCTTTCTTTGTTACATCACACTTTGTTACAATCTGTGGTCCAAATTGCAAAATTGTCTTTTATCAAATTCAACCTGATTGATTGAAAAATATCAGAAATTTGGGTCACAATTCTTCAGCCTTTGAAAGCCTTTAAAGGCTTTATGTGATTTTTTTGATCCAGCAGATGTCGCCCTTGAGCACCAGCCTGATACCAAAACAACTTGCGCTGTATTGTTGTGTTAGCATGCTAATGCTAGCGATCTTTATTATGCTCGTATCTTCACACTGCATGTAAATTTACCCGAAATGAGCGTGATCTAGAAACACAGTTAAGCAGTGAGTACAGTATGTTATTCTTCTGTTCTCTAGTCCCTCAATTAAACAACTTTTATACGCGAGGGGATGAGCCGGTTGGCCGTCCTGGCGATGTAAACAAAGTGAAGATAGGACTCGGAAAACTCTGAAAGCATCACAGACAGTGGGACTCGGGTGTTACACCCATTGTAGACAGTCACGACTCAGAGTTATTTTCAGAGGATATACTTGATTTCTATTACATTTAAGTGTGAAAAATCACATAAAGCCTTTAAGGAGTTGTTGGTGGGTCCTGAGGCTCGACTAGTTGAGAACCACCGGTATAAAGAGCTATTCCTCCAACACTTGACAGGAAGGATGACTAAATAAGACACAAAGCGGTACTAACAAGCCAAACATGCTACTATGTTGAGGATCATTGGTCTTCTTTTAGATGATAAGCTAACTGAAACATGAGGAATATTTTGTGTTTACAGAGACATGCTTAGGTGAACATCAGTGTCCTGGAGATTTAGGGAATTAGTGAGCTAACTCTCTGGGGATGGAAACACAAGTTGACTTGTGATTTACTTTTGAGGGGAATCCAGGCAGACCTTGAACATCCTGAAACTTGAGGTAGTGTGATGTCAGGGTCAAGACATGTTATTTATGAGGAAAAACACACAAAGGAGGACATCAATGATTTTAAATCCAGCAAGCAACACAGCCTGTGAACCAAAAACAAGTGTTTATTCCAGAACCTTTGAGTGTGATAATAAATACATGAGCACTCATCCAACTTCCTAGTGTGGTGCACTATGTATATGCACACACTCTTAAACAGAGCATCTAAACCAGCTTCAGAACTTCCTGTTCACATCTTCAGCTCTCTGTGCCTTCTGTTGGTCCCTTTATGCTGTAAACGCTTAGCTCTGTGTGTGTGTGTGTGTGTGTGTTTACTTGTGTTCTTATATGTGGAAGGCTTTGGTAGATTTTTCCCTCAAATAGTCCTGTTGCTGGAGTAAGAGAAGTGTTTCACAGTCGACTGGCTGTACATGTGGTTAACACTAGAACCAAACCATTTTGCTCTCTCGACGGTGTCTTATAGCTTTCTACTGAGAGCAGAGCTGTAAAAATAAACAGTCATTCAGCTTTTTTTTTTTTTTTTCTTTTTTCAAATAATCACATCATCAACATCCTGTGTGTCATTTACAAGCCATGGTGAACATACAATAGCATGAGCTGTAACATGTGAATTTGCATGTTTGTGGAATGTGTGAATGAGGATGACACAATGGATCTCAGGCATTTTAGTTTAGTCCATGAATAATGTTTTGTTTCAGTCTCGTGTGTGCATTTGTGTTTTTTTTTTAAATAGTTGTTGTACATGTGTGTCAGTTGTCGCATTCTGCTGACCTTTAAAGGGGTCAGTGTGCGGGGCAGAAGCCAAGAGATGGGTAGTGTGTGAGTGTGTGTTGTAGTAGTGGTCCCTCCCCATCCACAGACACAGAGACCATGGTAGTACTAGTTCAATGACGGGGAGCGGTCGGTGGTCCACAGCAGCTCAATGTAGGGCCACTTGGTCTGTAGGCAGCGCTTGACAGGAGTGTCGTCCGTCCTAACCATGGGGTCCTCGAAACCAAGCACCAAAGCCGTGCCCTCCACATACTCTACCTGAGAACACACACACATCAATATGCAGTTGATACAGAGTTCACCATACACACACAGTTATACACTTTCTAATCAGCAGGCTAAAACTCTTTTAATCCCTCCTCAGACAATTCCTTATACAGCTCTGGAAATAAATTAAAGATCACAACAAAACAATGTTTTTCTCTGATTCTACTGTTTATAGGTTTGTGTTTTAATCAAATTCACTTTTTTTTTTTTTTAAATCTTAATGTTTATAACATTTCTCCCAACCTTGAAAGAAAATAATCTAATTTGGGTATTTTATTTGCAGACAATAACAACATGATTAAGAAAACAACAAGAAACAGTGTTTGTCAGAATGTGAATTATGCAACAAAGACAAGTTCCTATAACATTTTAAACAACAGAATACTTATGTTTAAAGTTCAGAAATCAATATAAATGATATACCAACATTTTATTCAAACCCAAATCGCAGAAATAGTAAATTCAGAGGTGGTGGTCACTTGTTTTTCATATTTGTATTTCTTTCTGGAGCTGTATATGTCCAGACAGGTTTGCAATGTTTGTGTTCTTGTAAATGTAAACACCCCCATAAGCACACACACAGAAACATTTAGGCTATATACCAGCTTCAGACACATGTAGTCAGTAGGTCTGTTTTTCCCATATGGAGCTATGGGAATGGAAATGCCATCACAACCTTATAGGCGCCTTGCTGCTCTGTGTGTGTGTGTGTGTGTGTGTGTGTGTGTGTGTGTGTGTGTGTGTGTGTGTGTGTGTGTGTGTGTGTGTGTGTGTGTGTGTGTGTGTGTGTGTGTGTGTGTGTGTGTGTGTGTGTGTGTGGGTACATGTAGTGCCATTCCTGCACTTTCAGGTAGAGGTATGGAAAACTGCTGCTTTCCAGAGCAGACAACGTTGACAGATGTAGAAAGCGATATTCCTGAGTAACAGGTTTTTGCCACCGACTTCTTCCAGTGACAATCATCCATCACACTAAGCCTGCTTAATAGGCCTGTGTTTGACCATTTATCACTACTGGCCTGCTGACAGAGGCCTCCGTGTCGAAACCACTTGGAGAAATAGGAGGCTAAGCCAGAGGTTTTTGGATGGATGGACATGCTATTAGGCTCGCAATAGCTTCTGTTTATTCTGGAGTGGCCGACCAAATAACTTTGTGTGAGTGTGTGTGTGTGTGTGATACAAGGCAAGAAGAGAAGTAATAAGCGAAAGAGAGAGAAGCTATGAAAAGTAACCACTACCATTAGTTATGAAAAAACCTGTATATGAAAAAGTGTCTTACCCTCTCGTTGTAATTGGACTGTTTAAGCCCATTGTAGTGGAAGATAGGAAATGACTCTGGGATTCCTGAATCCTGAAACACAGGCGGGGGAGCAGAGTGAAAACATGCAGTGCAGTCATAGAATCTCAGGAAAGAGAGATGGAGGTAAAAAAACAATACAAAAAAAAAAAAAACCCCGTAGAGGTAGACCATTTTTGTACTCAAAAGTCAAATGGTTACATATCTTCTTGCAACCGAAGCTTTATTTGAAATCCCACATGTATACATTTTAATGTGTATGCGTCTAATACAGCTCCAATTACCAGCAAACAGCCAGCACTACAAAACACGTCCCAACAATGACATTGAGCCAAAACACTTCCCATGACTTTGGCCCAAAGGCTGCAGAATGCTAATAGGGTGTGTTGTCTACGAGTGCGTCAAGCTTCTCATGTTTATATGCCTACATATGAAACCCTAACCCTCACCCCGATCCCACGTGTGTCTGAGTGTGTGTGTCCAGTTGGCTAATGGTTGTATAATTTCTTTGCGGCTCAAGACCATTCCTCTACTGAGTCCCTAAAGCCCTGATCACTTTAACACATTTCCTCTCTATCTCTCTCCCTTCTCTTGTCTTCCTCGCTCCCTTTGCCTAATAAAGGCGCCTTTACCGCTCTCTCTCTTAGTTTCTCGGCATACACCATCAGATGCTGGTGAACACGCGCGTACAAATTCACATGAGACACCGCAGGAATGTTTTTGCAATAGAAACGTTTGATTTGTTAAAATAGCCCGCCCACACACACACACACACACACACACACACACACACACACACACACACACACACACACACACACACACACACACACACACACACACACACACACACACACACACACACACACACACACACACACACACACACACACACACACACACACACACACACACACACACACACACACACACACACACACACACACACACACACACACACACACACACACACACACACACACACACACACACACACACACACACACACACAACACACACACACACACACACACACACACGATTTTCTATGCCTCTGTTGGAACTGTGATATGGATTGGATATGGATTGTAAGACTAGTGGAAGGTATTTTTCAGAATCTGTGTGCATCTTTTGAAGTGGAAGTCCACCTCTTGACACACACTGAAACGCATACCTGATCAGGGAAAAACTCCAGTAGGAACGGGCCCAGGAGAATTATGCCCAAACTCTCTGGATCCAGCTTACTCTTCACCAGACTGACACTGAGGAGGCACAGATGTAGAAAGAGAGACAGAAAGAAAGTAAATAAAAAGGTGAGCAGATGACACAAAACCCTGAATATCCACAGAGAGGATACAAAAAATAAAAGATAGAGGAAACATTCAGGTCAAAAAATTTGAGCTATTAGATCAGTTCCAAACACGATTTATGTGATGTTTCGCGCATGAAAACGAGTCAAATTTACGATCACCTCATCACTTAGTCTGGACTTGCGTTGCGTGTTTTGGTGAGTGCGTGCATGTTTTCATGAATACCAGAGTCCAACTAAATATACCTCTTTCCAGACATTCCTCCGTGTTAGATCAGTGTTATCATAATTCCACCATGATAAAAAAAAAATCTGGTTAGATTACCTTAAAAGGGCAATTTGACCAAGTCAGAGAGGGAAAGCAAGGATTTTTTACCAGGACTCAGAGGGAAAGAAGGCAATCATTATTTCTTCATCTATGGATTTGTAAAAGTAGCAGCCTGTAGCAGTCGCAGTAAGACAGCACACAGAGTTTACAGTGAGCCTGCTGAAGTGTATATGAGCAGCAAACTCAATCTCTAGAAATGGACAGACAACCTTTCTGCATAATTTGCAGAGGACTGAGAAAAAGAGAACATCTCCTCAGACATGAATGTAATATTTTATTTGATTAAAAAGTGGTTGGATGGTGATGATTGAGTTCATTAGTTGTTGCTTGCTGGTTTCAATAAAATCCACAGCATGACAATATAACCTCATTTAAAAAGAAACTGAATCACAGTAACATCAAATTTCTACAATAATGCCAGAGAAAGATGGACACAAGTTCTAAATTCATGCAGATATCTACGGAGCCCCTGAAGTCCCAAAAAGTAAAAACAAACCTCTTTTGGGCAAAAGTTAGATTATATCTTTTGCGCACAAGATAATTACTTGCACAAGATATTCCTTTTTACTTTTTCTGGACTTCAGGGGCTCTGTAGGTATCAGATAAATATTACTGAATGGTTCCCTTACTGGTAAATGTTTTGATATAGATTGCCTTTTGTTTGTTAGTGAATTTGATCTACCGATATATCATTCATCCCAGTTAAATAACATTAAAGTCAATAAACATGAATTCATGTTCAGAATCTTGATAATAAATGACTATCCTTAACACAGAAAAAAATTCCTTGAAGAGGACATTTCCTGAGAACTGTCAGTGAGGGTTTCCCACATAGAGGAGCAGCTCATAGCTAAAGGTCACAAGATTTATAGGAACACAAAAGTCACATGAAACTTGAAAAGAGTTTGCACTCATCCTCATGAGTGATGATTCTTCAATTTAGTAACTGTAGATTCTTCAAATAAATCATTACTTCCCAAACACTTAAAACTTTATATTGTTTTTACATGGCGGAATCCCTGCAATAACTCTCTTGTTGTGTGGTAAGGAATGAGACTCGCTTGTTTGTGCTGGGAGTCTTCCCACAGGTTTGCTGTGTTGTGTTGTGATGTATCTGGGGATCTGCAGAGCAGATCAGCGGTCCAGTTACTTGGTCAGGCTGCAGCGCTCGGGCTTACTGTTCCCCAGAAGAGAACGTGCTTCTGTTTGAAGCGGCGCTTTAAAGCGTTTCCTCCCTCTCTCACTCTTTCTTCCTGCTGTTAATGATCTCTCCCTAAGCCTCTGTTACGGACTTTCTTTCTTTCCTTCTTTCTCTTTTTATTCCTGAGCTTTTACAGTGGGCTAGCTCTGGTCTTACTATATAGCAGCCTGGTAGTGAAACATGAGCTAAGGGTGGCTGACCTGGCCTGGCCATGACTTAGGAGCTAGAACTTTAGAAGCTCTACAGGTGCCACACACACACACACACACACACACACACACACACACACACACACACGTGCACACACGCACACACAGAGAAACACAAAGCCTTGAACATGCTAGCACTTACTACTCGGGCTCTGAGACAAGGTCAAGGGCTTTCATCACGTCCTCCAGCAGAGACTCTGCGATGAAGCCATTATCTGGATAGAGAGAGAGAGAGAGAGAGAGAGGGTGGGAGACATAAGGAGAGACTGATGCACTGGCTGACCCCATACAGAACATAAAATACTGGCTTCAGTGGAAAACTAGGGGAAGCCTTCACCTACACACATGTGGTACAAGCAATATTTACATCACACGCCCTGGGGAATGAGCTCATCTCACACAACTTCAGAAAAAACATGTAGAGCCGCACACAGACACACACACCTTGTCCTCTCTCTCTCTGACCTACATTCCTTGGCAGAGATGATTGCTTTACCTGAGATGGAGAAGCCTTAAACACTAACATGTGTTTTGTGCCCTAAAAAAAGAGAAATTGTGTGTCCGGGCCACCGTTGGTTTTGCCTCACTAAAACATCAGCATGTGTGTCTGTGTGGCCTGCTGTTTAGATACATGTTTAAGCCCCTGGTGTGTTGTGAAGAAGATTAACCGACAGGCGCCCTTGCTTGTCCGCTCTCAAACAGCAAAATTTCGCCTTTTCCAGTGCCGGATGCTTTTTCTCTCTCTCTCAAGAGTGACAACTTAGAGTTTCACAGCAAAGACACAAACAAACACACGCACTCTACACAGGGACAATGACAAACGGCGACTACTGAAGAACAATGTGAGACAGTGGGTTGCTGGGTGCGTATGTCTGGTGAGTCAGTGCAGTGCGTGTGAACGCGTCTGGCGCCCCAATTCCACAACACAGGGAGCTGTGCTGACTCTACATATGACACAGACAGATTTACAGCCATTTTACACAGCGCTCAACTGTGCTGCTAGCTTTGCCATGTGTGTGGATGTGTGTGTGTGTGTGTGTGTGTGTGTGTGTGTGTGTGTGTGTGTGTGTGTGTGTATGCACGGTACATCCTCTTCGCATGTGTGTATACATGAGCGTTTAAGTCTTTAGATACACCTACTGAGGCCAAAGTTTGTGTTTGTGTGCATCTTTGTGCAAGCATGTGTGAGAAGAGGCCATAAGGCTGACAGAATGTTCTGGCAGGATTTGAGGATTTGAGAATGTGCAAAGCTGCATTTTTGTGAAACAGGAAAAGAGAGAGGCATACAAGAGAAACCAAACAACAGACAGAGAAGTTTACATATTTGTCGTCTTAGTTGCTAGATCAAGCGAGACCACTTTCAGCTGGTAGGATTTATTGTACTGTAAAATCTCGTTGCACAACACGCACAGAAGTCAGAAAAAGTGTTCCAACGAGCCAGATAGTGAATCATGATGTTTACGGCAGCAAAGTACAGCATCTTTCATTTTTACAACACAAGCACATAAATATTAAGGAACATGCTACGAATGTCGTGTAGCCTGAATCCTAACAGAGAAATCTTGCAACATGGATAACTCTTACAGTGTGTAATGTAAACATAGTGCATTGCTTTTGCCCTGGATGGGGTCTCTCTCTCTCAATTCTCCTGTTTCCACAGCTTAACATGAACAGAATACATGTCAGCACTAAAGCTTATATGAACACAATAATCTCAATCTTGTCTTCTCTTTCACTTTCTATCGTCTTTATTTCACTCTCTGTGTCCTTCCCTTTGCCTTTTACCCCAGTCACCTGTGAGGGCCTAGAAAGAAGGTTTAGGAAAACGAGGAAGAGAGGCAAGACGCAGGATAGTTGACTCAGCTGTACGAGGAGCTGATCTCACCAACCTAAACAACAACAGAGGAGATGAGGGGAGAGAACAGACCTAGGTTCTGCCTGCAGAGGAAAATAACGAAGAAGAAAGAAGGGCTGACGAGGGCAGTGGAGGTTATAAATGCATCTGCTCCACCAGGAAGAAGGGAAGAGAAAGATAACAGGGCCAGGATATTATTTCCTGGGTGTGTTTTTTGTGTCAAAGCGAGACTTTGGATTAATTAGTAGCACATATGTGTGACATTATCTCCATGCACCTGTTGTACTAATGAGTATAACAGTCTATATTAAAACAAGTGTGCAGGGGGTGAAGCTTTGGAGCATAAGCATGTGTACTACGTATGCATGTTACAAGAACTTATTGGTCCTCACCTTCAGGATCAAATGACTGAAAGACCCTCCTTGCCTGTTCTGACGGCGACTCCGGGCCTACCAGGGACATCTCCTGTAGAGAGGAACCAAGAGGAGAGAGAAAAAGGTAAAAAGGTGAGAGGTTCTGCGAAAAAGCAACAAACAGATGTTTGACCTTAATGTGACCACACATATTTCTGATGAAAGCGGGGAAACAGGGAGTGTTGCGGTATGACAGTGAGCAGACAGATAGATCTGGGAGGAGAGGAAGAATTAGATCACATTATGAGGGGATGTGTTTTCATCAGTGCTGAAACATTACCCCAGTGGAGTACAGCGTGAAGCAGCAATCACGTTGATCTACTGAAACACTTTGATTGTCTCTGACAAGGTTTAGCAGCACTAATGTGCAACACACCACCACAGTGACGAAACGCAGTCCACACACAGTACAGTACCACCCATAGCAACAATGTGTAATGCACAGCTACAGTACATTGTGCATGTGTGTGTGTGTGTGTGACTGTGTGTAATCCAAGGGGCCAGTGCAATCACTGGAACCCACTGTGTTATTAACTGATCTGCTGATAAAGTTAGACGGCTTGTTTTCACTCCAAACACACAATCAGGAAATCGAGCCTTACATACACAGCTCTTGATTTATGAGAAGCCCCACAGTGTTTGTTTGTTGGTTGAGTCTAGAAAGAGACGTGTTTGAAGGGGGATCAGAGATGACTAGGTGTAGATATGCATGTTCCAAGATGATTCTGACCCGCTGGACTGGACTCTGATTAAATGAAGAACATCTTACACTTATGGCCTCAAGAGTGCTTAAAACAAAGTTCCCGTGAGATCATCTTACAGCATATAAACTCCCCTTAACTCACATCAATCTGACAGTGGAATAACTGAGGAAGAGATTGTGACTTTGATACTTTCCGGTTTCATTTTTCTACTTGTGTCTCTTTTCAAATACGCAACTGCCGTTTCCCCTGCTTGAGATATTTACTCTTTTTAAAAAACAGAAAAGAAAAACTCTTAAGACCAGAGAAGCAGGAAAAAAGCTCTTCTTTAAATTTTTGGCCATATGCAAAAGTTAAAATATTTTGTCTGTTATGTGGTTGAAATAATTAGTTAGCACAACAAGGCCTCTAGACGCTGACACGTGACAGACCTCCTCGGATAGAATCATTTTCCCTTGCTCTCCTTCATCCATTTTTTTGTATCGCATTATCTGGTATTTTTGTTATTCAGAGCTCACATTCAGCCAAACATTTGGAAAACCTTCAGGTTTTTTTAATTCTTATCAATGTAACTTTTGCTGCTTTGCTGAAGTGATTAAGCCAGGTCTTTGTAATATAGCAATAAGTAAGGTCTTTTTGTAACATAAAAATGAGTATGGTCTTTTTACCTGCTCTTTTGTAAAGTATCTCATGATAACACTTGTTATGAGTTGACGCTATACAAATAAAGATTGATTGATTGATTGATTGAGATAAACTAAACTGTAATTCAACCATGTAATAGGTTGCACGGGTGTCATAAGTCCGTACGAATATATTACATGAATAACTATTTACAGAAGTAGAAAGAAGATCTTGCGCTTCAGCCATTCCACAAAAAGGAGGTCGTGCTCTCAGAAAAGATCTTGTAAAATGTAAAATACCTTCTTCAAGACAGGAAGCAAAGAAAATGGAAGAAGGTTTCTACTGGATTGTATTTTTTATACAACTATTTAGAGAAGTTTAAGCTAACAAAAATAGCTCAGAGATGAAAGGGCTCAAAACTGGCTTCAAAAAAAGATGGTTTGTCATCTCTCTCTTTCGTACACTCTCAGAGACTGATGCAAAGTGTGCAGGCGAAAGTCAGAGGGTTCTGATTGTTCTTCCTTACAACAACGCGCTGGTCAAACACACAACGTTTTTGGAAAAGCAATTGAACCCTGCTCATCTCCTTTAGCTCTCCTTTATTAAAGCATGAGCCTCAGATTTGAGCAGGCTTCTAGAGTTTCATGGTCCACTTATGACTGTATTCAAGGCTTACACAGAGAGAGAGAGAGAGAGAGAGCAAGAGAGAGCGAGAGAGAGATAGAGGGAGAGAGGGGTTCAGGGGGACACATCGAGGAAGAGATGACTCCCAGCTGCTGACTCTTCAGCTGCAAAAGAAAAAACATTCGAAGACCGGTGAACACACGCGCACACACTGTTTTGTCACACGGAGTAAAAGAAAGTCCTGATGTGTTAACATTACAGGCTCCACAACTCTGACAGTAGATTTGTCATTAGCATGATATGTCAGTGTTGCACTTACAGGGGGTGGACAAGGGTCATTTTGCTGCACCAGGAGGAATAAAGTGCTGAAAAAGTTCCTTAGCAGCCAACTGCATGCAAAAGAGGAGTGTTTGTATAGGATGACATGAGTTATCTGTCTTGAACTTGAACTAAACTGGTGTTACGCTCAAAACTGTGCACATAAACTCAGAAAACATATCTATTTCCAAAGTGATGAGAAGCTAAATGGACCATAGGCTTCAATAAAAAATCCTTTAGGTCCATTGTGCCTCATGAAGCAGCGCTCGGCTAACGCAATTTATTATCTTCCAGAGAGAGAAGGACACAGTGTGTGTAAATCAGCAGGTAAAACCACAGTTACAGGATGTCAACACTTTAACAGAAGACAAACACTCCAAGTGGTCATCAACCGGCAGAGGAAGACAAAACACGTTATTATTTCTAGTCTCAACCAATAATATGAGACTAATGAACACGTAAGAACAGAAAAGACAATGACTCATGTGAGCATAAAATCATGCTCATACAGACGGACACACAATCGCAGCAGAAATTACATGTGTGTGTGCGCGCGTTTGTGTGTGTTTGTGTGATGACAGGTCTGCCTTGCTGGCTTTGATCTCTGTTTTATTAGAGGCCCGAGGAAGATGCTGCTGAGTAGGAAAACATGTCATGGAGCTAACAGACTCCACAGGGAAGGTGTGTCTAAGTGTGTGTCTCTGTGCCTCAGCGTTTATTTCCTGTAGTTGCAGTCTGTGTGCGAGAGAATCGGTGCAATAATTAGGTCTGTCCCCTGCCGAAATGTGTTTGTTTATTCTGGAAAAAAAAAGCAGGTTTTCTATTCTATCAATCCGCACGAATATCCATACACATGCAGAGATATAATAGTGCAATGCACATTTTTACACTGATTCGAGGTCCTTTGTGCCTTACTAAAATCAAGGAGCACATTCCAATCCCCACAGTCGGACTTTAGCCGAGCAACAACAAGCTTCCCTCCATAGGAACAACGCAAGAACAACACAGACATTCAGGTTCCCCAAGGATGTATATACACAAAGTAATGCATAACATGTTGCTCTGAGTAAAGCCAGAAAACATTTCTTTATGTCAAACAAGTTCTTTTTTTAAGAGCCAAAAATGACAAATGACCAAAAGGCCTCTGATGTTCATGTATTCCTTGCATTTTTCCGCTAAGCCAGGACGACTACCGACACATTCCGAGTGCAAGTGAAGTTTCCAAATTCAAGTCTCTTGATCACACCCTCCTAGAAAAAGATCCAAGCCAACTGATAACCATAAAACCTCTTTATTTTCTGAATCATTTTGGGTGAGGCTCTCCTCAACCTTCACCTTTAACCATCTGCAATTTCCCTGTTCTCTCCAGACTAGACATAGTGACTCTCTCACATTGATAACTCATCTCCTGTAGGCTTTCCCCCCCCCCCTCTCCATTCTGTTTTTTTGGGACCAATTTAACCCCTTTTAGCCGCCTTTTCCTGTGCTAAGTAAGTACTCCAGTTTTGGAGTATTTCCTCCCTTCCAACCCTTGACATTTCACCCATTCTTCCTTGCAGCTTTCATCCTTTATCTTCTCTTACAGGTAGGTACTTCAGGATAGACAGGTAGGCAAAGTACATTGCTAGGGTTTCTCTTTCTTTCCCTCCGGTCCACCAAAAAGAGCTATTGTTTGTGCTGAGAGGCTCTGAGTGGCCTTAGAGTATGTCTGAAGGGATCAGTTTCGAGGCAACAAAGCAGAGGTCTCGGACAGTGTCTCCCACCTTGTTCCTAACAGGCAGCGACAGCCTCATTACATGACAGGCTGAGAAGGAGAGTGAGGAGGGAGTCTATGTGTGTGTGATGGCTTTTTTAATGTATGATATATGTGTGCCTGTTTGTGTATTGGTTCTGTTCACCTTAACTAGCCTTTGTCCCATGTGATTACAAGGACAAAAACAATGGGAAACCTATCTCTCCAGCAACAAATGGAAGGGCACACACAATCAACTGTACGTTTCTGTGCGTACAGTATGTGTATGAATTTCAGGAGTGACAGACAGGACAAAGTAGTGATTAATGGAGCTGTCGCCAATGACAAAGACTATGTCTCCACAGAGAAGAGGAGGAGACACCAGTGGATAGTTATATAGCCAAATGATGGGTTCTATAACAGAAAACAACACACTGGGGAAAAGATAGAATATCTCAGCGCGCACACAAGAACACAGAAAGCTTTCATCGCAACACAATCGCCTTTGGTCTGACCTGACACGGATTATTAATGACTGTTAATTTACACCGCTTTGTAGTTATGTATTTATGTACCCCGCACCCTCTGATCATACAAAGGGCAGAAATGAATCCTAAGGAAGTAAAAAAAATCAAATATTTTGTTATTCTGAAATGTCCTCACATTTTTACTGGGTGAGCTGCATGTGTGGAAGCAAACAGTCACATTTTTCACAAGTACTTTTTCCTGCCAGCAACTTCTGTGTGAAGTAAGGATGAGCCGATGTTTGAACAAATGTAGCAAGTAATATACTGAAACTCTCCACAGGCTATTGGGAAGTGTTGATGATGTTAAACCGAAGAGATCGATATGCACGTACTAACGCAGCTACATACTCTTTACTGCTCCCCAGTGTGTTCTTTTTCACTCGTTTTTAAATACTGAGAATAGGTAAAAAACACAAAGCATTGGCAAAAAATAATTTAAAAAAAGTCATTCTTAGTCGTGTTCAAATAAGTTTACTTTTCTAATTTCCTACGACATAATTACCGATTATGACCAAAATTAGATTTTCTTTATACAAGTTAATTTAGAGGTCTGGTATCATGTGATACATTGATCAGCTTACGGTGATACACCGTAAGCTAAGGGTTGTTTACTTCCTGTTTGGATACAAATCTACTTTAATTTTGTGATTAAATAAGGAACTTCCAGGAGTTCAAAGGTAACGTTATTGAAGGAAAACAGCTAAAGGCAACGGTAAAAAAGTGAAACGTTTGATGTCATAAGGGGGATAATACTTTGGACTTGTTAATTGAGCTGTCTGGGCGTCTTTTTAAGTAAAAAGAGCCATTCAAAGGAGCAGCGGGGTTGTTCTTTACCCATCACTGTGACATTACTGACTGTTCTGATAATCAATGTGATTATCATAAAAATTATAGTGCATTATTTTGATATGTCATGTTTAGAATATTGGGGGCTTATTGATTTGACAACATAATATTCTAACCTCATGGTTTTCTAACTATCTTTGACAACAGACTTGATTCCATTGCATTGAGAAAGCTTTGGTTTCCAGTGAAAAGCTCTGGAAATACCCCAGCACTGTTGGCAACACTTTAGATTTACTGTGGTTATGCCAATAAAGCATCACTGATGCAAATTGACCTGCATGAATTGTGGCTGCACACTTGTGCTTTAAATTCCAACTTCTCACCCGTCCTTGAAGGACATCTTGTGTATGTGTGTGCAGACAGAAGCTGGAGTCTTTGGGGAAACGGAGCGCCACAACTACGGCTCTCGCTCCCAGTAAATCACCGAACCAGAACACGACTACTGTACATATATACACACACACACACACACACACACACACACACACACACACAAAAACACACATGTAACTCCCAAGAGACAAAGCCTGTGAACCTCATCACTCAGTGAGAGAAGAGGAAAGAGGGATGAGAAACGTCACAAGAGGATACACTCCCCCCCCTCTCCTTTCCTGAGTGACCGTTGCACCATGCTTTAAAGTGCATCCTTCCCTTTCTACTTCCTTTCTTACTCCTTCCTTCCCATGAGGGACCAATATTCTGAAGAGGTTGGCTAAGATGGGCTGGGGGGGAATCATTTTCTTGGCAAACCAGCCCTACTTTACTCAGGAGTGGATGGTAACTTCAAAGAAAAGAGGAGCAAAGGCAAGGAAGAGAGAATCCTTTTTGAAACATAGGACATGATATGTCTCATCAATCACACATCTCTTCTTTTTCAGTCTGTCTCTTCTTCTTCTTGTGGCTTCTCAGAAACTCTTGTCCAAAAACAGATCCCATTACATGCCATTATACACGCTCAGCGTCTTTCTCACATGCACACACACATTAATAGCAGCGAGGACAGAGAGTGTGGGGGTGTTGTGGGTAGGGATCAGAGATGGTGAAATGGCCTTTGTGTAGGTAGATTAGATAAAAAACACTAATGCTATTAAGCTGATGGTCTAAGAGCCGCAGTCACACACTGAAAGCGACTCAGGGGAATACACACCCGTCCCCAATGGCAGACAGAAGGAGCCGCTGATACATCAGAGGCGGGGGATCAGGTTTTCTGCTTTTGTGAGGATGGCTCCATATATCCGAGCTAAAAGCTACGAAACCAGGTAGTGTGTATTTTTGTATCACCAAGCCTGGGAAATGTCATTGTGCTTCGGATCAGCTCAAACATAGATTTTCTTTCAGGACTGGGGGTGACACACGGTGAGGTCTACCAACAGAGTGCCTCAGAGAAAGCTTACCCTTTCAAGCTCTGGCTCAAAGCTGTAGAGCCAGCATGGTATATAGCGTCAGCCATGTACGTCAGAACATATGCATGCATGTGCACCGTTTAAGTTTTTAAATGTGTTCGCAGTCTCCAGCGGGACAAATGGATCCAGATGGGAACTCGGGAATCACATTCCCAACAGGAAGCTATCCACCTGAAGCCACACATACACACAACACTAATGCTAATCAGGATTAGGTTCCCCCTGTGCTCTGGAATGTGTGTGGAAGAGTCAGACTATGCGTGTGTGTGTGTGTGTATACTTGTGAACATGTCACCAGTGCCAGGGGAGTTGTAGCAATCGGTAAGTCATCAGTACATGCATGACGACTGTGGGTCATCACTGAGCCATCATATGATCCACTTGCCTAGCAGGCCTGAGCTTAATGCTTGTAACTGAGCTTTTAATCAATGCTTTATTCAGGGTGTGGCGATATGATGGAGATGATTGCCTGGGATTCTTTCTTCCTCTCTGGTGCCATTTTCACAACAGCAGGGAGAATCAATTTGCTACAACTGAACCTGCCAGCTTTAGTACAGAGGCGACACCAATGTCTTAAGTTACATGTTGACTGATAGAGATGATGAACAGCCCTGTTTAAGGGCACACTGGGTGACTGTAGGGCTAGTACAGGAAACTGATGGTCTTTATTCCTACCGTGGAGCCAACTTTCTTTCAAAGTTAAGACAGATGGGTTGACCTTGATTAGGATTTGCTTTCTAATACTTGGCATACAAAAATTCATGTTTATATCTGGGTTGCTACTGCAGGATCACTTGGGCCTTTTTCAGGAACCTGGGACTCATTTAAAGGAGATCAAGAATTGTAACTGTTTCTTGTCCAAGTGAACCTCATACTAGTTTAATATATTTAAAGTTTCAATGGCATAAGGTCGGATTCAGAAGCGAAGTATGTCACAGATTTGTCAAACATCGGCCTTCAATAATGTGACAAAAATAGTAACAGTTAAGAGGTTTAAGGCCCAAGTTAAAACTATTTATAAATGAGAGAGTAGTAGTTACAGTATGATCTGTGTTCTTCAAAGTCTGATCTGCTCAGTCCAGCGCAGCATGATTAGTTGAAGGCAATGAAGACTGCAGCTAACCCTGGATGCTGATTGGTTGAAGGGCATAGTATGCTGCCAGTGCTGGTTTGGTTGTTTTATTGGAAGCTGTGGTAGCACAACGGTATTTGACTGTGCTTTACATTTAGTACTTTGTAGAAAGTTTTGAATATCTGTATCAACACAAAAAGTTCTCAGTAAACTGTTGAAACTTAGAACTTGGAATGGAGTTTTTTTTTAATTTTTATGAAGCCAAGTCAGCCATATGTTTGCAGCTCTGCAGTTTGTGTGTGGCTTTTTTATTAAATACGTTGGAGCCACACTAACAGCCCAATTATTACGATAATATAAACATGAGTGGGACTATTTTTGGAGTGTTGTTGAGATGTAAACAAACGACAACTTCAGCAAAAAGAAAAGGAGACAATGGAAAAGTGAGATAATCTACTGCATCAGCGAAATGTCTCAGAAAAAAACACCAAGGAAGCTTAGTCAGTGAGATAAATGTGTCTACATGTCAATTAACAGTGGAACACTTACCAACAGTAATATTATATCTTGTTTAGTGTTATATTATTTTCAGACAACGCCATTCGTTTTAAACTTTGTGATTTGGTCAAAGCAACTGTTTGTTCTCAAGTGTTTCTAGTGCTCTTTAGTTCCCTGGACAACTTTTCACAACAAACATGTTCTTTTGAATTAGAGCCAGGAGAGAAAATGTGTAATCCATATTGTTAGAATTATCCTGACAGTCAAGGTAGACAGAAATTGGCTATAAATGGAGGGCTCTAATTGGAGTCCAAATTCAACACTTTACATCACGGTCAAACATCATGAATTACATCTTGTTTAGTCGATCACAGATGGTTGAAAACCTAAAATAGTGTGGGTTGGATTGCGTGAGAGGAAGAAAGATAGAGAATAAAGATGGCTGGTGTGTGTGTGTGTGCACTTGTTGAGCTCTTTTTAAACAACTGAGCTTCTCTTTCCCTTATAGCTGGATAGGTGAAACGCCAAAAAAAACAGCTGTGTCCATATATGACCATCTCCAATATTAATTCCCCCCCCCTCCCCCTTCTTCTTTTCCCCCCACATTGATATCGGACCTGCATTATATTAAATCTGTTAAGCACATTCCATATTTTGGTTTTTCTAACCTGCTGAGGAGACTGGCTTTTGTTACACGCCGTGAGTCTGAGTGAGTGAGTGAAATATGTGCTGGTCGCTCATGGATGTGTGTGCTGAACTTGCCTTTGTGAAAAACACAGAGAGGTGAGTTTCACTGCCAAGGATCCAAATAGGGAACTTTGGAGACTTGAGGAATGCCCCGACCTGAAACACACATATACATACACACTTAAAAGGAATGTGTAACAAATGAGTGTCTATTTTTCAGTCATTTCCAGTATGATTCAGTAACTGCGTAAAGCTTTACACAAGTGTCTTTTCACGAAGTATATTAATATTTCAACAAAGGTCATAGGTCACATTGTGTGAGCAATACGTTACTTCTCTGGATCCACAACAAATACGACTATGAAATGAAATCAGGATTAATGATAGACACATTTTCACTTTGCCACTTATTATTTATTTTCTCTTTTGAACTCCAGCATCATATTTTACTTCATCTTGATTGCCGTAGAAGAACAGTAAAGAGAATACCTGAACAGTGCACATGTGAGCAGACCTTTCCTTTTGGATATTTTATCCATCTTGATGAACATCCAGTTATTTTTGGCAACCATCTACTTGATATGTACTTGATAAAGCTGCTGACTTGTCCACTGACAGGGCTCATGTTTAAACTCCACTTGTTTTGGGGCTTGCTTATTCTGGTAGTGACAGATAAATGACCAAGATTCTTGTCTTTTCGACAACAATGTGTCGAGTTACAACTATTTATGAGTTGTTTTTGTGACCTATTCTAATAAAAGTCTGTTTTAGTTTGTGAGTATCAGAAACGTATAGTGAGAGAACAGGAGAGTCTACTCTCTGTTGAGACTGTCTCGTCCAAACACATATTTTCACACGGGACTTTTCACTGTAGTTTATGTTCACATATTGGATACGTCTCCCATCTCAGCGACACAAGCAGCACTGGGCATATGTGTGTTTATTTGTTTCCCTAGTAGGGGTGCCTCATTTAAACGGATGTGTAGAGACATTAGTTGAGAAGACCTCCCTTTTTTTTCAGCAGAATAAATGCCTTTTTTATTTTCTTATTTAGCTGCATTATTGTACAGAAGTCGGTGTTGCAGCAACAGTAGTTGGCTGTGAACGTTACAAATAGGTCAGTGGAACTGACTGGAGCATGATGCTGGGAAGCTAACCCAAGTCCAGTCTGTTAGCTGCTCTGACCTCTATGCTCAGGTCCACTAAACACATTTTAACCAGACAGAGATCAAACCTCCACTTCTGCCGTCCACTGTGATTGACTCTTTGGCTGACTGTGGTCAGGTAAGAGGAACGCTCTGTGGTGTGCTTACATTTTGAAACGGAATATTACCAGGTGGCAGGCACACCGTCTCTGTCTGTGTATATTTCAGATGTTTTGAAATCAAGTATAATGAAGAAACATTAAACAACAGTTTTTCAGGTAAAAGGCAAGACTACTGTTGGCTGATACAGGGGGAAAAGTGTCTAGTGATTGAAGATAGCGAGGTAATAAACTGAATATTCAAGATTAACAAAAGGGTGTCCTAGTTACAGAAAACCAAACCGACACCCTTAACACTAGAAAGACCAAGGCAGTCATTTTGACTGTTTTTTGATTTTGCACTGTAATAACTTACTTAACTGCAGGACCATGACTTTTCCTAAATGTGTCTATATTTTATTCTAGCATTGTTATTATATCAAAAACACAAAACACAAAATAGTTTTGAGTATTTCTACCTTGAAAGTCCATAGCGGTCATATTATCTGCATGTATTACAGCCAGTGTATCATTTCAGTATTTACTACTTTTTCCCACTCTTGAAGGTAGAGGTGGTTGATATGGGAAAAATATCATATCATGATTTTTTTTGGCAAAATCACGATCACGATTTTATCACAATGTTTTTCATACTGTTTAGACAAATTTGTAAGTTGCTGACCAGTTCAACCAAACTTATCAATGTTTTTTAAATGCACAAAAACTGCGCAGACAAGTTTAATCTATTTGAAAAACATCTTTGTAGGAGGTCTGGAGGTCTCTCATCCAGAACATCTTTAGCAACAGAAATGTCTTTCCATCAATTTGATCAATATTTATGCACAATTTGAAGGTTTTCCTCACCACTTTGAAATTATGATTTAGTTATGTGTCCTCTTTTTATGTTCATCAGGAACATTTTTTTACGCAGTGATGCATTCATTTAAAAACATGTAGACTTCGAGTTCTTGTGTTTCTGTTCTATTTTAGCCCTGCAGAGTTTCTACAGCTGTAGCTTCATATACCTGCAGCCTTTGTTGTTTTTATGACATCACTGGACTAACTTTAGTTTGGTTTATATATAATCAAACATAATACAGAATGTGTTCATACTGACAGAAGAGTTTAATACATAGAGGGGGCGGGACATCGTTGATTGACAGACAGACAGTCACCATGGTTACTCACTCTCACCTGCCTGCTGCTTTGTAACATTGTTTAGCCTAAGCCCTATAAATTCAGTTATCACAACAGTTGAGCTTCAGGTGGAGAGGATGATAGTAACTTTTCAAAACTGAGAGAGAGCAAAAACACCGACAGCAACATTTTAAACACCAGGGTTATATCTCCACTGACTGTCTAAGCTCCACCCTGTCTGACTCTGAGTGTTAACGTCTCTCCGTGTCGCTATCTGAGATGTAGACTAATCTTAACTGTGCACACTATGCAGATAAATTGACTGTTGCTCACAGCGTGTCGGTTCGGAAAAATATCAGAACATTTGCATATAACCATATAACCGGGATGGAGTTGTTTTTGCAGACTTTACTTTTAAGTTTCGTTTTCACGGGGGGGGGGGGACGCGTCTGTGTCGGAGCATAAACTGCAGAATGAGAAAATAAACGCATAAGCCCGGTTCTACAATCTCTCTGCTTTGGCAGATCGTCAGCAAGTTAAAATCCTTCACGATCTAAGATCGTTATATCGCCCACCACTACTTGAAGGTGCGCATCGCTGTTGCCTATAGCAACTATTGTTTATAACGCTCGAGCCAAGGAGGAAAGAAAGCATACCCGCCTAAAACCATATAGAAAGAATAGGGGACATATATTTGAATTAATCGACATTGAAAAGGCTGACTAGAGTAAATTAGGATCTGATTTAGAACAGAATAGAACAAAATGTCAGGAAGGAGGAGGATTGCTGCCACAGAGGCTCCAGAGCCTTGATGAGGTAGAGTCTGATGGAGGCGCAGGTTCGGATACGGAAAGTGATGTCTCCTGGTCTCTCGAAACTTCATCTGACACTGGCTCTGAGATTGAACCTGAGAATGATACAGAGATCATTCCCATTCGCAAAAAACACTGACTGCTGTTCCCGTTGGTTGTCGATAAACTATTCAAATTCATTAGAATTTAATGTTTGTGTCCTGAAGTTTATTATACCTTTCACAACATTACAGATCCATTTATTCTTATATTTGATACTGATTATTGAAATGATATGCAAATAATTCGTAAACAGTCAAAATGACCGCTATGGCCTTTCTAGTAGTGATAGAATGCCGGCCGTTCTGGAAATCTGGAATATCAGGAGGTAATAAAAATGCCAAGGAATGTCCGAATGGTTCTTCTCTGTGATTGTGAATTGTTTGTTTCAGTGATTTTTAAATTTTCTATTTTCCCCCTCTCTGTCATGATGCTTTTTATGTTGTGTGAAGCACTTTGAATTGCATTGTTGTTGAAATGTGCTCTATAAATAAACTTGCCTTGCGCTCAACTTAAAAAAAATAATTTTAACGTCCAAATCCCATTCAACTAAAACATTTTGAGTTGAGCCCTATTTACTAGTAAACTCTCACAAAAACAGTGTGTGTCCATCTAAATTCAGAATGAGTTTTCAATTGAACTAGAAGTCAACAAATTAAAACTTGACAATATATTACATGAAACACTTTCAGTGTTTTGGAGAACATGTATGTGTCTGTACCTTGCAGTAGAGAAGTGATTCCATAAGAGTAAGGAAGCCAACGGATGCTTGCTTATGAATACCATGCAGTTCTATGAGAGAAGAGGAGAAGGAAAGAGCAAGACAATCAGAACTTGTGAATTTGTGAACAAAAAAGGCAAACTGGAATCATTTTAAGTTTTTGGTACATTGCTGTGGACTTTAAGAATGACTGCCCTCTGGTGGACACAAGTTAAGTCTGGGGCAACAAAACAAGAGTACAAGTAAGCTTGTTGTACAGTGTGTGCACAACTTGGGTGATATGAACATGGTGTTTGTGTGTGTGTCAGTAGCTTCTGAGAAGTCTTACTCATGCCAGAGCACTCTCTGTCTCCATCCCAGACATTAGAGACAGCATGGCCAGTCACAAGGAGGTTCACCAGGCTCTGGCTGAAGAAACAAAAATAGATAAGAAAAGACACATCAAAAGAAAACACAAGACATGTTGTACTTTAATCACACAAAGAGGGTCTTGTGTTGATTTACTGCCTTCTATGTGAGTCTAACTGATGAAGAATATTGATGAAAGGAGGTGTTTCGATACCTTCCATGGCCATGCACAGGGTCAATGAGTGGCTCCATCGTGTCCTGGATCTCGTTTCTTATATTTTCTATGCCCTGCAGACGGGACAAGGAGAGCCATTTTTTTTAATATATACTTTTTTTGCAATTAATGTAACACAAAAATAACTTAAAGTGATAAAACACAGTTATTAAAATACCATTGAACATAGGAAAAAAATGATTTTAGGGTCCGAGCTGTTTTTTTTTTAAGTCTTTACATTTTACTTTCTTTTAACAATTCCAGGAATAAGACAGTGAACAAATTATCAACCTCATCACTTCTAATCTGTACGTTATATTTCTGTCAATGGCCTCCTCTTCTTTACCTTGGTGAGGATGACAGAGTAGAGGAAAAGCAAGACTCCACAGCACCCTCTCCAGGTGTGGTAGAGAGACAGCACCTCCTCTCTGAGACCAGACACAGACACTACGGTCCGCTTACTGCAAAAAAGTGAAAAAAAAAAAGGTTGATTTGTGACACATTCATATGGCAGATTTTTTGGGTTTTAGGATCAATTATTAGACTGATTAATTACTCGTAATACCCATGTCAAATAATGATCAACACTATAAAGGGAAATATCTACTATCTTCATCAGAGGACAAATAAAAAATCTGGTCTATTAGGAGCCTAAACCCCTTCCTTATTCCAACTTGGAAGCTTGCTAGCAAAACTGTCAGTCCTAGTTAGCATTTACGTCTTCACTGAGAGTCCGCACTGCTTTTTTTTTGCTGACTACAGTCTCAGCTGCCGGTATGTTATGTAATGAGTTTTCAATATTCCTCTGGCATATGCAGAATTGCGTTCATTACCTCTGTGCATCTGTGACAGGCAGAAAGTATGTGTAGGAAATGTAGTGAGAGTTTTTTTTATTTTTTATTAGGCAATCAGTGAAAGAGCTGAGTCAGCATCTTGTGGAGAGAGTGATACAGCTAACTCAATGTGAGGGCCAATTCTTCCTGACTAGATGAATCAAATGAAGCCTCTCCTCTCAACTAATGCTATCTTCTGAGAAATATGCAGCTCTGTTTCAAAGCACATTGGCAATCGTAAAACAAAGATGATCCCTCCAGATTCCCAAACAAAATGCAATGTGAGAATATTAAGTGTCACTTACTGCAGAACACTGTGAAACTGCTCAAAGCCAAGGTCCTTAGCAGCCAAAGCAGCTAGGCAAAAAAAACCACAATCACATACTGCAGTGTTAGAGAATTATACATAAAGAATTCCACACTGTCATACATTAAATTAATACAAGTTGCTATTTGTGTTTTCAATGGAAAAGACAAGAGCTTTGTGATCAGGGTGGATTTATGTGTTTGTGCTACATTGATCTAAATGTGCATTTAACACTGGAATGTGAAAAGCATAGTACTCACTGGGCTGCTGCTGCTCCTGTGATGGCTGGCTGCTCTCTGGCATATCCTGTGTTTGCGACTGTGTCTGTGTGTTAGTTTGGGTGCTAGTATGTGGGCTCTGTCCCTTAGCCCAGGTCACAAGGCAGAACTCTGTGGTGGGGCTAGAGCAGGCAGACTCCAGGATTTCACTCAGTGTGGTACACAGTGCTGTTTTCTGCTCCTCTTCTAACAGAGAAAAAAAAAGCAATTAAAATGAATTTATGACTTTCAAAAACAAGAGTTTGGATGTTTTCTGTGGACGATTTACCTGACATCTGTCTCCAGTTGGGACTTTCTCTGTTGAAGAGAATGTTCTTTAGGAAGAAAGCCTGCAAAGAGACACAACCTCAGTCATCAGATGCATAATAAAATAGTTTTTAGAACAATATTCTACATTCCGTATTGTTTTGAATAGGTCCACCCCCAAAAAACTCTGAGACTTACATTTTTATTCATTGTTTGAATATATTATCAACACATTTTTGGGGTTTTAAATTCAGTATTACCAATGATCACAATAAACTTCTTCTAGTCTTCTAGACTTTAATGCACATTCTAAGTCAGTCTGCCAGGAGTAAAAGCTTACTGTAAAATTACTTTTTATTTTGGAAGGGATATACACTTATAGAGTCTAATATCGACAACTATATTGTCCCATTGTCTGTCCACCAATCCACTATCCATTACACTTATCTCATTTGGGGTCCAGTGGGGCTGTAGCTCTCATTGGGGCGAGAGGCTGGGTATTGTCCGATTGTTCACAACTAAATTATGCTCAGTGCTAATGGAATATATGGTGGACTTGTAGACTTGAAGTACAAGGAATTTTACTAAACCATACCTGGACAGGTGCAATGACAGCACAAGGCCCTCCTTCAAACTGCTCCAGTGCTGTGTGCTCATTCTCACTAAAAACAAATCCTATGACAAAGACAAAACCTGAAGTCAACGGAGCAATTGTGACATTTTTCACAGCTGTAACAAATACAAGCTTTTTGGGATACTTTCATCATGCACATAATAAGAAAATCATGGTGATATGACCACTGAGCAAATGCAGGTCATCTCTAGAGCAGCAGATTCTTATCTGGTACTCAGAGAGAACGACCAAACAAAGTAAAATAAACATGCAACACCAAAAGCCACAGACACAAGCACACCTTTTCATTTATACTATAACCACACCTTGTGTCCATCTACGGAAGATGGAGGCAGACACTCCTCCACTGGAAGGTCTCCCCCAAACCAAATCCACCACCTCTTTATTCAACTCCGCCATGACAACTTTCACTGACGGTGAATCCACGAGCTCCCACCCTGCAGTCCAACAACCCCGGCCGGACTAGAGAGTTCTGTTAAAGCTAACTCTTTCCGGTGTTGATGGTCCACGTCTCTCGGCAGGTCGAGCCTGTGGCATTGGCCACAAGCTACCTGTGTGACACGACACAGTCTGACTCTCGTGGCTGGCAGCAAACTGGCGGGTAGGAATGACATCAACGTAGCCACAACAGCCTGCAAAAACAGTGTGGCAGAAACACGAGCTACCTTACTGCACATTACGGGGCATTGCAGTGGAACAAATACATCAATAAAATACAATATAATATAATATATAGCTAATTTATAGATCAGTGAAAGGCTTTTATCTCGACCGCTTGTCAAGAGACGAGAAAGCTAACAGCTACGTTAACCCCACATAGGATGGTTTACAATAAAGTATTGACAGGAGATTAGTCATTTAAATGGCAAATACGCGTATTGAATCCGCGAAAAAGGTGCCAACGCTTTAAATAAAGAGCTGAGTTAGCTTGGTAAATGTTTATATCAGCAGTTAGCATTAGCCTCAGCACTAGCAGCTAATCTTTCACTGCTTTGTCATTCAATTGATTCTCAGGCTACAAGCGTTGACACTCGTTGTTGGACGTATTCGTGCTGAATGACATTACTGAGGTAACAATAAAAGCTTAAATACCTCAATAGAAAGTGGAGTAATGGGTGCCTGTGTTCATTAGATTTCTTCGCAGCAATTTCACTATCATGAACGTCTCTACCACTCGTTTATTTACAACGGAATTGTTAAAAAAAAAAGAAAAAAAGAAAAAAAAAAATAGGCGTCATTGTGCGTGACTGCCGATTGGTTGAAATCCAGAAAGTTCCAGCCGCGTCAAGGGGTACAGCTTCAACGCTTCACCTCAGTGGTCTTGAGGCCTGTCAATCATTTTGAGCCACCGCCCACAAAGACATTCGTTTATTGATTTAAAGCCCGCCTTAGAGCATCTGCACCCTGCCTGACATTATTTTAAAAAAGTGGATATTTAAGATGCTCTTCACTGTAGAAATATGCGCCAAAAACGCATTTGCTAACTATTTTGGGACGTAATTGTGTTTTATTTTATACTTAAATGAAAATACGTTGTTTAAAAATTGTTAAGATTATGTCCACTACCTCTTTCCGTAGCAGTCACTGCTTAGAGCATGCGCAGTGCATACTTAGATCATCGGCACTTTCCACGCGTGTAAGCTTTACACTTTGCCTGAAGTCTAGTTTGAAGACAGAAATTGTGGCATTAGAGAGGATTTTTCTTCACCATGGGAGGACAGGCAAAGGGCAAAAAGAAAAACAAGCCGAAAAGGAAAGAGAACCGCTCAAACAAGGGTAATTAGATTCACTGTTTCAACCTTTCCGAGTTGTTTACACTTTGTTATAACGCCAAGTCAACCCACCAGACAGCAGTTACTAACATGTTATGCTTTAATTTAACACTTGCCTTAGGAACACCAAATAAGACAACAAAAAAACTAACCATTTCTTTACATTAAACCAATTACGACAGATGCAGGAATTGTTGGATTGACTCCCCAGGAAAGGATGAAAGTGAGGATGCATGAAAAAGCCAAGAAGAAAACAGCTGAGAGATACTCTGTCCAACATCTACTAGAAAAGGTAACACAAGATACTCACAACAAATACCACTTATATCTGATCGTGCCTTTGAAATGTTAATTTGTATTATATAATGTGACCATTTGTTGCACAGACAGAGGAATGCATGGATAGTTTTGACTTTGAGACTGCTGGTCTTTTCTGTCAACGAGCCCTTGATGTAGAATCCAACAACCTGCAAGCTCTCGACATGCTGGGAAACATCCACTCTGAACTGGGAGACACACAGAAAGCTAAGGAAATATCCTTCATCTGGGTTGTTATGTATTTCAGTCCTATATGTCTATGCTGTTTCTGTTTCAGCAATGCTTGTAGCCTCCTTGACCAATTCTTTCCAAGTGTTTCTGCAAGCAGTGCAACTTAGCCCAGACGTAGGCCACAGTAAGTACATGTACCTGGGACAAATCAACTCCGGCCAGGAGGCGGTGAACTACTACACTAGAGGAATACAAGTCATGCTGTCTGCATTGGAAAAAGAAGAGCAAACCAAAGTAAGTACACCCGCAAAATAACCTAAAGCAAACTAAACTACATAAACTAACTTAGTAGTTACATACAGTACAGTATACAGATCATCTAGCAGAAAATGCCAAAGCTTTTCATGATCACAGCATCCAAGGTTTGATGCAAGTGTCATGTTGTTTTCCACAAGAGGGTGCTGTTGGACAATTTATCTCTCTGTCTGTCTGTCTGTCTGTCTGTCTGTCTGTCTGTCTGTCTGTCTGTCTGTCTGTCTGTCTGTCTGTCTGTCTGTCTGGTGGTCTGTCTGTCTGCACACTATTGTAATGCTACTTTCACTCTTGACTGCATATCTTGTTTCTCTCAAATGTTATATATTGTATTTAAATTGCATAGTGACAAAAAGATCCAAAAGTTGCCTAACATTAACAGACCAATTAATAATATTATTGTATAATTATTTTGAAGCTCAATCAAGAACATTAAGCAATGTTGTGCCAAAAAAACAAAAAGACAACATTTACACAATACCTAGATCTGCTACTCAAAATGCACCTTGGAATAAATGTAGCTTTATGTAAGCGAAAGTCTTACCTTCACTTTTTTTTACGAGAGCTCTTCATGTTGTGTTTGCACAACTTGACTCCGTCTCCATCCTTACCACTTTAAAGTGTTGTGATTGCCAGATTTTATTCAAGTTAATCTTGTCCTTGGTCCTCTCCAAAGTATTGATCAATGCTGCCAGCCAGCATTTGAGTGACGGTCTTTATCCTGAACATACGTATGACTCAACGCTGTGCCTTGAGTATGCTTCACTGTATTCACAGCAGATGTTTGGTAGTCTGGAGTTCACAAGAGTTTTCATAATAGAGCCTTTGTTTTTATTTGAATAATTTTGAGTCGCTTTTTAAGCAGACCAAGTATTTCTTTCCATGGCTCCTATATTGGTATTCCCATAGCTCCTACATTTGTGGAGGTAAATAATACATAACTACTGTGTATGAAGACATCCATCGCTCTCACACACTGACGACTCAGATTCTCTGATTTCCTCGTCTGGGCCATATACAAGTCTCGACATATGATATATCCATGTCAGTGCCATCCCTTTTGATTTGATCACTTCTTCATATTCCCTGTTCAATAGTGGAACACAGGTTTTTCCAATTCCGTAGACTTTTATTGAAGTTAACAGTCAGTGAATATATAGAAAATCAGAGCATATCATAATTTTTCAACTTATAACAAAATCATACAGTAAAAGAATGAAGTATGTAATAGCATGCAGTGTTTCCCCTACCATTATATTATATATTTTTTAAAGATTTATTTTTGGGCTGTTTGTGCCTTTATTGTAGGGATAAGATCGTGGATAGAGTCGGAAATCAAGGAAAGAAGTCATTTAAGGATACTTTTCCGATAGAAAAGGACAGCTGTCATTAAAAGTAACGCATGAACACCAAGGTTCCTTCAAGTGTTTGTGTCGTCATGTGTCCCCCCCCAACGCTGTAAACCTAGGGGAAACACTGAGCATGTATTGTTAGAATGGCTCATGTGTTTAACATTGTTTGTTCCACTGAATTCTAAACTCATCTAACCTACATCATGGGATTTTAAAAATTGATTAATTTACATAACAGTTCTTACAGTATTCATAAGAAGCAGGATACATTTGTTGACTTGAAAGCTTCTTTTTTTATGGCTTCTCCTACTGTAACATGTCAAAATGTGCCCCATGAAAATAAATCTATTCGATAGTTTTTTGTTTGTAAAATATGGAAGGCCTGTAGTTTTATCCAACCTTTACATCCATGGTTAAGATATTTATATTAGATTAAAATATGAAGTACAATCTGCATGCAATCCTACCTCTCTTTTGGTTTATAGTTGAAGTGACTTCTTTAAGACATGTGCCCTCTGCTTTTTAAGCAGCCCCAGGCCGCAGCTGCTGCCCCCCCAGAGGAGGACCCTGAGCGTCCCACAGCCAAGGACATTAGTGTAGCCTACTGCTCCATCGCTGAGATTTACCTGGCAGACCTCTGGTACTGGAGCACACTGAGTTACACTGTTAACGGTCTTAACCCCATTTCACAATGCTGCCTTGGTAATGAGTTGAGATTTGTCCGTGTGTGTGCATGTAGCATGGAAGAGGGAGCTGCAGACAAGTGCAGAGAGTCCATTGAGAGAGCATTACAGTATCACTATGACAACCCCGAGGCTCTACAGCTCATGGCCAGTTACCTGTTCAGTACAGAGAGAAACCAGGTCAGTACACACACACACACACACACACACACACACACACACACACACACACACAGTAAGGATGAATTATCACCACATTAAAGCGGGAATCTGCTGAGTTAATTATTCTGAGCAAATTGAATTGTATGCCATTAATCAGCAGACGGACACGTACATTAATACACATGCACACGTACGGGTCATACTGATAGGAATGTTAATTACTCAGCAGATCACTCTGGGTCGTATAGTCATCTGATAAAGAGTGCTGGTACAGCAGCTCATTCTGCTCAATTTGGAAAAGACACCCAAAAAACTTTGCTGCAGAAAGTGTCTGACCAATTTAAAAACGTCATTTTTTTTGTATCTAAAAGTGTTGCATATTTCCGAGATATTTTCAGTATTGCCACTTCACCAACTGTAATCAAATGTGAAAGACGTTCAAGTGAAAAGTTGTTTGAGAGAAGCTTATGCGGTGCATGCTAGAGAATGCTTAATAGAGTTGTTTTTCAAAGCAATTTAAAAGTTTTAAAATGTACCTCCATGAGTCATCCACATCTTTAAGTTGAATATATGACATCATTTTTTTTCTATTTCAAGTTTTCTAATGTTGGATGAAAAGTGCATCAGAGGTATTCATTTCCTTTCCTTAAATTTGATGTTAAACACCTTTAATAATCCTCTTCCTGTGTTTTCTGTGGATGATTTTACACAGAAGCTAAAAGTCAGTAAAACTCCTGATAACTCTGTGAAGTATCCCGAGTTCAAAGTGCATTGTTGGTGGAAAAGAAACTCTTGTTTATTGAGGTTTGGATTTCATCCTTCTATTTTCTACATTTCTAAAGGCCGACCTACCGGTAATTGAATTGGCAGCTGTGGATATCTTAATTACCTGACAAATGAACAAAGAGACAGTTTAAAAACAGGATTCTTCAAACTCTGACATCAACACATTTGGAACAAAAGAGATTGTGTTGAGCTAAAATGTGGATCTGTATTACCGGCTTTAAGCTCCAGGGGTCAGGCTGGCTGCAGTCAGCCTTGGTAGCGCCCCTACATGAGACAATCTGGTTTTAAACGATCTGCTAAAGATTTTAAAGGGAAGAAAATCATAAAACTGACCCTAGTTTCATTCAAAAGTCACAGATTTTTGTTTAAAGGGGTTTCAGGGTGTAGTTTAATCAAACTCCTGATCAGATCAGATTTGTGTGCTTTTATCCAATTTGATATTTTCTAGATTTTTCTTAAGTAAATGGATTCACTTGTAAAAAAAAAAAACTGTGTTGTCTGCAGGAAGGCAAAGAGTACCTGTTGAAGAGTGTTGGATTGTGGCTACCTGCGCAGAGTGCAGCTTCTTCCAGCACGGAGGAAGAATTGCAGGTGAGTTGGAGCCGTAGTTAGATTTTTCTCTGACAGCTACCAGCCTTAAGATCCTGGTTTATTTATAAAGCACTTTCATCTAAACCGATTGTCACGCTGTGCTTTGCTGTGAGCACAAACATAAGGACACCAGTGGGGATAAAAAAAAAAGAAAAAAAAAAAAGTTGCAGGTAATGAAACGAAGGATGATAAAATAAATAAAAGATGGAACAAATTCTTCACAAACCTGAGTCGTTTGTGTAAATAAAGAGCAGATATGAAAGCACAAGGCAAACACTGGGAGAGTGTATCAAGGATACATGAGAAAATGACTTCAGGGGGTTTGAAAAAGAGACTAGGAATGGCGGTAATGTCAAAGTTAGGCTGGGTTCTAAACTGCAGCAGAAATGTTGGCTGAGTTTACACTAAAATATGGAGGAAATGTGATGAAAGAGGGGTGAGGGGATGGTTTGAGACTGAAATGCCCGTGGGCTGCCGTTATGACTCTTATCTTGTGGAGCAGGTTGATCTGAAGTCAGCCTGCTGACACTTCCGCTGTGATTAACAGCCACACAGCCTCAGAATGTTTTGTAGCTGGAAATTGGATCGTGTTATTATCACACAAAAGAAGAACTATGTTTGTAGGCTTCTTGCATTAACACTCATTTATAACTCTTTTTTTTTTTTAAATCTTTTTTTCTTCCAGAATTTGATCCCCCCGTATGAGTCTCGCATCACCACAGCCAAACTGCTTATGGAATCTGAGGAATATGAGGTAAAATCTGTTGTGTTGTGGTCATGTCCACTCATCCCATGGTGTTCATCTGTGTGTGTTTGATAGTGGGAGGGTAGTCTGGCATTTGTGTATGTGTGTGTGAATGCTTTGTATACTCTTCTTTCTAGGGAATAGCATTGAAGGTGAGAAGGCCATGCCTGGTCTTTATCCCCTCCAGAGTTCAGTGTCAATAATTGAAGAGTGATATTTACAGAGCGGGACAGGGGTAAGGGCGTGCACAGAGGAGGAGGAGATTTGAAGAAGGAATAAAAAAAGAAAATGAAGGATGCTCCAGTGTGATGAATTGCTGCCGTATCTGTGATACAGCACACTTCTAAATCACTCATCAATTCCCAGTCTTAATGGCATTGATATTAGTGGCTCACCGCCTTCAGTTCTGCGCTAAAACTCCTAACAGTCATGAACGCTAAGAGTTGTTTTCTTAGAAGACTGCCACACCAAGCGCACTTGTGCAATCTTCTGTTGTGATCCAGTGATTAATTTTAGTCACTCTTGTTGAGTGGTTTATGGTTATCACTGACAGGAAATACGAGCTGTGTCCTTTTTTTCCCCCTCTCACTCCCAAACTGCTCGGCTGCAGTGAAATTTGTATGTGTGTGTGTGTGTGTGTTTTGAGGAGGATACGGGCTGTCAGGTGTATCAGTAAAATGACAACGTCTCGGTCCATAGTCTCTGGCATGTCGTTTGTCTTCATCCTCCTGTTGGTGTCATCAGCCTGAAACAGAAACCGCAAACACTCAGACTCCTTCATATGATGAATATTGTGCTGTGTGTGCACATATGCATGAACACATCCATGCACAAGTTTTCTGATTTAGCTTTTAGCCATCAGCTATGTGAAACTTTCTGTTGGAAATTGAACTTCAGGGGAGGGGGGGGGGAGAGGGGGAAACAAGCTGTTTTGTGTCCGTCTCTCCCAGACTGGGACTTAGCCGGATTTGATAGTAACATCCTCTCTTTGCTCTCTCCTTCCTCTACTCCTCTGTCACGCTCACACACACAAACACACAAACACACAAACAGGCACAAACCCTCTTTTTTTTTTTGCAGGCTCTCTCTCTCTCTCTCTCTCTCTCTCTCTCTCTCTCTCTCTCTCTCTCTCTCTCTCTCTCTCTCTCTCTCTCTATGAACAACTCTAAACTCTGTGTAAAGTTGTGTGCTTCCAGTCTGAAGAGTTACCAGTTTGAAGGCTACCTTCGTAGCAGGGTGCCAGACTTTGACGATTTGTCTTTATTTATTTTTTCCCCCATTGAATCTTTTGTTTGGTCCAAACTGAGCCAAGACTTTGAAAATCTGATTAATATATTTGCCAAAGAAACACAAAGCAGTTTTTTGTGTTTGTGTTTTCTTCTATTGCATAGAGCATACAACTATTTCTGGTTTATAAATAATAACAGTAGCAGAAGAACGGGGACGGTCTTTGCCAGGACGCTCTTGTTTGTCGCTGCAGGAGGTTTAGCTCTTTGGCTGATGGATGCAGTTTGGCATTGGCCATTAAAATCAGTCCGCGTTTTAAGCTCGAATTGAAGTGAACCAGGCTTATGCCAAAATGAAAATATCCTACTGTGATTACATTGGCAAAATTATCTGGGTGTATGATATTATCTCATTAATTATTGGGGGGAAAAAACACTGTAGTGCATTGGGATGACAAATTGAATTAGAAAAAATGGCATTTTGGTTCCCTAAAGGCTGTCAGCGGAAGAGGGGAGGAAGTATCCTATCGTTTGTCTCGTCGCTTCACGAGGTGCCAGTCGAAACCAAAAATCTTCACACATTGAACATTTGACCTTTACTGTCTCACCTCTGCGCTTTTTTTCTTCAAGGTTTGTCTTCATGTCATCAAAGTGAATAAAGTCCCCATGACATTAATAGAGGTGGTCACTTATGAAGCCTTTGCATTAGTTCTAGTGGGAAAAAATGCCTTAACTTTTCCAAAAAGTTTTTAAGAGTATGTACTTTTAAAAAAAACACAATTTCTTTTAAAACATTTTTAAAGGTGGGTATTTTAATATAGACGAGATATTAGGGTCAGTAGAATGTAAGCCATGACATCATTGATCCTAAATGAGTTGTAACATCTAATTGTTGTGACTTCTTATTTGATTAATTGGCATTGAAAGAGAACTGTGGTTACATTTATTAAACAATATAAATAGATCAAATTGAAATGATTTATTGTTGCATATTGAAACCATCAGTTTCCTGGTGCTTGCTCTTTCATTCATTCTTAATTTCAGCACGACTGTAACCTCCTGATTAGAAAAAAAAAAAGCACCCAAAATAGCTTTTCAAGGATTAAACAAAAACAAACTTTAAATACATTGAGTAGTTTGAGTAGTTGATTTTTCTTTGCTGTTTATGAAAGTGAGTGAAAGAGTGGCAGAGATGTAGAAGTTACTGTCCCATTAGTTTGATGTTGTCTGAACAATTTTCTGTAGTAAAACAAATATTTATTGATGGATAAGTTGATGTTAAGCAGACAAATTAAAAACAGTTTCTTGGTGAATAGTTTTTAGTCTGTTATCAACCCAAACATGCTGATCATTTGCTAGTTCCAGTTAGAAACACTTAGTGCCTTGCTTCTTTTTCTTTGTTTTAAATCCTTCAGTATAGTTCGGTGTTGAAGACTTGGTTGGAATAAATGAGCAATTTACTTGTATTACTTTATTTTGGCCTGATTGCGATACACATTTTTCTTTTGATATTCTATAGAACAAACCATTTTTTTGTTTACTGGTTGCCAGAAGAAGATGCTGTGTAATTATTTTTTAATCATTTATCATGAAAAACAAACGTCTGCGCTCTTGTTTCATCCTCTCTAATATGAGCATCTTCTGCTTTTTTTTGCTTAACTCATTGTAGAATTTAAATATCTTTTCATGAACTGTTGGTTTGATTCATTTCATTTAAGGATCATGTGATTAGTGAAACAATGCGGCCTTCAGAGAACACATTTTGTTTTGCTCAGGCTCAAACAGAGATGTGGATATCACCATCAACACCACCTATCACCAGCGCTAATTCACTTGTCACATAGCAGACACGTAGACAGACAGACCCCCTCCCCTGACAGCCATTAAGGTGTCTGTTTGTCACAGCAGCTGATGGTTACTTACTTGTCGTTGTCACTCTTGTTTGCTTTCATGTTATTTACAAAACATTCCTGCTCATATATTTAGCTCCTCGTGGAACGCAGCTAGTACTTTCCAATGATGTGTGCAGCTACAGTTAACACTGACGTCCCCAGGATTCATTCACTTAAGCAAACGTGTCCCTGTAGTGTGTGTGTGACTTTGTATGGGTTTCTGTGTGTTAGAGATACGGCTTGCCCTCGCTTGTAAAGTGATTTGTCTTTCTCATGTCTCTGCTGTGCGCTCCGGTAAAATTATTCTGTTAAACAAAATTGCCTAAAGATTACACACATGTGTACACACACACACACACACACACACACACGCGCACACACACGCACACACACACATTGACCATTATAAATGAGTTCCTCCAAGAGTTGTAGTTTTTCTTCTTAGCAGGTCTCGAAATAAAGAGGACAGCATCTACATGGTGTCTTTTGTGTTTGTGTGTTTGTGTGTTTGTGTGTGTGTGTGTGTGTGTGTGTGTGTGTGTGTGTGTGTGTGTGTGTGTGTGTGTGTGTGTGTGTGTGTGTGTGTGTGTGTGTGTGTGTGTGTGTGTGTGTGTGTGTGTGTGTGTGTGTGTGTGTGTGTGTGTGTGTGTGTGTGTGTGTGTGTGTGTGTGTGTGGCCGGCCACGTTGCTCCAAGACCAGTTTTTGCTTTTTTTTTTTTATTGGGATAATTTTCTTCATACCCCTCTTTCCAATTTTCCCACTGTTTCTTTCCAAGTACCCCCTCTCTCCCCCTTATCTTCATGGGAATATTAATCGTGTTGTTGTTTGGAGCATGAAGCGGCTTTAAAAATCTCTGAATCTTTAATCAGTTGCCCCCGGGTTGACCAGTGTAGTTAGGAAGGAGTACAGTTGGAGACGAGATAATGCTTCATTGCGCACTTATCCTGGCTCCCAGATATATCTTGTTCTATTTTTGTTGCTCCAAAACTGCCTGTTCTATCAGTTGTTTAATACCCAGACAGATCGTCTCTGCTATCTCTTATATCTAGTGCTGCTTGGCTCGATTGCTTTGTGTGTGTGTGTGTGTGTGTGTGTGTGTATGTGTGTGTCTGTCACATTGTGATTCAATGAAAGTCAAGTAGATAAATCTGATGCTGGGCATTAATCCATTCATCATCAACTGGGATTAGGTGTTATTGTTTGTGTATTTTTAATCAGTCATTAATTAATTAAGGACAATGGGTTTTCAGATGATAATTGGTCCAGCAATCAATCAAGCGACTCTCTCTCTGGCATGCACATCTGCACGCTCTCCTAACGAGAAACTCTCAATTAACCCGACGTTCCCTCAATCTACCCGGCAACTGACCTCTTTATCTCCTCCGGAAGCACGTCGGCTTAATGAAAAGAGAACTCCGACGAGCGGGAGGGAAGAAAAAATTGGAATGTCTGCTAATAAGACCGCCTTAACAAGAAACAAGTGCTGCTTGTTGTGCTCACTGTTGTGTGTAGCTTTGTTGTTAGTGTGCGACTTTGCAGCAGTGTGTGCGCCCGTGCACATGAATGCACCTCTTTTTTTTTTTCCCTTGCCCTTCACCACGGGTGATTGGCTAACAGTCGCCTCCAACCTGAAGTTGACAAAAATCAATACATCATCACCTAGGGGTTCACACAAACACAGACAAAGACACACACACACACACACCACAACCAAGGGTCTGTAAGGAGAGAAGGGGAGCAAAACAAACACACAGCCCACTTTAGTCAAGGTCTGTTTTCTGTAATAGAAACTTCCCACAGAAAGTGACCCGGAGTGAGACACACTGGGACAAAGGTCAGCTTACATTTAGCTCCTTTGAGCCCTTAAAGGAGAAGCGACTTCAGGGTTATCATGCTGGGGAGGGAGTGTCATGGCTTTTTGTGTGTTTGTTTTACGAATCCCTTTAGGCAATATTATTTCCAGCAGTGTACATGCATCATTAAAGTAGTGTCAAGGATACTACTAGAAATTCACAAGACCTTTTCTATTTGTTGTCTGTGTTGGAGTAAAATGTTATGTAGGAGTAGTCGTGGTGTACTGCAGTGAAAACATAAAAAGTAAAACTGTGCCGGTATCAAGATTATATTTGTCGGTGAATAGATTAAAGGGCTACTGAACAGAGACGCTAAAGTGACTATTGACTGTGCGATAAGCACTGGTGAGTGTGTCTATCGACGGCCATGTCTGTTGTCTTGTTGGTATCGACGGTGTTTTATACGGGATCCTGGCCTCATAGACGCTTATCAGACCCTCTGATCACTCTGATTGATCGCGCTGCCTGGGAGAAGCACAACACTGCACAGCAACAAAGTGTTTGTCATCATGTGTGCGGTTGTCTATGGATTGAGGCAGCATGGAAGAATAGATCATTATAAGTATGGTCTGATTCATTATTTGTTTTTTATCATTTGAATGTGAAGATTTCTTTTTGTTTTTTTCGATAGTTTAAAGAGGACATATTATACCCCTTTTCTACCTTTTTTTAAAACAGTCTCCTGTGGTCTAAATGAAACATTTGTGCTGTGGTCAAATTATAACATGAATCAAGTACCAGAGGAGGTTTGTGACCCTGTATAAACTCAGCTCTCAGACACTCACGTCACCTAAATGATATGTTCAAAAACACAGTAAAAGGGGATTTTTCCATAATATGTCCCCTTTCAAATCTTGATTCAATCACTCAACCTCCTCTCCCTCTCTCTCTTTCTGCATTAGATGGCGGTGGACGTGTTGGAGGGTCTTCTAGAGGAGGATGACGAGGTCGTCCAGGTAAGCAATTAAGTGGTGGCATTACTGTTTATTGTCTTATGAAGATGTTTTTTTTTTTTATCTTATTCTTTTATTTCAAGGTGGAAACATGCTCAGAATTTTTTTTTTTTGTGGGACAAAATATGGATATGTAGATAAACATCGTCCTGACTCGTTTGACACATTTATCAAATCGCTGATGCCAAATATCCACATAAATTTAAAAAAAAAAAACTACTCTGCCAAAGATTTTGCTGCAGCAGCAGCGAGAGAAACCTCAAGTAAAGTGTCTTGTCCAAGGACTCATTGGACAAGTGGCTCCAGGAGCTGGGGCTCGAACCCCAAACCTTCCGTTTTAGTGACAACCAACTCTACCAACTGAGCCACAGCCGCCCCTCATCATGGGTCGTATATTGCATTTCGTGTCACATAGTGAGTTACCCTGCTATTCTTCTCCCTGCTCAGTAGTTCATGTACTTTTCTTTTGGTTGTTGGTGTTTTACACTTTAGCTTTAGCATATTTGTTTCACTCCATGTACCAGACACCTGAATCATCTACATCCACATCTCTACATTGTCTTTGATTTGTGTGAGCACATATGAACACAATGCTCCAGCAACACTTGATAGTATGAAGATTCAATTCAATTCAAACAACTTTATTAATCCCTCTTGGAGCAATTAGTGTGGAGCAGCCCGTACACATGACAAAAAAACCACAAACAACAGATTACACAAGGAGTTAAAACATGGATAAGACCTAAAGGAGACACTAATATTAGACAGACCTATTAGAGGTCAGCCAGACTGAATAAGAAATAAAAACACTAGAATGATAAGTCATAGTATGAAGATCAACTTTATTAACAAATTAAACTGAGGCGTTTCGGCTTGTGGCCTTCATCAGGTTCATCCAAGCCCTTCACTCTTCATGCACCTTGCTAGTTGGTGAAGTTGTGCCAGAAAATCCCGCTTAGCTCATACGAACAATCAAGATATCCAATTGGAAACTCTTCACTCTCAGCAAGCTCTGTTGTCTGAGCAATGTGTGTGTGTGTGCTTGTTTTACTTATCATTGTAGAGGATTAAATGATTAAGAGCTTTATTTCTGTGTCCCCTTGCAGACAGTCCTGTTATAGTGATACAGTAGCCACGGCTGCATCCGACCAACGTGTAGGCAAATCTTTCATCACTCCGGTGGGAAGCAGAAAGCGTCTTCCACTGAGCCACTGTTTACATGTGTGCACAATAAAGTGTCTGCACGCCTAGACTTTTGCATTACTTTCTGTCACCGCTTGCATTGCTCCACTTGCAGGGTATGACTGAGAGCTTAAATGCCTATTAGAGAGAGGTATGAATGGCAGTATTTAGCAGGAACTATGTGCTGTCACTCTTCTCCAAATCCCCCGTGTCAGTGGCAGAGAGGAAGTGAAGGTGTGCCACTGAATGTCAGAGAGAAAAAGCACAGCAGCTTCTCTCTCACCCTCTCCCCCCTCAGGCCCAGCCTCCCACACACCCCCTTCAGCTGACAGATTGAGAGCAGTCATCGGGGGTCTGAACTTTAAAACTCACTCTGGAGACACACAGCTGTGACTCTTGATTTGAGCAGGCCTACAGCCAATCGCACACGCAATTCACTCACAAGTAGTAGTGGTCCAAAAGTTTTGTTTTTTTGTTTTTTTGTTTTTTTTTGCAGGATTATTCATATCACAGTAAAAATTGCTCGAGTCATAAAGTGTTTGACTGACACTTTGAACAACATAAGGCTCTGTCCCTTTCTCCTCATTTCCCCTCTTTGTCTTATTTCCTCTCTTAAGTGCGGTTCATAAAGTTGTTCGCTCTCTCCTCCGTCTCCTCGCTCTGGCGTATCTCAAAGTTGGAGCCTTACTCACAAAATGTTAAGTCTGCACAAACAACTCAGCCAGTTCCTTGCAAATCTTGTTTCAAAGGTACTCCGCTCATTCATGGTGCGTTTGTTCTTCCTTCAGCAGCACCATATGGGAACTAAGATGTGCCGTCACTTTGAAATAACAATAGTCCCAGTGATTTGATTGACAGACGCGGCATTTATTTTATTATTTGCGCCTCTGTCTGGGGTTGTGGTCGGATAGAGCGGATTCTCTGAAGTTGTTAATTAGCGAACTTCCTTATATTTTACTTTGGAGTACAGATGCAAAGCCATTTTTTATCGCGCACAAAAATATTTCACATCGGACCTTCTGTTGAGAATATTCTCGCCTTGTTCTTGTTTTTTTATTTGAAGGCATGCAGTGGTACTCATTTGTGGAGAAGTTCACATTTTTGAATTTGAGTGACCCAATTTCACTCTTTCTCTCTTTGACTATATAAATATCTATACACTAAACACACTTATTTTTTCTGGGCCTTACATTCACAGAAAATGTTTCAGTGATGAAAATGTCACACTGCTGGTTCTGCAACCTTACTTCATTTATCCAGTACTGCTGTTGTTCTGATAAGTATGGCTGCAGGGGGCAGCCTCCCACTCAGCATGCTGAGCGGCATTTCTGAATTCCTTGGCATGCCTTGATGTGTTTGTTAGCTAAATGGTTGATTTGGCAGAGGTGTGCGTCCCTACTGCCTCTGCCCTCCATGAATAATAAATAAAGCTAATATTTGTTTCTCAGTGCTTGAAAGAACAGTGGGTGGGTGAACTTTGGCCTTAGATGAGAGGCGCGCACACACCTCCAAGTTCCCTGAGAGTTGAACGTGATTGTTTCGAGAGGTGGAAGAGCGAGCACTGAGCAGTGTTATGATTACGTAGGAGAAAAAAAAATAGTGTGATTATGGAGGAGAAGGAAAACGAGCTGATTTGAGTGTGTTTCAGAATACTAATGCACAGTTGAATGCACTGTTTAAAGTAAGTGAATCATTTAGAAAATAATGTCCTCACTTTTTCATCAGTTGCAAAGTGGTGGCCAGTAAGCTAGCTAACAGCCCCTCAACACCTGAGTCTGTGCCGTGTTTTCTTCAACTGACTGATCCCCCACACAGCTGAAGTCAGAATCTTTACACCTTGCTGAAGGGTTTGTAGGTTTGCAATAGAATAAATTGAATTATTACCCATTATCTGCGAAAGCATTGAGCTAGTTGTTGTTTTTTTAACTACATCCTTATGATGACAGACCGGTAACGCATTGTAGCAACACAACTTTAGGTTAAGAAATGAACCCCAGTTCTCTGAAACATGAGTGAGGTATCTCACTATGGGACACGCCCCCGCGCTCTGTCCCCCAGAAGCAATATTACATCACTCCAGTCTTGATTGATCTGCTCTCAAGAGGAGCGACTTCCTCCTGCTTTATAAAGCCTGACGTTTAATTTTGAAATGATGATCTGGTGATGAACTTTTCTCTGTTAGAATCATCTAGTTGAGCTGCTGGCCAGTTGCATACATGATGCAGGATTTCAAGAAAAAACTGGTCTTTGCTACATCTAAAGCTTTGTATACAAAATTAGATTTTACTGTGGTAACTGAACTTGCTTATTGCAAAAAAGACCATAAAACATGACCAGTGACTTGATGTTGTGCTGTGATGATTCAGTGTTCCTTTCATTTATTTTTGACCACTGTAAGTGCAGTGTAATGGATAAATCACACATATCATTTAGCATGCAACAGTATATTTATCTTTAACGACTAATCATCTCAAGAACCTTTAATTCATACATTAAGCCATTATAAACCTGGAACAAAAATACACATCTCATCTCTTACTAGCCGTTGTTTTAGTAGTTCACATCTTTTATCTTTACTTGTCCTTCACATTTGAATAATTTCTTTAAAAGTATTCAAAATGTAAACAGATCTGTTGTATAACGAAGAGAAGGGCCAAAAGAATAGTGACTTATTCTTTTTTTTTTTTTTTAAAAGCTGATTCCTGAGGAGGAAACTGTTTAACATTCTTGCATACGTTGCCCTGAACATAACCTTCCCTGGAGCAGGTATGATGAGGTGGCGCTGGAGTTAGCATCATGATGCTGATGTTACACGTCTGAAAGATGAGCCACCACCACCAGTGTGGAGGAAGAAAACCAGAGTGGAGGCCGAGTAAGCGTGTTAGCCCACTTAATCCTGCTTTCTGAGGCAGCCCCCCAGGACCATGGTACCCATGTTTCTTACAATATTTATTATCAGGCAGAAAGATGCTCACGAGGAATAAAGAAAGTAACAACTACATGAAGAGAAAATGAGAAAAAAATGAATGCTCTTTCACTGATTTAATAGCAAGGCCAATATCGTCTAAAGCCTGTGGGTAGGATGTTATTTGAAATGCAAAGAATATATCTTCCTGAAGGAATTCATTTTTCATTTTATTTTATAATGTTTTCTTATACAGTATGTCTCTGTTCAGTAATTGCGTTACAAAGATTGAAATGTATATTGGTTGTGACGGATGGAAAGATTGTCAAGTCACAGGTTTGACTTCACGCTGAAGCTATACAGTTTGTGCATGAACATTCCTGTTTGTCAGGATTGGATCACGTTTGCTGTTTGTATGTAAGTGATGGATTGCTTGTGTGTCTTGTGTGAGTCCTTCTCACATTTTGTGAAACATGTTTGTCAAAGAAGGATGTTGAGTTTCATGCAGACATGCTTCTCGAGGGATACAAATCTGTTTCCCTTGTCATAGCTGACTGACTGCAACGAAGAACACTCCCTCTCTGTCTCTGAATATCTGCTCCTCAACCCGCCCTCTTTTTTTCTTTCTTTTTTCTGTGACTTCCAGGTGTGGTATCTCTCGGGGTGGGTGTGCTACCTCCAGCTGGAAAAAGCAAAAGAGCAGCAAGAAAGTGAGGGAAGAGGAGTGACGGAGGAGGAAGAGGTGAAAGAGGAGCAGAAGGCACTGACGGAGGCGGCCAGATCATACCTGACCAACGCTAAAAAGGTAAATAAGGTCAAGAGAACATAAAATACACCAAAATAAAATAAAAAAGGACTTTCTTATGTCACAAGCACAGAAAGGTTCTTGTTTTTTTCTTATATTTATACAGATGTCTAACTAAAAGTGCACATATAGTGTAACCAAGTGCATCAACAGAAGTAATCTCACCGAGCACAAGTTTGACTCGCTTGTACTAAACTCCATGTTTCTATTATTCACTGTATACCTTTCCTTTAATTTAATTAAGACTGGGATTTTGTACTTTTACTCTGTTACACTCAACTGTCAAAATTCATGGTCCCCGAGGTTTCCAGTTCCTTCATAGTTCCCATTCATAAAAAAAAATCTTTCACTTTTTTCAACCGCAACATTTTATGTTTTCTTCTCCTCTATTGTGGGGGTTTGTCTTGAATCAAAATATTTAGTACAATTTTAAGGGTTTAAGTTTCTGATGAACCAAAAAATACAACAACAATTATTTTCAAGAACTCTTAACACTATTTCCCATAGTTGTATGAACCTTATTGTTGATGTGTTGATGGACAAATAATGAGCATCCCTTGGTGGATCCATAATGCTACAGCTCAATGGAATGGTTAAAATACTTCAACAACAAAAGGTTTTACTCTCCCTAAATACAATGCATAAATGACACCAATACAAATATATAGAATGTAATAGAATGAACCAGACAGGGGCTGTAAAAGATTATATTTTGATACTTAGAGCTTTCATGTGATGTCACTCTCGTATGGAACCACCCACCTGGCAGGATGACTGAACGTGTTCTAACAAATGCCCTGTTGTTCAGTTTTTGTTTTCTAATAATGTCAAAAATACTTTTTTAGGTATGTCTTTAATGAAAGGCTAAACAAAGAGGCATACTTTAGGCCACATAACATCTGACAACCACAGACACATTCAGATGAAAATTAGCAGTTAACATGGTTGCGCTTTAAACTGTAACACAGACAAGGACTTTCTGTATAAGGGTTGCAAGTAGAGGTGGGTAGAGGTTTTTTTTTTTTTCTGGGGGCAGGGCGGTGCTAAGGCTTGCTCTTTATCTCAGTAGAATGCCAAATGGCGCAGCAAGAAATTCAGCCAGTCTCACAGATGACTGGAGTAGATCCTGAAGTATGTACTCATTCATAAATAGACTTTGAATCCATGTATCAAAGAATCCAGAATCGTTTTGAATCGAAAATCGATTCTGAATCGAATCGTGACCCGAAGAATCGAGATCGAATCAAATCGTGAGACGCCCAAAGATTCTCAGCCCTAGCTGAAAGTGCCCAAAAACTCTCAGGTTATCTTACTATCTCTGTTTTTACTTTGCTTGTCAGGTGATGTAAACATGCATCGTTTAGAGGAGATGGAAAATGTAAAAGCCTGTGCTGCAATTCTACAGTGTTTTCAATGACGCTTCTTTCATTGGCTCTTTTTGCACTCCAGCCATCAGTGCTGGTCATGTGACTGAAAGCTATGAATTGAGAGATCATTGAATGCAATAAAGAAATATAGAATGCAGGACTTTTAGTTTCATGTATTTTTTTTTTTAAAAGTGGCTATGGTATTTTTTTCAGTTCTGAATACTTTTTTTTCACCACGACATGGTGCTAAGAATCCATGGGTACATATAGTTACCTCCAGTACACTTTCACAATAAGTGAGACTCAGGAGAAGCCGTTCTTGTCAGAGGAGGGGAACATGCAGTACTGTGAACACGAGAGGATCCCAAAGATGCTGCATTGTTGCCACTGAAAAGCCCTTTTTTTTATATGATCTCAAAGAGGTTTAATTTCCCCCATATCTCTCCCTCCATTGCCCTATTCTCTCTCTCTTTCTGTATCTCACTCTCTCACTCACACGCACATACGCACACTTGGAGTGATGTGTCTCCTTCACTCTGTCATTCTGTCAGGATGCAGTGCCTCTATGGAGCTCTGATTCATGTTAGTCTAAAAACCAATAGGCTTGTAAATCAGCCAGCACAGACTGACGGATGTCAGGCCCCACCTACAATCATCTTCTTCTCGTTACTTTCCTCTCCTTTTCAACTCACCACCCAACCATCCACCCTCATGCCTACCCTCCTGTCCCTTGGTGTCCCTCTACAGATGAGTAGGGGCTGCAGAATGGCGACATATTGACGTCTGTCTCTCTGTCCAGCACTGTAGTGACAGGCCTGTCTAACCAGCATCCACTGAGGGTGTCCAAGTGAATGAGTGTCCCAACTGAGACAGGAGCGAGGTGGGCTTAAAGCTGCCAAGTGGAAGAATGGAAGAAACTGAGGAGAGGAAAATAAAAGCACAGGACACATATAGATTGAAGTTGTCAGCTTTGTGCTGAGTTGATGAAAATAAAAAAACAAATTGGGGGAAAGAAATGTTAATTGAGAAGTAGGTAGAAAGAAGTACTTAGCCTGTTCTACTCGGAGAGAAAGAAACTGAAGGAATGAAAAGGTGAAAGACTGGGAGGAGAATTTGGTGAGTCGTCAGAGCGTGACAAGTCAACAGCAGAGCTGTTTCTTTGTGGAGTGTAGCAACAGGTGCAGAATAATGTTACAGGTAGATGCACAAAGACCTTGAAAAAAAGAGGTGAGGTAAAATGTGGAGAGAAGCAGCCCCCCCTCATGATGCACTTTGCTCTTTCACTCTGCACTGTTGCGAAAATGTGTATGCATCCCTACATTGTGATTCTCCCTTGTTTATATCAGAGCTTTGTTTCTGAGCACCACTGTGAGTGTTAATTATTAACGATGAGTCAGTCTGCTAGTTAAAATGGGCTCCAACATGGAAATGAGTCCTCAAAGCCCAACGGCTTGTTTTGGCACAAGTCCACTTCTCTGCATACTTCATGACTTCGCTAAGAGTGTGTGTGTGTGTAGTGTGAGACAGTGAGGAAAAGCATGTGGTTATGCGTAGGTGCACCTTATGTGGATGCACATATTTAATTACGATTGTTGCGTGCCAACTTGCATATCTAATTCTTTGTAATAAGAAATGTCTTCATTATTCATCTCTTTTGTGATCAATACACACGCACGCTCCTGCTCTCTCCTCTCCCTTCTCTCACATGCTCTCTTAGCGCACACACACACACACACACACACACACACACACACACACACACACACACACACACACACACACACACACACACTGCACACTGCACACTGCACTCAACTGAGATGCTCTAAAAAGGAATGAGAGGGAAGAATGGCTAGGTCTAGAGGACGAGAAGGAAGTGTAGGAGAGGAGCAGGAGGTTGAGCAGGAGTGGGAGAATGAAAGGGGAGGTGAGCAAGGGAACAGATTGGATGTTTGGTGTGTGTGTGTGTGTGTGTGTGTGTGTGTGTGTGTGTGTGTGTGTGTGTGTGTGTGTGTGTGTGTGTGTGTGTGTGTGTGTGTGTGTGTGTGTGTGTGTGTGTGTGTGTGTGTGTGTGTGTGTGTGTGTGTGTGTGTGTGTGTGTGTGTGTGTGTGTGTGTGTGTGTGTGTGTGTGTGTGTGTGTGTGTGTGTGTGTGTGTGTGTGTGTGTGTGTGTGTGTGTGTGTGGGGGGTTGTAGGGGATGTAGCTGGTGAATAGTGGCCAGGGTAAAATCAATAGTAAACCGGACGTGAAATGGAATTTGAGTCTCAGCCAGATAGGGTGCGATTGAGGAAGGATCTGCAGTGTATGCACAGAGGACAATGTTATATAGGTGTGTGCGTGCGTGAGTGTGCACAAAGGCAGCTAGGGCAAACAGAGGTCAAAAGCTTTACTATTTGATGTGGCTGAAAGGGTATCCCATGAGCTCAGATTGCGGTTATGGTCGGCCCAGGGTGTGCTTGTCATGTAATTTTAATGCAATTCCCCACCAAGGATGTGACCAGAGGACTGCAGTGTTAAGTTGTGTGTCTGTGTCTGTTTGTGTGTCTGTGTCTGTGTGTGAGAGAATTTGCGGTCAGCCCTCTTGAGACTCCAGTGACATGCTGTGTTCGCACACAATAAAGTCTCATCTCAGCCAGTGTCACACCCTTGCCGGTGAAGAAGTACGTGTTTGTTTGTATCACAGAGGGAGATGGATAATTGTTTTTCTATTTATTTATATTTCACTAATGAAGAGAAACACAGTTGGTTCACTCTGTTTGGTCAAATAAAAAGGGGGGGGGGGATTAAGGATGCTGAGGAAAGTTTACAGATGGGTAAGATTTATTCCCCATTCTGCCAAGATGGCACACGTGTGTGTGTCCATGCAACCTGGAATAAAAGATATAAAAGTATGAAAGGGTATCTATCTCCTTGACAGGAAGGTCATTTGGTGAGAGCCTTGGAGTGCGAGCAAAGAAAGACGGATTGAAGAATGAAGGCATAATGAAATGGAATGAAATGAAAGAAGAGGTGAAATGAAAGGGGACGTTAAGTATAAATGTGGAACAAAAGGTGAAGAATGATGGAATGGTTATGCTTTCACCCCATAATCATCATGTCTTAATTATGCCATGTGACTTCACAGGAAACGAGGGGAAAATAATCACTTATTATATGCAGGGAACATTAGGCCTTAATATTACACCTTTTAATCCACTGCATACTGGACAATGGTAAGCTCTTACAGCCCATACATGCTGCATTGTACTTTTGATGTATAAAAAAAGATCTTTATATAGAGAAAGAGGTGAACTCTCCTCTAAAACAAGTAGAATATCCCAGCATGCTGCTGTACAACCCTAACCTATGAACAGGCTGAGACCTCATTCAGCTTCTGAAGCACAGACACCCCACTATACACCTGAAGCTAACATAATTCACTTTTGTATTAAACTCCATGGGCCTATTCAATTCTGTTACCATAGATTGGAGCCGTTACTGTTATCACCATGAAGTCAAGTTCGCCCACTTTGAATTGTTGATTTATGCTGCATTCCTTTTTCCGCATGTCCAGAAACTTGGAGTTCAGAGACAGATCTAAAGTTTTAAATTGGTTTAACTTTTAATAGTGTGCCAGTTTCAAGGGCTGCATACAGTGGCATAGAGCAAACATAAGTAATGAATATGACTAGCAATCAGAAGAGAAATACCTCAAAAGATTCACATTCATCAGGTGATTTCTTTTGCGTTAATATTGTGATATTTTAAAAGCTGAATTACATGATGCCATCAGCCTCCATTGCGTCGACTTAACTTCATTAAAACATCTTTCTCCATGCTGGCAGCTCAGATGACAGTGTCACAGTGAACCATTAAAGGAGATCTATTATACTCACTTTCAGCATCAGTTATGTCTGGGACAGCTATTGAGTAGTGTTGGATGTGAAGCTCAAAAACCTCCTTATTTATCTCATACTGGCGTCAGTAAAATCCCTCATTTCAACCTCTGCCTGGAACAGGTAATTTCACCTGCTGTCTCTTTAAGGCCCCCCTCCCCACGTGCCCATTTACCTCTGATTGGCCAGCCCTGTTTGTAGTCACAGGGAAATTTGAGTGCACTTCCAGGTGGGCATGTCCTTGAAAGAGCTGCTGGGATGGACACATCCTACAACTTTGCTCCATGTTTCACTCTGGCAGAAAAGTTTTTTTTTGTGGCAGAACCTGACATCAGGTACACAACCTGTGTGTCTTGTGATTAAATGTTTTTGCCAAGGTTAAGTATGGACAGGGGGCAGCTGTGGCTCAGTTGGTATAGTCGGTCGTCTCTTAACCGGAAGGTCGGGGATTGAATCCCCAGCTTCTGCTACTGCAGCCACATGTCCGATGTGTCCTTAGGCAAGACACTTAACCCCAAGTTGCTCCCCCTGCTTCGTCAGCGGTGTGTGAATGTGTATGAATGAGAGTAGTTATTACTGATGGTTACTTTAAATAGCAACCTCTGCCATCAGTTTGAAGGGGTATGAATGGGTAGGTGTGACCTGCAGTGTAGCTTTGAGTAGAAAAGCACTATACAAGCTTAAGTCCATTTACCATTTACACCCAACACTGTAACATTATATGTAAGTGTTTGAATATGGATCAGCTTAATTTCAATGCTATAGCAAGCACTGCACACCATGCGTCTTTCTTAAGTCCCTGATCCTCACCTGTGTCGTTTCCTGAGTCTTTGCTCCTCCAAATGAGGACTAAAAAGAGAGACGCGAGGAAGAGACACAAGGAGGGAGGAGGCGACTTTACCAGTACATTCTAAGCAACATTTGATATCAACACTTTTAGAAAAGATTTTGAAAGAAAAGAAAAAAATTCAAAAAGTAGATGCATCAGGGGAGAACTGATGTTTCGGTGAACATGTTTGTCTGTTAAAAGAAATCACAGCAATTCCTCATTCCTCATCATTCCTCAGCTTTTGAAATATTTCTGTCTGAA